AGTCAAACTACCCAGGAATTAGCGGCATGGTTTAACGTTACCTTACCCACAATATTGACTCACTTGCGTCAAATCAATAAAATAAAAAAATACGAAAAATGGGTGCCTCATGATTTGACTGATCTGCAGAAAGAAACGCGTGTTGAAACTTGTGTTGCCTTGTTGAACCGGTACAGAAATGAAGGAATATTGGATCGAATTGTAACATGTGATGAAAAGTGTATTCTTTATGATAACCGGAAAAGAAAAATGCAATGGCTGACCCCAGGTCAAATGCCACAACAGTGTCCTAAAGCAAAACTTACCAATAAAAAGGTAATGGTAACTGTTTGGTGGTCTCAGCATGGTGTTATTCACTATAGTTTTCTCCGATCTGGTCAAGCAATAACGGCAGATGTCTATTGTGCCGAACTCCGAACCATGTTGACAAAACTAGCAGTAAAACAGCCCCGACTCATGAATCGATCTTCACCATTATTGCTCCACGACAACGCGAGACCTCACACAGCACGAGAAACCATTTTGACCCTTCAGGAACTGCAGTTAGAAACCATTCGTCATCCTCCGTATTCACCAGACCTTGCTCCAACGGACTACCATTTTTTTCGTGATTTGGACAATTATCTAGGTGACAAGAAGTTTTCTTCCCAGGAGGCAGTACAAAATGCTTTCACACAGTTTGTGCAGTCTAGATCGTCGGAGTTCTATCGCAAAGGCATTAATAACCTTCCCATTAGATGGCAGCAATGTATAGATAATAATGGCAACTATTTTGATTAAATAAATTTGTTAAAAATTTAAAAAATAAACAATTTAGATTTTCAGTACAAATCGGCAATTTCATACTTTAACCCCTATTATTAATCCTGAAATATATAAAACATTAACACTATTAATAAATAGGGTTAATGTTTTATATATTAAATATTTTTATAATATTTTATATATAATAAACAGTTTTATTATAATGATATAAAAATAATATCAATCTTTGATTGCATTAAGTTTATGTATTATCATAGCTTATAAAATCACAACCTTTTTCCTATTCCAAATTCCGGACCGTTCTGTTTTTCCTGTATCCTTATTTCCCTAACTTTGACATTAGCTAAATGTTCTACGCAAAGCCATATAACAAAGAAAAACTTCGTACGAGGCGGGACATTTTCGAAAAAAATAATTTTGTTTTTTACTGTAATAAATGATCAGTTGAGGCTATAGTTTGTAAATACTTTGTAAAGACTATTGTTGTAGTTAGTTTATAATAACTGTATTCTTTTAGTTTCTTCCTGTAATTCTGGTAAGTTTATACATTTTTTTCTCTTGATAGTCGTTATATGAACGACTCTCCTGACTTCGACGCGGGGAGTTTGGGCTCGGGCCTGAATCCCCCTGTTGCAAGTTATATCACTATTTCGGACAATGATTTGAACAACACTGCTACTGTTTCAAATGATGATCAGAGTGATATGGACACGGATACATCTAGTGTTTCCGCATCAATGGGTAAAGGGTCACGTAAACGACGTTATCAGCCTAAAATTTGCGGACATTGTGACAAACGAAGGAAGAAAAAGGCCCATTCAGTTGATAATAAAGATTCACATTGTCTTTAACATGATACTTCAATTGATCTGAATGAGGAATCCCACACTCACAAATCGAGTGTCACTTCTTCTCCACAAACCTTGTTAAACCAATGACTGTTCGGTAGGACTGGACAATATCTACACTCGAATTTGGTGGGGAAACGGCTAGAGGGGGGAGGGGGGGACCACCCTAAGTCCCCCTGTGAGCGAGGAGTTATGGAACCCGCCTTCCTGAATTATATGACAAAGGAAATTCGTGCTGATTTTTCATCTACAGTCCTACCAAAATTATTACCTAATGATTCTATTTTAAATAGAAACAACAAAACAGACAACTATGAGACTCAAACAATATATTAACTAAACTATTGGATAACTTGCATATTTAAGTTGAATTTTTACTTGATACGTTTCTAACCAATTCTAACCAGTCCATGGCCCTTAATCATGAGCTTCAGTCGTGGTGACACTATGTAAACATTTTGTTGAGTCACCGCTGAAGGAGTAAAAATTGGACTGTAATATGAGAGTTATCCCTTAGGTTAGTTAATATGAGTCTATTTGGTTTATTCTCTCATAGATTAATTTAAATCTAAAAAGAATGGAAAGCACATGCATAGGTAGATAAGAAAGCGGTTAAAGGATGAAGAGATGATAAGAATCTTGATTTTTTTTATTGCTAATGCTTGTCAATTTATTATCCAGCACGGTAGGTGAAATTCCACACGACTTGGAGCTGCAAATTGTTGTGATTGCTTCTGTGTGGTCTAAAAAAGGTACATCAATATTTCAAATACTGAAATATATCAAATTCTGTATTATTTAAGGCAAATTAAGGCTTCCATTCACGGATTTGGGCAAAATTGGTTTTAACAGGGCTAAGATTAATCAGATTTATAAGATATATCTAATTTAGCAAAATAATAATGGTCTTATAGTATTGCATGGACTGCATGTTTTGAAGAATGTATGCATTTCTTTTAGAATTAATCAGTACTCCCAGTCTTGGAGCATGAGTAAGCATTATTATGCAGTTGATGCAATTTTCATGAGCTTTCTATAATATAAATGGTTTGTATTATGTTGATTCCATTTCTTTGTGTCAATAGTTATTCCTAAAAAGGTATATGTATATTTGCTTATTGTTTTATGAAGGTATTTGGTTATTATATATACTTGTTTTGCATACATTTATGTTTAGTTTTATTGTAATAAATAAAGAGATTGTGGTTCGTAAGTTAGCAAACTATTTTAGTAATATGTTTGACCAATCAAGAGGACTTCTAATCTCCATACTACATACTGATCATATCTTTGAAAAAGATCAAAATTCCGTCTTATTACTAGATGGCGCTGATCAATAGCCTGGAAGTAATTAGTTTTTGTTTAATATTTTGTAAATGGTGGTGGGTATCAATTAATTCCTCTTTAATATGAAAGTCCTTGTATTATTTAAATATTGCTCATGAATGAGTTAAAAGTATTTTCTGAACTTTGACCTGAACTTTGACTAAATATGCGGGTGTGTTACAAACTAATTTATAAATTAACGCATAGATGGCGCTAATCTTAAACAAAATAAAAGAATAGCCGGCACTATCTACTTGATTTGTTTGTTATATTAACACTAGAAGTTAGAGTACCGTATTAGAGTAGTCGGGTTGTTTGCAATGGCTTTACACCTATTTTATGTCTTATTAAACCCGAAATTAATAAATAAAAATGACGTAGAATTTAGTAAATAATCACGTTTATTTACTTACAATAAAACTTAGGATTCAAATAGTGGTTTAAGCAATAGGTACGAGATTTTTAGACCTAATTATGTAATGATTGCATACAATACTTTTTCTCCGAGTAAATTAAAATAATGATATACAACCAATATTTACAAGTCTATGGAAATCCAGTTCTAACGTGCTGTTTTTTTGTGTAATATCGGTCTGTAACCACTTTTCTTAATATTAAGTCCTGGTACTTTTGTTTAAACTTCTTTAGAAACCCATACACAGTAGTGAGATAAAGTTTAACTGTAATACATGGAACAAATATATACATAAAAAATCTCGCCCGTCACCCATTCAGGGGTAGGCAGACACTGTGGACCTCCATTTGATACGTTCATAAATAGTATGTTTCATTCATCATTATAGGCCTTTGTAACACAAAATATTGTTTTATTACTTATATAATCGTAAAATTAATTGGAAATAAAACTATTTTTCCGGATTTAAATCGAAACGTCGTCGTCGTCGTCGGATTTAAATCGTGTATATTTGGTTTTTCAAACAAACGTTTGGAAAAACAAATATACACGATTTAAATCCGGAAAAACCAAAACAGTTTCACTTCCTATGTGTAACAATCGCGAAAACCTAAGAACTCGATACGTAAAATTAATCTTAAAATAAATATCTTGTGGGTAGAAATGAAATCACGCCATGCGGCTCATGACTTGCGACTCCCATTTCGACAGGCGTTTTAGTCTTTTAGTCCTATAAGTCTTTTAGGGGTTAAAAGACTTCGACTCTAATTAGTCTTCAGTTTTAGTCTTATGACTCAAGACTTGAGGGTTAAAAGACTAAACTAGTCGTGAGGCGTCAAAAATGAGTCGAGATTTTTTAAAAGGCCACTGGTTACAGTGAGTGCCCGGCGTATGTTTTTAGATAACCTTAATAGATATACGATACCTTTTGAGATTAATGCTATCAATAGGTAAATAGCTCGCCGATAATAAACCAAAATAACTTTGTCTCCAACCTTCTATGTCAGTAATGATAATAATTACATTTCCATGCGATGTGAGATTTCATTATTAAATGGTTGTGTACACAGACATATATCTAGATAGACGCCGCAAGTATATTTATATGAAAACCAAGCGTGCCACATTTTTTGTACTCACTTTGACGTCACAAGAACAATTTAGTGACGGAAACCTCCTTCTGCTCGCTCTAAATCGATTGATTGAAGGGAATACGCGTAAACACGCAATTTTAATCGATTCTAAGTAGAATAAGTTTTGTTCAAGTATTTGTTATTAGTACAAAAATACTAGGATAAAATAGTTAACATCTTTATTTTACTTGTTTGTAAAAAATGTTAATTACTAAAAAAAATGAGACTAATTTTTCATCTACTTCAAATATTAAAATTATTGTCCTTCCAATAAAATGAGCTTATTATATAACATCTTATTATAATAGAAGATCTTATCGATTAACTTAAATAATGAAAGCGCACGTCAATATAATTATGAACTTGCGACTGCTGATTATTATTTCTCGGATTTCTAACTCTGCTATTCTGCATATTTGGATAGCATCTTGGGTGGGATAAACTATAGACCATCTTCGTCCTCGAAAGCAACGAACTCGTTTTTTTAAATAAATTATTCATCTTCTGATCACAAAATCACTTGCCCGTGAAAGGAAACGTCCCTGTTTACCCGTTTACCCAGTTATTGTGCTTTTGCAATTTATAATGGAACAATTATGAATTTTTCGCGTTTTCGACTGGTGTTTATCTACGATAACGGTCGAGCGCGTTCTGAAGTGTAGCAGCGGCAAGTAAGTGAATTTCACTTTGGGCACGCGAAGTACGTACAATTGCGGCTTCTATCTAGATATATGTCTGTGGTTGTGTAGCATTTCGAAGTGGCTGAGATAATTTATATTAAACACGTAGGTACCTATTTGACGTTCAGTAGAGAAAAGACTGGTCAGAGAAGAGTTACTTGTTGCAAAAGTAAGTACAAAATAACATTAATATTCCAAAAATAATTATAATGTATTACAGTAATTTATTTATTACAGATTCTAGTGGAATTTCTAGTCTCCGACATTAAAAGACGTCATGCGTCACTTCGTTCTTTTATAAGTGAATTTTGAGTAATAATGTATACATAATATCAGTTTATATTACCTACCTATATCTAGTGTTTTTTCTAGATGACTATTCGCTGGGGAATTGTGACAGCTGGAAAGATCAGCAATGACTTCGTCAATGCATTCAAAACGTATCCTGACATAGGAGACCAGACCATCGTTGGTATAGCTGCTCGCGATAAGAAAAAGGCTGCCGACTTTGCCAAGACACATGGAATTCCAAAGGTGTTCGATAGCTATGAGGCCTTAGCAAAAAGCAAGGATATTGGTATGCTTTATGTTCACAATTATCGTAATAATCTTGTACAAAACGATCGAGTTTCCTGAATATCAGCCCTAAAAAAATAATTTGCATTATTATTTTGCGTCTGAAATACTTTTGAAGATTTGATTATTTGAAGGTTTGATCAACATAATAGTAAAACAAAACATGCTTGGTGAAACTTCTCTCTGCTGATTTATTTTTCACAGATGGTCTTTCTGAAACAGATTGAAGTAACAATAATAATAAAATAAATTAAATCGCCGAATGTAGAAAGAATTGTTTGTTAACTTTTATTTAATTCGATTCGTGCTTCAACCTCGACGTCAACTTTTAGACTGAGCTAGGCGCGCGGCGCGCGGCCATAACTGCCTGCAATTAATGTCGACTACATGCAGTCGGTTTCGTTTGTGTGGTGTTGTAATACACGGACTTCGCATGCAATTCGTTTAGTAGCAACCTTAGTGCTAATATGTACATTACAGAAATATCTAATAATACTACGTAAAGTTATTGTAAATACACCCTCTCGGTTGTTGCAGACGTCGCCTACATTGGCGCATTGAATCCTGATCATTATCAGCTCTCCATAATGTTCCTCGAAAATGGAAAACACGTTCTCTGCGAGAAACCACTTTGTATGAATTATAAACAAGCTAAAAGTCTTCTCGGTTTTGCTGAGAAGAAGAAGTTGTTCTTCATGGAAGCCGTTTGGTCTCGATTCGCGCCTGCTTATATCGCTCTCGAAGAAGAAATCAAGTCTGGAAAACTCGGCGATGTTCAATTTGTTGATGCTAACTTTGGAGTGCCTATTGCTGGTGTGGATAGGCTAAAGTAAGGGAATTCAAATCCTACATTCTACAAATGCTTCAGTGTTGACTACGACCTGGTTCGAATCCCGGAGAATAAAGATAAAGTCGGTTCAGTCTCCTAACAGTCTAACTTAAAAGCCAGTCTGACGGTTCAGATGTTAAACGCTTTACGTTTCCTATCTCATTCCGAACTTTAAATTGAAACATAGGGAACAGATTTCAAAATGCGTAGTAATTGACATTACACTTTGAACATTCGTCGGTCTTTCAAGTTACACGATTAGGTGACATGGTGACATTTTACAAGGTATGCGTATCTGATGTCTTCTTGCTGGTTATTATGTTGATAACGTGTTCTTAACTGTCCACTAATCTGCTTTATGTATTTTAGAATGAAATCAATGGGCGGCAGTGCAATCTTAGACATTGGCATCTACCTGCTTCAATTTGCTCAATACGTTTTCAAAGATGAGCCTATCAAGGTATCAGCTCATGGGGAGCTGAATGAAGACGGTGTGGATGTTGTTGATACTGTTATCTTGGAGTACAGTAACGGAAGGCGCGCTGTTCTTAACGCTCACGCCAAACTTAGACTGTTGAATAATGCTACAGTTGTTGGTGATAAAGGACGCGCTACGGTAAAAATTACGGTATTAAGGGCCAGCGCCAACCGGTGAACGGGAAGGCAGAGGGAATTAAATTTATTAGTGGATATTTTAGGCTATTTCAATTCAAATAAACTTGCTCCGAGACCGACTTTGGAATATTTCTCTCTGCGGCATCGAAGAGCACGCCAGAGGATACCTCAGGCATGCGATGGAATCCACCGGGATCCATTGGTGTGCACCAGGGACTTTTCGATTGCGTAGTAGCTAGTGAAATAGAAACAAATCCGAGCGAACGGTGGCATATCGTCGGATGCCTCGGTAATCCAGCGGATTCAGTGGTACGTTGGCGAACGCTCGCGGTATCATAAGGGCGCGTTCCCATTATGTCGTAACGTTTTATTTATCGTTAGACGGCTGTCGCGTCTAGCCTGTTCTCATATCGCGACTACCTGTCGTGACTGTGTCGTGGACGTTTATTTAATCGTTGAATAACTGTCGTTCCCACTAGATCGTTACGACAATTTATCGGTTCACGGCAGTCGCCAAGTCGTTTGTACGACAGAATCGTTTGGAGCTGCGATTATCTGTCGTCACATTTTATCGTGCCGTTTTATTTATCCTTCTAGCTCGTTCATTGTCGCGATAGTCTGTCGTCGTAACGTTAAATAAGTCGTGAACGACAGTTCATCATATTGTACTACTTATATGTGAACAACTTCATTTAAATATACCAGCCACGACACTTTAGGGTGAAGTCAGACGAGCGTAATTTTGTCAGTTGCGTTTTTTGAGTTGCGCAGCTTGCGCTCGACCGAAATTCGGTTGGAGCGCCAGACGAACGTATTTTATTGAGTTGCTTTTAAGTGTTTAGCGTATACGGGGTGTTTAAAAAAAAAGAAGCTGGGTACATCCACTCAATATGAAACGATTAAAGTATGGGCAGTTTCATATATTATATTTACCTAAGTTTACGTGAACATCCAGATCAACTTGTTACATACTACCACATGCTAATAAATGTTTTTCCAGAATTATTAAGCCTAGTAAAACCTTTTTTTACTAAGTAAGATACAAATATGAGATAAGCCATCAGTCCAGAGGAAAGACTAATAATAACAATCAGGTTGTTCAGTTATTTATATTTTAATCTCCGTATTGAACATTTTCGCAAGAAACGTATGTACTCACGCGCATCCTATGCCAAAGTGACCCCTTCTCTCACTCTTAAATCCACCTGCGCCAGCCCGTCGCACGATGCGACCGAAAGTCAGTCGTCATTACGCCCGTGAGTCGGCAGTTAACTCATTTTGCGTTGTCGTGTGAAACAAACCGTACTTTTATATGAAACCGAATGCAGCGCAAACTACGCAACTCCAACATTACGCTCGTCTGGCCTCACAGCTGCATTCGGATTCAAACTGCATGACTATGTGTCGTCACGACGAATGGGAACGCGCCCTAAGGGATATCTCTTCGATGCTGTTCCCCGCCAACGATTTGCGCTGACCCTATTGTACGAATTACTATTGTATAGGTTTAAGTACTATTAATTAATGATTTATAATAATAATAGTTCGAGCATCAGCCGAGTTTTGCCTAGTTCAAGAGCACGTCAAGCTTGACACTTAAGATTTAAATCCAAATTTATGCCGCCGCTTTCGATAAGAACCGTCTAAAGTACAAAGTGTCAAGCTTGACGTGCTCTTGACTGTTACTACTTTTAATATAGTAGTAAGAGTATACATTCGTTCTCCATATATAGAGATAATTTTAAAAATGTAATAATAGCCGAAAATCTAGGAAAAATATATATTATTATTGGCAACAAAAAATAGTAAATACAAATCGAATGCTATGTTGTTTCGGAATTTCGAACGTAAAAAAAAGCAAAAAAGAAGCCCTCATGGTGAGACCTCGGGGCCCAACTGTTTATTATGGTCCTTTTTCCCGAAATCAATATTCCTGTCGATATTTTATTTACAATTCAATAAAAACCAAAGTGAACAATTTTTTTCTTAGGTTCGTTGTACAGACTTTTCTATACGCGTAATATACCAGATATACATGGTACCATGCAATATACCATGTATATCTAGATCGTTCAAGGCGAAGAAGAAACAAATTATGCTTATTGCAAAATCTCGAACTTGGCAAGTTTTCAGAATTACAAATGTGCACATCAAATAGATTTATAGTTAGTTACACGAGGATCGAAATGGTTCGTGTGATAAATATAACACAATATCCGTGTGTCGTGCGTTTTTTTCCTGAACATTGGACACACCGTGTGTCTAGATAGTTTTTGGAATAAAAGTAGAGTCAAAATTCCGAACTGAAAACTAAAAGTGGTGAAAAAGTACGGTGGCCACGTGGGAGACGTTTATTTGCAAAACATTTCGTATTAATTTTTTTTAAATCTGTAATAATTTAAGTCTCGTATATTTCTGCAGAAACAAAGTTTCAAAAATGTATAATTTTGTAAAGGCGATATTGTGTTGCATTGATTTAGATCCGAAAAAATATTGTCATTTCCAATAGTGAATTTCGTGTCCTTACAGTTCAGAGAATTTTGATACGTGTGGTTGACAGACACATTGTTACTAAAGAGTTCATTATTCTGTAATGCATAATAATTTCGCGTTGCATAAGATACCCTGCCTACTACAACAACCCACAGCGCGATCTCAATTTTTTCACTTAACCGATTTTTTAACTCTTACTTTCATTAACTGCAGTTGCTGGATCCTTTTCACTTTCCACACAAGTTGGTGCATGCTGACGGCAAAGTGGAGGAATTCAAACTGCACACATCAAAACTGCCTTACGTCTTCGAGAACAGTGCTGGATTGGTGTACCAAGCTATAGAAACAGCCAGGTGCATTAGAGAAGGTAGATATACTCAGTCATTAATAAATTCAGTAATAACATAACTCCAATAATAATTATAAGACCATTATTTTCATTCTTGGCCCAATCTTGTGTTGTTTTAACAATACCTATAATATACAGGGTTGTTTGTAAAATACTAACAACCTCGCAGGACTATATTAATAACATCATACATATATGGTCAATTTATCTAAAATAAATACTTTTCTATCGGTATGTATTTGATAGTAAGTTGTATAGCTACATCTCCTGCGTGCAGTCATGCATAAAAATAATTGTGGTGGTGGGTGTTTTCTTTTGCTACCGCACAGAGTTATCGCCGTTTAGAGCGATGTATTTAAACATTTTCATTTTTGTACGAAAGTAAAATCTGTTAAAAGTTGATGAGATATTATAGTCGGCGAGGTTGATTTTTCTGTTTTTTTTTTACAAGTAAACCTGTATAAGAAAACTTTTCCTTCGTTAAAATTATCTTGAATTTTTTAATAACATCAAGTGACGGGATGAACAAGTCGTGCACCTGATAAGCTCACCTCCATAACAATTGCAGTGCCACTCAGAGCTTTAAACTGCAAAGATCTGAGGGGCACTGCCACGGCGCCCGTCACCCTGAGACATAAGTTGACAAGTCCCATGTGCCTGTAATATCATGTAATATTAAATAGAACACCAGTTTCTAAATACCTTGCGTGAAAATATTAATTCTTATAACAATAAAAAAATAAGTATTCAGAATAAACACAATCAAACCTTTCAGGACTTTTGGAGTCGCCGAGGATGTCACACCGAGAAAGTCTCGTTCTGGCCAAGCTGGAAGACGAAGTGAGGAGACAGGTTGGATGCCACCACGCTGCTGACGATCAGGAATTTCCCTAATTCCAGTGGCAGTGTTAAACGCACAAATCTTGTTTACTTTCTAGATAAGTAGTGTGATGTGGCGATAAGCTATTGGAGACCACTTGACAATTTACACAATGACAATAGCTGCAGCTCATATCACACTTACATTGTGTTTTAAGAGCATAGACATCGCCAATATTTTGTGTCTTAATAAAAAGTGTACCTATATAACATTATACATTTCTTACAATAAGTGAAAATGTTTATTAAAAACCTGTAAAGAAATTTATTGTTTTTAATTTTCATCAGTATGTATGTACCAAAATAATATCTAATATACTTAACTATTTATCTAATATATGTACAACTATCAATCGGCTAAGTCATGTTGTCTAAAATACCGGGCCACTAGACAGATGAAAAGATTCATAGGGGCTGCTTGTTGTACTGCATTTTCGCTATCCGGATTTAAGCGAGACCTATAAAACAAAATATATTTTTTAGTATCAAAATTTTTTATAGAAAATGAGAAGTGTTAATAAAATAGTATCCTACAGTACGTCAGTTTAATGGCGCATTTACACCAGGTCGATAAGCGACCTTCGCCTGCGCGTTGTGCGCCGAAGGCGGCAAGCTACCAGATGTAAGTACTGAGTCGTCTGACGACCATAGTTCGCCGTCGAAGTCGACTGAAGCGGCTAGGTGTAAATAGACATGGAAAAAGCGGTTGTTTTATTGTTATTGACAAATAATGAATTATACTGTATGCGATTTTTCAATAACTGTTATTGTAAACTGTTGTCAGAAAACCTACAGCAGAATAACAGGTTTTCTGACAATATGACAATGATAGCGAATGAATATTGTGTAGTGTCACATGTCTTACATTTTTCGTAACTTTTGATCTTCTCCCGGAACACTTTTGTAATTTTTGTTTTCAAGGCAATTTTCGTAACTTTTGAGGGAATCCAACTATATTTCTTATTGTAAATCCTAAATAGTTTACGTTTAATAGTTTACGCAACTAATTTAACAAGTCAATCGGAAAGAGTTTTGTGCCGTTTCATGAATTTGCTTACCAAGCAAGGAAAAACTCGTCACCCTCGTCTCGTCTCGTTAAAGGTGCGGCAAAATTGCTAACTTTTTTATGTACTTTTTTAAAAATATATGAGCTACGACCAAAGAAAAATTAATTTTATTGTAATTTAGAGAATATTATAACAATAACACGAAAGTTAAGTAGAAACTAGGATATTGTGTTAAAAAATAAATAACAAATCTAAAGTTTGGCCACATTTTTACTCGTAAAGCCGCAGGTACCTGCAGATGGATTATTTTTTCTTGCTAGAGAATGACTGTACCTATACTGTAAATAAACCACATACATTACATTTTCCTACATTTCGAGATAAAAAATAAAATGTTTATTTCTCCAAACAAAAAAATATAATCCCAAGGGCCTTCGTCGGTTTTCGCTTTGTTTGTTGTTTCGTGGTTTGTCGGTTCGGTCGTCTGCCGAGACGACCCGGTGTAAATGCGCCGCAACTAGCTAACATTTTATTGCTTAAGCAGCCATAATAAGAGTAACAGATCAAAAACTACCAGTATCCAGTTTTGTTAAAACCGTTTTTAGTACAAAGTTTTTCTGGTGGTTTACATAATTCCTTTGAGTGTTTAATTACCTAATTTCTGCACATTTTCTTGCTAAATCTCTTAATATGCATATGGTTTCCGATAGCAATGGTTGTCTAGTACATGCCAAAAAAGAATAAATCCATTGACCTGAAATCAATTCAACGATTATAAATCAAAAGTGTAAAATGATTTGTTTAAGAGATTTGCAGCATGCAATCAATGCACGGATTATGACTAGATCCAATTCAATGAGTTTTAACTAGTCAATGGCTGTTTTCTGTATTTTCAAAGAATAAAAAATGAAATTACTACGGCAACTTCAGTCGTCTTACATGCATTGGATGCGTGCCACACACAGGGTCTACTACGTAGTATGTGGGAGGCCTGTGCCCAGCAGTGCGACTCTGCAGGCTAACTATTATTATTATTTTTACTGTATCTATTAAAATGGAGTTATAGAGCACATTTAGATTTTCCTACTCTTTATTATACAGGTGGCCGGAATAGTGACGGCAAAAAAAAAATTGATGCCTCATATTGAGGGGTATCCGAATCACCCCCATTTATGTTCTGCAATTTTTCGTAGTTTTCGAGTTATGTTTAAATTTATTAATGGATTTTTTGAAATTTTCAGTCTGATAGGATCTAAATTTTTTTTTTAATTTGTACAACAATTTTTCGGTAACTCAATCTTTATGAATTATACTTTAACGCACAAAATAATCAGCTTCGTTCAATGGAAGTCAAAACTTTCGTAGCTTCCATTGTTGTTACAATTCATAAAGATTGAGTTACAAAAAAACACCCGAAAAATTGTTGTCCAAATTGAAAACAAAAAAAAAAATTTGTGCCGATCCGGTTGAAAATTTCAAAAAATCCATTACAAAATCTTAACTCGAAAACTATGTAAAATCGCGGAACATACATGGAGGTGATTCGGATACCACTCAATGTGAGACACCTACATTTTTTTTGGACGTCACTATACCGACCAGCCTATATATTGGAACAACTTCAGTAACAGCAATTACAATTGTTATCTTTCCATATACACTTAAATTCACAGATAGTCAAACTTATGTGTGTGGTTTTTTTTTCACAATATTTTTGAAAAGTAGAACATAAAATGTTGTCCTTCGGTACAAGCGGTCTACTTTCCCCATCAGTCCAATTTCACTATTCGTCCACTGTCCCGATCGGTCCACTTGTCCAAATGGTCCACTTTCCCAATTCGTCTATTTCTCATTTCATCTATTTTCCCGATCGGTCCACTTTCACTATTCGTCTACTTTCCCGATCGGTCCATTCGTTTTTCCCGATTCGTCCATTTCCCATTTCGTCTACTTTCCAGATCGGTCTACTTTTCCGATCGGTCCACAATATTGTCCAAATGGTCCACTTTTTAAGCATGTAAATCAATAAAATTTCACCAAAAAAAACTGGTTTTACAAATTTTCAAAGGCAGTTTGTAATTACGTAATATCTACAATTACGTATATATTGTCATGGAGTACATTTTTTAATATTTTTAATCATGATTTGAAAAATCAAAATCAAGTAGACAGTTTTTAACCGACTACAAAAAAGGAGGAGGTACTCAATTCGACTGTATTTTTTGTATATACGTTACGCGATAACTTGGTTATTTGTTAACCAATTTTAATGATTCTTTTTTGTTGGAATGAGGGAACCTCAGTAGTGATCCCATTTAAATTTGAAGTTAATATTCCACACACATCTAAGGTGGCAAACTAGGGGGTCAATACGGTTTCGCGCACTTTCTGGTAACTGATTTGAATAAAACTTGGTAAATAGATGTAATTCCACAAACTTATTTGAGTAGACATGGAGTAGAAGCATCATTAAAGTAGACCGATCGGGAAAGTAGACCAAATAGGAAAGTAGACCTAACGGGAAAGTACACCAAACTGGAAAGTAGACGAAATGGGAAAGTACACCAAACAGGAAAGTAGACCAAACAGGAAAGTAGACGAAACGGGAAATAGACGAATCGGGAAAAACAAGTGGACCGATCGGGAAAGTAGACGAATAGTGAAAGTGGACCGATCGGGAAAGTAGACGAATAGTGAAAGTGGACCGATCGGGAAAGTAGACCAATTGCACGGAAGGGAAATGTTGTTCAACAACTATTGAGTGACAAAGAAATCCATGATAAGGTGTTATACTGCTCAGATTAAGCCGAATTTACATTTCGACTCATCTGTAGAACAAAGATCTATGTGCAAGACTAAGGCCTCTTTTCCATTACACGGTTGTTCAAACGTACGGTGTGTAAGCCGTACGGTTGAAAAAACGTGCTAGCTTGTACATGATACGGCAAAATCACCGCGCGAGACATTGGTAAGTACTGGCTAGTAGCGCTTTTTACTCGGGCTGTGTAGGACGTGCTGCGTCATGAATTTTCTTACGAAAAAAAAGATTATAGTTGCTTATTACATATATAGGAAAAAGAAAATAGAAAAAAAAAGGGAAGTAAGGTTTTGGATACATCCGATTTTAGAAAAAAGGGAGGAATATGGCGCGTTTCATACACTTGTCAAGAATCAATTGAGAGAAGATGAAGACAAGTTTTACAATTATTTTAGAATGCAGAAAACTACATTCGACAACTTGCTCCAAAAATTATCCCAGGAACTAAAACATCAAGATACTTTTATGCGAGAGAGTATATCGCCCGCAGAAAGATTGGCTGTAACTCTGAGGTAAGTAGGTACAAAATTAAATGACATATTTTAGTTTAAAATTGTTTATTGCACACAAACAAAATTATTACATGTAATTGAATTTTAATAATTATTAATTTAAGAACAAGTAAATCAAAAAATACACTACGCTGAAAATGCTACTCAAGTGCGGTACTAAAATCGAATTCGTCTTCAATAGAAACTTGAGAATCTGCCGAGATACTTTCCGCATTTACACTATGTACAGATAATTGTGATTCGGGTCGGTAGTGGATTGGCTCTAAACCAGAACCGTGTCCAAAATCATGAGAAGACGTCTGTGGACGACTTATTCCATAGCCCGATCTAGCAGCTGTAGAATATCCATATGTTGACGATTGCGCATTTGAGGATGCTGTACCACTTAAATATCCTTGATGGCCTTGATCCCATTGGTTTCTTGATGTAGGTATATACTGAGTACACTGTCTTTGTTGAATATTTTTAATTATTGAAATTACTTGAAACTGAAAGTTATCATATTTTCATCACTGAACTTGTCAACTGTATCAGCGATTCCCATAAAAAAGTTCATACTACGGCTTTTCTTTTTCTCATCTCGTTCTGCTGAATCCATAAACTTCATAAACTTAATGTCAACTTCACTTAGTTCATTTTTTCTTATTTTTTTAGGCCTTTGCGTCTCACTCCGTTCAGTGTATCCCGAGCTTGATTGATTCGGGACTGCACTATCAAAATTTTCATTACTGAGGCTAGAATCATGAACATGTTCAGTCATGTTAGAATCGGTCTTGCGATGCTCAACATTTTTTTTTAGGAACATCATTTCATCATAGAACATATATTTTCTTATTTTTTTTGCTGAAGAACCAGACTTACATTCATTAATTTTTTTGTCATATTTTATCCAGCTATCTTTCATATTGGTCCACTTCTTCATCACCATTTGCCCTGAAAATAAATAAATAATAATTATTAAATTCAAAATTTATAAAAACCCCCGACCTAAACTGAATCGACCCCGACCTAAAATGGGGTTTTAGTATTTGAACCTGAACCGTTTTGTTTTATATTTCAGGTATCTAGCAACAGGAGATACCTTTACTGACCTATACTACAGCTATAGAATTGGAATAAAAACCATAAGTTGCATCGTACGTGAAGTATGCCACTACATTTGGTTAGAACTGTATAAAGAATATATGAAAATGCCATCTAAAGAAGACTGGCTACACATTGCAAGCAAATTTCAAGAATCTTCCAACTTCCCGCTGTGCTTAGGAGCGGTCGATGGAAAACACATCAGACTTATTAAGCCAATTGATAGTGGCTCGATGTTTTTAAATTACAAACATTTTTTTTCTATAGTTTTGATGGCAGTAGTAGATAGCTATTACAACTTTATATTTGTTGACGTTGGCGCCTACGGAAAGGAGTGTGATTCCAGTGTGTTTAAAGAGACCCCATTTTGGAAAAAATTAACAAACAACGGATTAAATCTACCCGATGCAACACGTTTGCCTGGAATTGACTACGATTTGCCATATGTGTTCGTTGCGGACGAAGCCTTTGCTTTGCATTATCACTTGCTTCGTCCATTTGGTGGTCATCAGCTTGATCAATTAAAACGTACATTTAACTACAGACTCACAAGAGCGCGAAGATTTGTTGAATGTGCGTTTGGCATTTTATCCAATAAATGGCGAATTTTTCACCGGCCAATGAATGTGTCCATCGATTTGGCAGTTGATATTGTGAAAACATGTTGTGTTTTGCAAAATTTTATACATAAGCAGGAAAACTTTCAGTTTCACAATGCGAGTGAAAATGAGTCCACCCTTGATTCAGAATCGGAACTAATCCAGTTACCTATCACGAATGCAGTTCGCGGAAGTTTGGCGGCTAATGAAGTTCGCAACAGATTTGCACAATATTTTGTATCTAACGAAGGTCGCCTCTCCTATCAAAACAACTATGCATAAGTAAAAAGTTAATAATTAAATATCTGTAACTTACCAAACTTGTTTTTCTCATCACCACTTAAATCTTCAAATGTGGGCTGGAAATGAATAAATATTTCTTTCCAGGAATCATATTTAAGCCGCTTATTTTTATAATCGTCGATGGTCTTATCCCATATTACAGGCCTTTCTTGAATCAACGTAATTAATAATTCTTGATTTATGTTCATTTTATAATAAAATCGCGAAACAGCGTATATAAGCGGTCACGAATCCGTGCGTACGTCCGGCACCGTCGACACACCCCGATAGACTGCCATACAACACTGGTGAAAATCACGCCGTGCGTAGACGCGGCGCGCCGAGGGGCAGTCACGGCGCACGCGGCCGCGGCGCCGTGCCTTGGCGCCACCGTGCATGTCGACAAGCTCATATAGTGATCCATACCACACTGACGACCGTGCCTACACGCGGCGAATTAACCGTAGATTTTCACGGCGAGAAACCGTGTAATGGAAAAGAGGCCTAATTGTTCTCAGGACAGGGTACATATCGTTCGTTCTTTTTCGATGGGGATGTCAGGTCTAATGTTGTTCGATTTTATATTTCCAAAACGGAATAAGTTATATAAATTCTCAAAACATCTTACGCGTAACGCACTTATTCTCTTTTCGCTACATAATCATATATCGGACTCTGTTCTTTGGATGAGTAGATTTGTCAGACGTGCTATGTCGTGACGTGTCAGAACTGTATCGGTTTCACACATTTAATATGGTTACATTTATATTAGTGTGTCGCAATCTGACGTGATGGTTGTGCTCTTTGTATGAAACCTATACTGGTCTGACGCGTCGCGACAGGACACGTCAAACAAATGTAAATCCAGCTTTACAAACATTTTTTTAAATACATAGTTGACCCTGTCAATGCTATTGGTACTACACGGACGTGAAGGTAAAGAAACTTCCTGTTCACATAATTATTTTAACAACTAAATAAGTGATGACTCTTGTTTACCTGTCTTATGATCAATGCTGTTTCCAGGTCTTACTTCATTTAACATTGCTGTTAAACTTTCTAGTCCCAAATCCAGAATGGTGTGCTTTAAACCAAGTAGAGTTGTCAATGTAGGTTCATTTTGAGAGAAGAAATGCTTCCAACCTATAAAAAAAGTAACACCTTTTTGTAGAAATCTTGACAATAGTAACTTAAAGATGTAGATTAGGAACGACCAAATTTATCTGATCTCAAGCAATAAATACTCACCTATGATACCCACCAGAACGGTATGGTATGGTGTAATGGGCTGTTGTCAGTAACTCAATGCCCTGTTGTCTATTATGCGTGTGTGCCCGCCAGAAATAAAATTTCAATTTCTTATTGTTCATAAAAAGGTGAACAGAAAGAAAAAGAAGTTCTTTCTTTGTAACCGAAATCTTGCTATATTATTATAGAGGCATAGTTTACCTATTAAATTAGTTTGTTCTAGTTCAATTTTAGCCACATGCCGTGGCCACTGAGATTTCTTTGCAACTAATCTGCCAATGTACATTCTGATCTCTGAGAAGTCTGCAACTTGAAGATTCTGCCATTCAATTGTTGGTTTTATTTTGTCATGTACTTTTGCTCGAGGTCTCTACAATACAAGATAAGTTTTATATTATAAAAAAGGAGACTAGTTCCTCTACTTTACTATGTCACCAAAATGCAGTGAAAACCATATCTTTTACAAAGAAGTTATTGCTTTTGATTTAGTTCACGGCATCAAGGATTCCTCATAAAGATATAAACAGCCATGACTGGCTGCGTATGGAGGAAATAACAGATGGAAGCCATAAACACTTTGAAGTCATGGAATGCGCAACCCTATGATGACATGAAATGATATTCATAAGACTCTGTTCTGTTTGACTTATTTGTACAGACGATAACACATCAAGCTACACATTAACCAGTCTTGTTTGGTTGCTGTGGTGGCATTATTCGAACCAAAGTATAACTTGATATGCTGTTGATTGTACTATGTCTTAAGCTGTTAAATTTTACCTCCACAATAAAGCAGTCTTGGTTTTTGGCGAATTTAGAATAGTCCTGTTTACATCTAGTAACCGCAGCACAATTTTCACGCTCTCTCATCACAGAAAGCAAGTATTCCTCCCCAGTTGTAGGTACTTCTCTGTACTTGACATCAGAGCTAACTTGAAAACATCGGGCAATCAAAGATTCTGGCTCGCTGTCGTCATCGTAGTGGTTCAATATCAATTTTTTATTCGACATATCGTTTTAATTTAGGAATCTGATTTTAGGTAAATAGTGATGAAATACAACCAACAGTAACAAGCAGTCAGGAACCAAGCTTTTTTGTTTTCATAATTACTTGGTGTAAATGGGCTGGTGTGGTGTCCGCAACGCGACTGAACTCATGAACACTCATGAACTCGACGTCAAGGCGCATATATAAGGCAAAGATATCGTTGTATATTTCAGCAAATAAATATTCTTCCACATTTGATAATTGACTCCTGTCAAAAGTTGAAGAGTTGGCTGTATGGTTTCAAACCTTTGTTTTTCTACTGTTTTAATTTTCCCATATTTTTCAATTGATATTAAAATACTGGGGATTCGCTCTGGACCTTTTGGAGGGAAAAGCGGCGTCTTTATTTTGACTTTCAATTATTTTGTGAATTCTAGTTTAAAGTGGAATAGGATAGTGCTATTGTGCCTTAATCGAAGATTAAAACGCGAAATTATGCGAATCTCGAACTAAAATACCCGTATCGGCCTGTTTTAAGGAATCCCGAGTCAATTCAAGCACGCCGCCGTCTCAAATTACCTATCCTCTTTGTGGCGGCCATACTTACAGAAATTGATAACTATTTTTATGTTTTCGGCTGAAGGACTTTTTTCCATGGCCAGCAATAAATTAATTAATTATTAATTTAAAATACTGGAAAAATATAATTCGAAGGCTCATAGGTTTAGAAATATATTTTCAAGTTTTATTCAGCGTGAATTTTAAAATACTATTGTTAAAAGAGAAAAACGAGATTTAAAATTATTGGACAAAAGTTGGACAACACCTAAAAACAAAACATATTTTTTTAACGCTCCATCTTTTTCGTTCAATAAGTTCAAAGGATGGAAAAGAGTAACTTCAAGTTTTGACAGGTGCAACGTCAAAAATGGAAAAATGTCTGAATTGAATATTTATAGCTTAGACTATGGAAACTTAGGGTCGTATTCTAGAACATTACTCAATGCTCAAGTCAGGATTGCACTGGCAACACATTGCACTGGAAATAAGACCCTAATAGCAGGGACTTGAGTATGATTTCGAGTGCTTTAAACCATACTCAAGTCCTGATTTGAGCATTGAGTAGAGTTCTGGAATATGACCCTAAGATTTATAGCATGGAAAAAAAATGAAGGAAATGCTAATCCATTCCTCTCCTCGTTCGTCCTCGATCGGGCAAAATCGTCGCGCAAAACGACGGAGCCATAGACACAAAAGTTGAAGTTGAAGTTGAAATTGAAAGCCTTGAATAAACGTCTTAATCTAATGCAAACCGTGAAAACCACAAATTAGAAAGATATAGTCGATATAGTACGGTGAAAACTTGAAAAGCCAAGAACAAATCTCCCTAAAAACTTTCATTTGGCACTACCTCCACAACTTCATACTCGTTCTAAATCTACAGATAAAATTTGTCATATCAATTTTCTCTACAACTCGTAAGCAAGCAATTTGTAGATTTTGTGTACCTACTAAAATCTTATACAGTTGTGTGGAGAATAAGTTAGCGAGTTACCCCCTGGGAAAATATTATACTCACAAAGATCTTGAGCAGTAAGTAGACTTTTTCTTCTATCTATTTCGAAATACTGTAACATGGATAGATTCTCACTGGGTATACCAGGCTCATCTAACAATAATTCCGAGAGTATGGAATTGGAAAATGAGTTGACGAATAAATTTTTAAGTGGTGAGATGTCTTTCTCTGAGTACTCTAACGAATGGTACAGCCAAGATGAAGATGAAGATTTGGATGATAGTAACAAGAGTGATGATGAGCTCCAACTATCGGTTCAGCCGATCGACAAGGGAGCGATGAGGCGCCGCAAATGCCCACGCCTCTCAGCCGCCTTGCTTGGCCTTATGGGCGAAGCTAACTTACGATTTGCTAGGGGAGATGTGGAAATGGCGGAAAAAATGTGCCATGAAATCATTAAACAAGTTCCAACAGCACCAGAGCCTTACCAAACATTGGCCCAGATTTATGAACATGACCAAGAAAAGTCTTTACAGTTCTCGTTACTGGCTGCACATTTGAGCCCGTCTGACGCCAATGAATGGCTGAGACTTGCTGCCTTGCTGAAAGAAAAGAATGATGTAAAACAGGAAATGGTATGTTACTCGCAGGCTATAAAAGCGGATCCTCAAAATTTAGATATGCATTTAAAAAGATTGGAGCTGTTAAAGACTCTAGAAGACATAAAATATCCTTTAAGCACTTTAAATGTTACCCGTGTCAAATGTTATCACAAAATTGTGACTTCCATGCCTGCAAGTGCATGGGAGACCATTATGAACTATACTAGACTAGCAACAACATTATATCATAACAATCAGGAGATAGAAAGAGCTCTAGAAGTTATGGCTGCGGCATACAAGAAATGTCCAACACAGTTTAACTTAGAAGATACCAATATATTCCTAGAGCTACTTATGGCCAGAAAGCAATATCAAACATGTATAGAAGTATTTATATCTAATGTGGGATTGGACATTGAAGCTGAAATACAAACTGTGGAAAATGCTGAGGGTGCAATAGAGGAGCAAACAAATTATTTGCAATGTTCCATGCCAAAAGATTTGCCTATAGATTTAAAGAGTAAGATAATAATATGCTTTATTCATTTGGGTTCCTATAGTTTAGTAGAGACATTGTTGAATGATTTCTTACAAAATGATGTGGAAAAGGCTGGAGATTTATATATGGACATTGAAGAAGCCTTGTCTTCAGTTGGACAGCATGAATTGTCTATGAGATTACTTGAACCTTTGGTGAAAAATAATGTTTTTGACTTGGGAGCTGTGTGGTTAAAACATGCAGAATGTCTTTATAACTTGGACAGAGAGAATGATGCTATAGAATCTTATTATAAAGTATTAAAACATGCACCACAACATCCAGCAGCTCGTAGAAAACTATTTTCTATACTTGAGAAAAAGGGCTGCATTGATGAAGCATTAGATATCTTGCATCAAAATCCTAAGTTTGTTGTCAGTGCAGCACTGCTTTATGAAGAATGTACTGCATTAAGAAAATATGGAAAGGTGCTCAAGTATCTTAAAGTAGGAGAAGCTTTACTTTCAAGAACATTTGTAAAGTATAGACATCAGGAAGAATTAAAAATTGCTTTTATTTTGAAAGGAGGAATGGATCTTCTTCATAACTTTAGAATTTCTAGAGGAGAGAATACATACCATGAAGATGACATTCATTTTGATGAAGAGGAGACGTTCAAGTTGACGCCATTCAAAGAATGGGATTTCTATAAAGAACTATTGGGAGTGGCATGTGAACATAAACAATATTTTACCATGCAGAGATTGTCCTATGGAGCAATGATGTCAAAAAGCCTAACATCACATCGTTTAGACATTGAATTTGATTGTTTACAAGCATGCCTTCTTGCAAAGGATTACCAAAATGCCTTCAGACTTATAAAAGAAATAACTGTAAAAAATCCAAGTAATAGGTGTTGGAATTTACTGAATTTAGTTACTCATTTTATAGAGGAAAACTCGCACATAAAATTTTTGACAAGACTGTTTCAGAGAGAACAATATGTCGTGAAAAGTTTATTTCTAGGGAATAACTTCTTAAATTCGGGAAGATATCTTGTTGGTCTAAAATATTTCTTGGAGTACCATGATCAACATCGGGAGCCATTGTCTGCACTTTTGATTGCTATCACAATACTGGTCATGGCAGCTCAAAGAACAGTTGACAAACATAACAACTTGATACTGCAAGGAATCTCTTATCTATTGACTTATCAAAATTTGAGGAAATGCGATCAGGAAACTAATTACAATTTGGGAAGGGCCTATCAAATGCTTTGTATAAATAATTTAGCAATAGAGTACTATGAAAGAGCATTATCTTGTGAACCAATCATGCATTGTCCTCAACATGGTTCTATTAACTTAACAAAGGAAATTGCGTATAACTTGCACCTACTGTACAAAGACCATTCTCCTGAAATGGCTAGGAAATACATACTAAAATATCTTGTAATATGAATGTGTAAATAAAATATTAAAACATGATAATGTGTTTGAATTTTTAGATTAAACCATATTATTTTCACCATTATTTTGTTTTAGGTATGTACAGAGTAAACAATGGCATCTGATGAAGTGATAATACCAGCAAACAATGTCTCATTCGCCGAATTTTGTATTCTCTTAGAGAATATACAAAACAAAAAGGCAAAACCGGAAAAAGAAAAAGTTCTTACAAGTTTTTTTAATAACTTGAGAATTAAAATAGCAGAAATTTCTGGAAAGAAGGTATGGCAATGTATTCGTAAAAATACCAACAATTTAGTACAGATCATTTATTTTAAATAGAAAACCACTGTGAGACTCAGGGTCGTATTCCAGAACTCTACTCAATGCTTAAGTCAGGTCTTGAGTATGATTTATAGCACTAGAAACCATACTCAAGTCGTTGGCTTTATGGTCGTATTTCCAGTGCTTAAATCATACTCAAGTCTGACTTGAGCATTGAGTAGAGTTCTGGAATACCACCCTCAGGGTCGTATTCTAGAACTCTACTCAATGCTCAAGTCAGGACTTGAGTATGATTCACAGCACTAGAAATCATACTCAAGTCCCTGCCATTACGGCCGTATTTCCAGTGCTTGAAATCATACTCAGATCCTGACTTGAGCATTGAGTAGAGTTCTGGAATACGACTCTCAGACATATTAACTAAAAATAACGGATAACTCATAGATCATTTATATTGATAAGAACGACTACATTTGTTCTTTGTTACATATCCTATGATACAACAAATTGGTAAAATATTTAGAGCTGAAGTAAATTATTAATAGTGAAGGTAATGGAGTAAAATGTATTAGGGCCGCAGTAGGTAGATGCATGAGCAACGTTTCTGTTTCCAGAGCTCTACCTTTTACCCTTTACTGAGGTTGCTCCTACCTGACAAAGAACGAGAAAGAAGTGCATATAACTTGAAAGAAAAGAAACTTGGACAGTTACTTATAAAAGTATTGTCATTATCTAAACTATCAAACGATGCCACGAAGTTGTCGAACTTTCGCACTGTGAATAATTCACATGGAGGTGACTTTGGTCACGTTGCGTATTATGTGTTGAAGAATAGAATGGGCACAAATTCTGGTACTCTCACTGTAGGAGACATCAATAACATTCTTGACAAGATTGCTGCAGCTGAAACTGGAAACAAGGCGCGTAAGTATGGTATCTGCTTTTCATTGGTTCTGAGCAAACTGTGGTTAGTTATTGGTGTGACGATACTAGCTAACAATATTTTCTGAGAAATTTGCCACATTGATATATAAATGTTCGTAGCAGTAGAGCTCCTTGTGAAAAAATTCGTCCAGCGAAATACTGCCACTACCTATTTCTGCCGCTAAGCAGTAATGTGAGCACAGTGTTGGGCAAAATTTAATTGTTCTGGCAATTCAAGATTGACAAATAATTAATTGTCAATTGCGAAACAGCAATTAACAATTGATCACTCGTTAATCGCGTATTTCTACAATTAACAATTAATCAATTTCCAATCTTTTCAATGTTTTTGATTAACAATTAAAACTGACAATTACAATAAATTTATACATTTGGGGGTGGCTGAGTAGGTGGGTGAGCGGTTGAGTGGGTTGGTGAGTAGGTGGGTGAGCGGGTGTGTGGGTGGGTTGGTTAGGGGATCGGTAACTCATTCCTGACCGCCCCCAACCAGCCCCCCAGCCAGCCCTCCAAACGGCCCCCCAACCGGCCCACCAACCGAGCCCCAACCGACCCTCCAACGGACTCCCCAACCGACCACCTAACCGACCTCCTAACCCACCCCCTAACCCATATTCGTAATGACACTTTTATTAGGTACTTTCGGTTTTAATTGTTAGTTTTAATTGTTTCTTAGAACAACTAAAAAAAAATATTGCAATTAATTTAATTGCAATTAAAATCAATTCAATTGAAATCAATTGCAATTAAAATCAATTGCAATTTTTGATTGAAATTGATTTCAATTGAATTGATTTTTTAATCTGATACAATTTCTGATTGAAATTTAATTGATTAACGCCCAACACTGTATGAGCATTACTGCGTACCGGTTTTGAAGGGTGATGAAATTACAGACACATGGAACTTGTCAACTTATGTCTCAGGGTGACGAGCGCAATGACAGTGCTCCTCAGAACTTTGCGATTTCAAGCTCTGAGTGGCACTGCAACTGTTATGGACAGGTGTGTAGGTTACCAACAGGCGCACGACTTGTTCGTCCCGTTACTTGATATTACAAAAAAAACTTTGTCTCAGGGTGACGGGCAGTGGCACTGCAACTCCTATGGACAGGCGTGTCGCTTATCATAGTATCATAAAAAAATGGACATATTAAACAACATGTAGAGTAGGTAGTACTGTATTGTACCTAGGTGTACTACTCACGAGGTATCAAGTACAAAATCTGGTCGCATGTGGCACAGTAGGTCAATGTTAATTATTTCCATTATGTTTTTAAAGAGGCTTTAGACGAAGCGTTCAGATACGTGATAAACAACATAAGTGCAGAGCAAATGAAATGGTTCCTTCGCATCGTACTCAAGGATTTAAAATTGGGGATCGGCTTAAATCGGATTTTGGCTTGTTTTAACCCGGACGCGCCTACAAACTTTGACAACTGCGGGAATCTTGCAAAGGTTATTTTATTACTTACTTATTTATCTATCATCCATTTATATTTTCGATAGGTTCTTTGTGTAAGGGCCAAAGCGCAAAGTCACAATTTTACAGGAGAGGCTTCCAAACTTTCAATCTGGTATGTTTTCAAGATCTCCTTGTTTTTCTTACCTTATTTACAATGAAATGAAGCATTTTCCACAAAAAAAGTGAAAATGATCAAATTACTTTGGCCCTTACAGTTTGGACCCATCGCTATTATTGTCTACTATCTTTTACCTACCTACTCTTATCAAAATAATTTGTTACTTAATACAATCCCTTAAAAAAAAGTGGCAATTCGTTTTGTCCTTTAACGATTTTTAGTAGCAATATTCCATCCTCGTGTATAATAAATTTAACTGTAGAAAATGTGGTGCCTAATCTAACAGGTATGCGAAGAGTTACAAGACGGTGACACTCGCCCGTTAGAACTTGGTGTGAAATTGTTCTTCGCCATCAGCCCTATGCTGTCTGAACGACTAAATGTACAGCACGTGTCCAGTTTACCGCAAGGACGGACTTATCAGATCGAAATGAAGTTCGATGGGGAAAGATTTCAGGTTCGTTGGTTTTCATCAAGCTACACATTGACGTGTCTTGTTCCGTTGCACTGGACGCGATTTTCAAACAAAAATGTGTAGTCTGATGTGCCGTTGTCCGTACTAGGTCAGCAGGGATAATTGGAAAGGTGTATTATAATTATATATAAAAAAAATAATTAAAAATCCGGAATAAAAATCCTTTTTGTGTGGTGGGGACTCACCACAGAATAAGAAACACAGTAGAAGTGCTTAGTGGGCAAGCCACGCGTGCCCAACAGTTCGGGGGGTTCCCCATACTTGTGCTAAAGGGACAATTGGAAAGGTGTATTATAAATACGGAATAAAAACCCTTTTTGTGTGGTGGGGTCTCACCACAGAATAATAAATACAGTAGAAGTGCTTAGTGGGCGAGTCACGCGTGCCAACAGTTCGGGGGGTTCCGCATATTTGTGCTAAGTCCTTCGCTTTGTACGTTACGTTCGTGTCAATTATCTCGTGCGAAACCTCGAAAATCGTAGAAAAATGCTTTATTTTGCTACTTTGGAGTGCAAAAATTATAGCCGTACCTTTAATATTATCCTTGTTGATGTTTCATATCATCGCATACATTTTCCATTTTCTGTTCTTGCCAATCTTTTTACACGTGCAGCTTGTGGGTCAAGTATATACAGAAAGCGTATCGCGCCTTGTGCTTCGAGTATAATGACGCTCTCAGATGCTGTTGAGGTTGCCGCGCTACTGAGGCGCGAGTGGACTGCTTTAGTAGCATTTTGCGGAAGCGGGTAGCGTCCCTAATGCGCAGAGTGCGAGGCAGCGCCAATGGCCATCGTACAGTGGCTAAGAACGATGGGCCCATGTTATATCAATGGGTACGGGTCACGTCAATGTTTAGAGGATTTATATTAACATAGTTTGTAGGTATTTTGTTACTAACACTATATGGATATTTTATCCGAAATAAAGATTTGAATTAAATTGAATTGGATTATTGTAATAGATTTTTTTGGAGAACTTTAGTAGGCGTTAATCGTTCGTCATCTTTCAGCTATTGCCGATAGATGGCAGCTCATTAAATAAAATTTCAATATAAAATCAAAACGTAAATTGCAATAATAGATACCTATTGAACTGTCAACGATATGCAAACTGGGTAAAGTATAAATTGTATTAACAGTCCAGAATTGGGTACATCTTTTGAAATTAGAAACTACGACCAATCATTATCAAGATTTCGTAGTGTTTAACATTTTAATAGTGTGTTTTGACAATAGCGGTTCTTATAATAATCGAGGCTTAAAGCTATTCTGTTTGTTTTTTTCTTCCGTGGATTGTTGACAATTACTCTGCTTGATCGAACATTTAGAAATCTGAGGGTCGTATTCCAGAACTCTACTCAATACTCAAGTCAGGACTTGAGTATTGCAGTGAGCACTGAAAATCATACTCAAGTCCTTGCCATTGGGGTCGTATTTCCAGTGCTTGAAATCATACTCAAATCTGCTCATATCCTGACTTGAGCATTGAGTAGAGTTCTAGAATACGACACTATGAAAATATCCTAAAAGTATGAAGACGAATCTTTACACAGAACTCGATAAATCATCTAATTAAATTGGAATAATTGAACTACTGAGTTAATTTACTTTTCAAATTTTTCGTGGAATATGTAATGACATTTAGATATTCCAAAATTCAGGTAATTGGTTCTAGGTGCACATGGAAAACGCTGTATTTGAGTATTTTTCACGGAGAGGTTTTAAGTACGCGGACAACTTTGGCAAAACTTTTGATTCAGGCATGCTAACCCCTCATTTAAAGAACTGCTTTAGTGCCAGCGTAAACAACTTCGTGTTAGACGGCGAAATGATGGGGTGGCACAAACAACATCAGGATTTTGGATCAAAAGGTATGTATTTGCTGATCAATAACAATTTATTAGGGACATCCGTGACCGTATGTATGAATGATGTCACTTTCACTTTCCACTCACGCTGACCCACTTTTAGTGTTCGGTTTTTTTTCGTTCCGTACAATGAAATTATTCTTACATGAAACTGAATCGATCCACACTAAAAAAAATTTGCAAATTTTGTTCATTTTATGGACAACTCACACTTGACCAAATAATTGACTATACCATTATATTTTTATTCAATCAAAAGATATTTTTGTTACTTTATTTGTATTAGTTTTGTCATCTATTAACTTATTGTTACCTATTACAGTAGGAAAACTAAAGCGTCTCTGGGAATGTCATTATTAAATGTTTGGGAGCGTTTGATGTTGCAATTTTGGATATTTCTAGGTTTATTTTTAAAAAGTTTTTGATATCGATTTATTCATTAGGTAACTTTCGATATCAGTTTAAAGCTCTTTGATGTCTCTTATATTTATGAATAATCGCCTGGGTACACTTAACGATTACACCCTGTATGCTCATCCATGTTGGTATATTTTGAATTGTAAAGTATGTATTACCTATACTATAAGCTCAATTTTGAGTGTTTGGTTTTACTTAAGTGAAGTTCATTAAATTCTATGTTTTAATATAGTAAGGTGATATTTTTAGGGCAGGCATTCGACGTAAAAAAGCTGACGGAGAATTCAAAACATCGACCTTGTTTCTGCGTTTTCGACGTATTGTATTACAACGGACAATCTCTAGTAGGCCCCGAAGACAAGGGCGGACTTCCGCTTAGCAAAAGACTGAAGATCCTCGACACTATGTTCAAGGATATACCCGGAGTCATACAACATAGTGAACGAGCTATCGTTAAAAACAGGTCAGTATGAAGTACATTATATAAAAAAATATTGTAAATAAAAAATATTGATTCTTCAATACTGTCGACATTTATGTAACGTTGGTGTTGTAAAAATTTCCAATTACTATAATGTTTCGCTATGAGGCGAAGGTCCAGGTATTAATATATTTATTTAATATTTAATTAATTTTGTATAATAATAATATGGATGTAATATTCCGAAATAAATGATTTTAATTTGAATTAGCAGCGTTGTTGTTTCTTCTGCTATAAATCTATTTAGTAAGTGCTATGATTTACAAAGGGAATGGATTAGATGGGCTAGCCATATCTGTCGAAGAATCGATAACCGATGAGGGAAACGAATTCTTTAGTGAAGACCACAGCTCGGCAAACGTAATGTAGGTCCTCTGGCCAGATGGACTGACGATCTCCGAAGGGTTGCATCCAGCAGATGGATGTTGCCACAAGCAGAGGCCAATGTTCAGCAGTAGATTGCAATAGTGCGGTGCGGTGCACTGTCGGATTCGGACGTGCTCCTACACAATAAGATTTATCATAATTCGCGACCCGCGCGGCAATAGCCGCTGCGCGTAAATGACTATGGGTTCCCAGCAACTCATAGCCAATGAACTGCTGACGTTCATCCAATACGCCGTCGACAATATGGACGAGATCAGCATCGTGCAGGTCTGCAAATCAAATTTCAAGGAAGAGGAGATTTACAGTGGCAAGGCGCTGCTTTTCAGTATGCTTGGGAAGGCTGAGCAGATGCCACTTCGCCGGAGGGATGAAGGAGCGAAGAGTCTCCAGGACATCATCACGTTGTTAAAGGAGACGAACCCAGAAAACGTGCCTGCTTTCGTGGCGAAGGAGCTACACATACTGTCCCCTGCCACGTTCGACCACGTCGACGTCACAGGCTGCTGAAGGACATCACGTCCCTAAGAGAGGTAACGCGTAAGCATGTTGACCCCTCAACGTGACTACGCTGCTGTTGCCGCTGCTAACCGATCCAGTGCTCCACTACCACAACCCAGGCAATTACCAACAAAGGGGAAGAAAATGAAACGGATACTCATCTCTGGAAATGTATCATCAGTACCACCGAGAAGAGTTGGAACAGTGCGACGAGGACGGTTTCAAAAAGGTGGAAAGGAAGAAGTACACCAGCCGTAACCTTAGTGGCACCGCCCCGTCTGGCCCTAATCATTTGCTGCGTCTTGCGATACCGACGATGTTGTTATACGTGTCACGGCTTCATTACTCCACAAAGTCTGCCGATATTATGGAGTATAGGTATACGGGTGAAAGCCAATGCTAACCTGAGGGTCGAACAGGACTCTTCAGCGTCCACTGGGGGGCGGTAGAAACCACTTTGGGGAACTATGGATTAGATAAATGTATAAATCTTAATTAAAATATACACATTTTTATAAAGTTTCTAACACTGTGTCAAACACACATTTGAAGTCGAATGCGCGAACATTCTCGAGCATGCGCGTCGCATTATAAATTGAGCCTTACTTATATGAAATTTTTGTGAACTGTCTGTTGTTGCCTCGTGGAAACATCACACTTATTAACACGGCCGCTTCCGCTCGGATTGCGTATTCGAAACCCATAACTTCTCTTTCGCTCTATTACATAGATATAAAACGTTTTCTGGCCGGTTTATGCGATTTCATGTCGATAAGTGTAGTGATCTACCTAGATCGGTGTACGTTGCCCATAATTAATTAATTAATTTTAAAATATGAACATGCTTCATAGACAATATATACTGATCTGGTGTTTATGTATATTTATACATGTTTCACTGAGTATTGAATTTACAGCGCCGATATATTAGACGCGCTGAACAAAGCCATTGAAGATCAAGAAGAAGGTATCGTCGTCAAAGACACAGAATCATATTACATTCCAAATCGACGTAATGCTGGGTGGTACAAAATCAAACCGGAGGTAAGTAAAATTTCATTGTTATTATCATTTCAGACGAAAGACATTCACTTCAGGACATAGATTTCCCACAAAGATCGCCACAGTGACCGATCTTGTGACGTTTAGAGCTGTTACATACGTCTACTTTTAGCAGCGATGCAAACGCGATTGCGTCAAAACACTTGGTGTTTATAGACTATTGCAATTAATGCAATTACTTATAAATTCACTCTTACATCTAGCAGTTTACCGCAACTTTATGTAGTAATGTTTATATACCTGCTATAAGAAGGAAATTAACTTGAGTGACCGATAGACTGCTTAATACGAAAGACAGTAAGATGGTGTAAGATACTTGACAGTACTGCCCACTGTGACAGAAATAGTGGTTTACCTAAACGGCAACGCTGAGCTGGAAAGACAAAATAGCAACTCCGCTTGTCTTTCGTCTTACGCGGTTAGAATGCCGGTACTAAGATTTTGCTTCCTTCCTCTCAACGATGTCAACATACAAACTATTAACCAAGCAATATTTTAGCGAATTTTGGATAGTTGTTGTCTTATAGAAAAGTTATCTACGTAATGCCTTAATAACTCTTTGTCATTTTGAAAGATAAACAAAGTGTAGAATTAAATAACGCCGCTTACTTATTATTATACCCTAGTATACGGATAGCACGATGAGTGACTTGGATCTCGTTATAATCGGTGCTGATAACGCGGAGCAAAAGAAGCATGGACGTGCAAAGACCTTTTACGTTGCCTGCGCTGATGTAGTAGCTGATGGTGAGTCTTTATTTTTTAAATTAATATAGGTATATAGTAAGTAAGTAAGTTTGACGACCTCAGTGACCTAACGATTTAACACTATGAGCGCTGGATGCGGAGGTACAGGGTTCGATTCCTGGTAGGACCAATTTGGGAAATGACCTTTACAAAATTGGTTCTGGGATGTGCCCCAGAGTTCATTTCGTTATTTTTCTTTGTATTCATAGTACAGGGAATTCCCTAGTTTGAGTCCAGTCTATGGAAACAATTATATAAAATAGGGAGAATGAAAAAAAATCTTATGTGCTGAAATAGTACATACATTGTGTATTAAGGGCGGAATAAATAAGAAACTACCAACGAGGGCTTTAATAATTCGAGTTTGTAATTTTTACCGCCCGTGCTTCATACAATGTTTTTAATCAGATTTGCGAGGAAATAGATACAACGATAGTTTATTTCTTGTATGAATAAATGTCTCTTCACAACACAATATTTACGGATTTTGCAAATGGCGGGTTTTGTGGTTTTTTTAATCAAAATGCCGGCAATTCTTCCATAGATAATACAACTCGACCTAAAATGTTATAAAAGGCACAGACGCATACAGCCACAGTGTATTAGATATAAAATAAATAATTTCCAAATTCTAAAAATACTGCAGAATTTGAATTCACAGTAATGAAAAAGCTCGTGGGCATAATTTAGGACATTACGGTCGATTCGGTTTGCATGTCGTGACACTGCTAAAGTGGGCGTAAAGCTACTTTTGACAAGCTAAAGCCGACTGCGCTTCGGTATGTGTGGTGACTCTCTCAGATGGATCATCTCACCGACCTAATGTTTGTTTATTATCAGGGGCACTACCCCACCGGTGGGTGTGCGTTGGACAAGTAGCAACTGGCTTCACGTATGAGGAACGCGAGAAAGTGTGTACACATTTACAAAAGACATGGGTATCTTCTCGGAGCACACCTGCTCCTGCACACCTTGTTTTCAACAAGACGAAACCAGATTATTGGATTTTGCCTGAACATTCTATTGCTTTACAGGTAATGTGTGTCATTCCACTCCTTACTAACTCCCGCATCGGACATTTTTGTTGTATAAGACTGATGTTATTCAGCTTTCAAAAGCTGATATCTTTTTTATTAGTGGTGTGCCGAATATTCGCTTTATGTTCGGTACTCGGCACGTTCGGCATGTTTACAGAAAAATGTTATTCGCCCGACTATTTGGTAAAAATGTCGAACTTTCCGCCGAACATACTTATTAAAAATTATATCATTTAACTCAAATATTGTACAAAGAGTGAGTCACTGACGAAGTAAAAATTATAGCTATATAACATACATCGTTTATTTCTTTTAAATAAGGTTCAACACCAATCAGTCCTTGAAAAAGATAAAACACATATTTTATTCATAAAAAATCTGTAAAACCATACTTGATTTGACTTAAAAAGACCGCAGAATTTTCTAATTCAGGACAAAGCGCGTCGAATCATACCAAATAATTCGGCCAAATATTCGTTTAGGTAAACCTTTTACCGAATTCGAATGTCAATTCGTCCCATCACTACATATTGTATGAATATTAGGTACTTGTCGGTAGAGTTTGATGTGAGCTTAGGATGTAAAGGGCTAAATAAAAATTCGTTGCCACTGAAATATTTGCCTACTGTTAGTGGTCAGGTCATGGACGTCAACGTTTGGATAGGCTGCAAGTGGTAGATGTGGATGGGATTCGCCTGTGCGAATACGACACTGGCGTAAGTCATTATTGGCCGGATTCAAGCCGTGTACAATCTCACCTTGTTTCTATGGGAGAACTTGCTACGCTTGAAGAGGAGGGGGTGTTGGGAGGTCGCCTATGTTGGCTTCCCATGGCCTGTGACACTGCCGACTTCGCGCCGACGTGCCGTGGGAAGAGAGCCATCCATCCATCCATTATCCATCATCCATCATCCATCATTAAAGTACCTATAGGCCTGTGGCGCGTGGTCTGTGATATTAGGGGCCATGGGAAGCCGCTTTTAGAACGGTTGGCCATATTTGTACTCCACTACCATCATAGTTATAATTTGAAAAGACCTACCCACTATAAAGGTGATAACGCAACATTCTACAGTTCATTTATTATAAATCTCTTATTGTTGCATCCAATTATTTCCACCTATTCTAAAACACTCGGACGTAATCCTTTTTTGCAAAAATGTTTAAAGCTTGCAGGATTCCATGAACTTATTATCATCAGCTAAACGTTTCTTAACACAGCAACGGTTTTTTATTGTCTTTATACACAAATCGGAGTGAACAACGACGAAAGTTTAAAAATGTATAAGATCTATTCCGGCAAACGCAAACTAAACCAAGTTCATCAGTCTCTTTAGTTGTCGGTAAGAAAAGAATAATAGTTTTTGCGTTACGCGGTTAGGTTCCAAGTCCTTTCGTTTGTATTGTCTCCTATACTAATATTGTACTTAACCTATACAGGTGCGAGCAACAGAGTTGATTCGCAGCAATAATCATGGGGCCGAGTACACCCTGCGGTTCCCGCGTGTCATCCGGATCCGTGACGACAAACCAGTCAATGACGTCATCACCCTGGACGCATTCAATGCACTATCTGCTGTAAGTTATAAACTCAGAATTATACATTTTATTTCAGAATTTATGAACATTAACACACCTATCTTTTATATAAGAGCTAGTGAGATTTACATTAGAGTTTGTTGAGCACAATGAATTTTGAGTTCGTCCGGGAAAGTACTGCCACCATACTATTTCTGCCGCCAAGCAGTAATGTGAACATTAATGCGTTCCGATTACACAACGCGAAAGTTTTCGCGCGGTCGTCGCGTAGACCAAAGACAAGCCAGCTTCGCCCGTGCGCCCGAGACGCTCATTCAAGTTAAAACGTAAAGCTAAATAAATAGAGTGTACTTTGCCATGACAGTTAGATGCACGCGGTCATTGCGCGGCGTGAGCTCGATGAAATTCGTGCCGAATAAATGCGCCCTAAGGGTGTTGGTGTAATTACAGGCACATGCGACTTGTTAACTTTATGTCTCAGGGTGCAATAATAGAGCCCCTCAGGTCTTTCCGATTTAAAATTCTGAGTGTCACTGCAATTGTTACGGGTAGGCGTATCGCTTACCACCAGGCGCATAACTTGCTTATCCCGTCAGTTGAAGTGTATAATAAAAAAATAAAAAATCAATGAACTCCTTAAATTGTAGTGTTAAATTGGCCTTATATGCCTTAATTTCGTTTTTGCTTACTAGATTTATCGAGGTCTGTGTAGAATTGTAACTTGATATCGAGGTTTTTTTATATATAAAAGTACTGCATTGTATTTGACCTCCATCTCACCTGATGGGAAGTCACGATGAGGTCGACGATGTACCATGCACATGTCCTGTAAATGATGTCTAGTAATTCTGTTTTATGTGCCTAATCAAACGTTCACATTAAGGTTACGAGGCTTACGAATGTAACCGACGAAATAGTTTCATTTTTTATGTGTAACTCAGATACTAAATTTATTTGTTACGTAATAAATATTCTTATGCTTAAATTTACCAGACTAAGGATCCAGTCGTAAAACTTAGCACCAAACGAGTGAACGAAGATCAATTAGATGACTTTGGTATAAAGACACCGCGTAAACGCGCAGCCAAAGACGTCAAAGTACCAGAGGAATTCCGTACAAAGCCCGTGGAAGACATTCAAGTGGTTTCCAAAGCATTGGAAGGGAGAGAAGTCTGTATATTGTCCGCTGATGAAGAGTGTAGTAAACAGGAGCTATTGAAAATCGTGCTGTCACATAGTGGAACACACGTTGTAAATGTCGGTGAGTTATTTTTGTTGAATAGATTTGTATACTGTATTCGTATAGCCTGAGTATAGGTTCATCCACAAAGGTTCCCAAACTTTTCGGCTCACCGCCCATTCAGGCAAGATAAAAAATTTAAACGCCCACCACTACAAAAAGTAATTGAAAACACGTATTTGTATATTAACTTAACACAAAAAAATCACAACGAAAATAATTACATATCTTTTGTAGTGTAGTTTATATAGATAATTCAGGTTTATTTTCAAATGCGGTAGCACTCCCTGGACAGCATCAACGTCCCCCAATTGCCTCCGACGCCCCTATTGCCGCCTAGTATTTCCGAGGCTCCACTTTGAGAAAGTATAAACCCTCGCCTGAGAGGAGACCCGTGCTCAGCTGTGAGACGTATAAATTGTGTAGATAATGATGATTCCCACACGGTTTTCTAATGGAGAGAGTGGTGAAGGTCGACTGTGGACGTTTTCATGTTTTTCCTCGTACGTATGAAGATTATTTCATATACCAAGATGAGCACGGAAACCGTAAGTCAATGTCTCTCCATACGATTACAAAATGTATTATGTATTAGAGCGCCTTCAAATTAAACGCTTATAGAAGCGCTACAGTGACGTGTTCTGACGACTTGTAATTTTCATTCAATATTTAAAAGCGCAGTTTGCAGCGCCACTGTCATGACACATCGAAGAAGGTTCACAACCCTCGGAAAACGTCTAAAGTCCCCAACTCACATTGCCTAAACCCTCGCCTGAGAGGAGAACCTTGCTCAACAGTGAGACGTATAAACGGGTTGATGGCGATGTTGCGCTCTGGATCGCAAAATAAAATAGTTATAAGTCGTTGAATCAAATACAAAGATCCGACAACAAGTTCGTAGAAAAATTCGTGAGGATTTTATTTTTCAGTGTTCGATGTTGTATTAATAATTATAACAAACTAGTGGAGTAATTTCACAAAAAATAATTAAATATCAATTCAATGAAAATTTAAAGTAGTTATTTTAAACAGGTCGCGACACATGGTGCGGTATAGTCGGCCGCCTGACCCCACGAGTGCGCAAACTTATTGCGGCTCAAGAAATTGACATTACCACCACTACTTGGTTACGGTCATTGCCAAACTCTGATACACCTTGTTCTCTGCGTCCTTGCGACATGTTGTCAATAAAGAAATCTACAAGATTAAAGTTGAGTAGAGAATATGATCAATTCGGGGATAGTTATAGAGAAGATACAGATGAGCAAACCCTGAAGAAATGTTTTAGGAAGATGAATCCCCCGGTAAGTGACAAATTCCAAAGCACAGCATTTAAGTTTATTTGAAAAGGGCAACCCCTAGAGTTTCTTGATCGTTCTCAGGGAGGTCAGTACAGTGAATGTGCAGTAGCTTAAAAAATGACGTTTTCAAATGTAAATTTACTTTTCCTATGGGCTAAATTATTTTTTTACTTGAGTGTGTCCGGATTGCGTATATGCCTTTCCGTATACAATACATTTCTCAAGATAGTAGTTGTAAAGCTTCTTGTGAAAGAGTTCGTCCAGGTCATCTTACCTATTTCTGCCGCCAAGCAGTAATGTCAGCATTACTGCGTTCCGGTTTCGAAGGGTAAGGGTGCTGGTGAAATCACAGGCAAAATGCATTATATGAAATTAAAACTTGTTGCGACAAATACGGAATCTCTACGTCTATCTGAATTTAACGACTACCACTCTGTATTTACTACCTATATCTTCTTCTTTTGAATGTTATGGCTCCATAGAAATAATCGATTATTTCGTCAATGTCAAGTGACTATGTACGGTGATAACGTTATTCAATTACAGGAACCAGAAATAAATTTAAACCAAGAGACGGCGAAGGACATCTTTAACGATCCAAACATAAACGATTACGTTAAGGTAATTTTCTTGGTTTTTTTTAAGAAGAACATTTAATAGATGTTGAATTTTCTTTTAATTTTATTAATACTTTGTTACTATTACAAATAAAATCAATGGGAGGGTCGTTTTCAGATAACCAAAAATGTGTCACTTTCAATAACTTATATATATGTTATTACATGAATGCTAAGCATTATTTATTTAATGCATTGACCTACCAATACATGGACGTCGAGTGCGCGCTAAAAAGTGTCCGCACCTGTAGGGCGTTAAAATCGCATACAGGGCGTCAATCGCGCAACAGTCTTCGTTTGTTCGACTGACAACGTGGTTGTCAATTATGCAGTACGAATAATAATAACTTGTGAAAATTACTGCAGTAAAGTGTGCAGGATTTTGTATCATATTTTCACTAAACGAATATATTGTATTATCATAGTTCTCATTTAAAAGTGTTTTTTGTACAGTTTTATAGTATTTAATTTATATTTATATGAATTGTAAATATAAATTACAAAAGCACACAACAAACTGTCCTTTTTCTACACATTGCGTGCGCAAAAGATGGAAAGAGACCCATTACGTCAGTTTCAAGAAGCTTATGTAAACTTCTTGGTCATTTTCAATTGTTCGAACCAAAAGCGATTGAAATATTTAGAACAAAGAAACTATAGAGTTGCTTTGATTTTAATCATATTTTTAAAATTATTTTTTTATTGAACGTTAGCAATATACGGCTTGGAAATACCTATCAGAAGTCAGAAAATACATTTGCCCGTAATAACGTTAGCTCGAATTTTCATAATGTCAAATGTATTTTTTAAGGAAGATTACAAAACAGAAGCTAATTTTGTCTTTGTGAAAAGCATCAAAATTACTCGAAAGCGTTAACGCTTTTATTATAAAGCGGTTTTCGGAATTACGGATATTTGAGTTTACGTTTAGTTGGAATGTCGGTACATTTCTTATAGTACCTGCACTCTTATTTTCTACATTCTACATTTGTAGTAATATTTGTATGTATGTATCTGCTCAACTCTTTATTATTATCTTTAAGTGAATTTGTATACAATTCGACATAATAATATATATAAAAATTAATTAATATCTACGAGAAAGGCTACTCCATTACTCTTGTGTTGAAGTAATTTTTAGTCGAAGCTAAATATGGTGCATTTGAAAACGACATTTCAAAATTCGATACATCGACGAAACTATTACCCTTATATCAACGGTGAAAATTTGAAATGTCCTAGGAGACATTTTGTTGTAAGGTAATTTTTCCTTGCGTTACGACATATCAAATTTCCACCGTCGATATCGTAATGAGTTTTTGATATCTTAAAGTTGCAGAATGTTAATAATAAATTTATCATTTTTCTGTTCTAGACTCCAGCAATATACTTAACAAGGCAAGAAATGCTAAACATAGACAAAGAACTATTTGGTGACCACAACCCATTTTCTTACTTACGCCCTTGCGTCATACATTTTACACGCAAAGGTAGCGTACTAGAATTACGAGCCAAAATGTACGGTGCTACTACTACCGACAGTTTAGAATCGAAAAAGTTAACTCATGTGGTTGTATCAGATAATAAACAGGTAAATTTGGATGAATGGAAGGATAAAGTTGGGCCTTTAATTGTTTCTGAAGCCTGGGTAGCGGAATGTTTGACTCAAGAAAAATTAGTTCCTGAAAGGGATTTTCTTTTAAATAATGATAGCCTATGAACACAAGAAAGTATAATTTATCTATGATAGAGTAGACCTTTTTTATTTCTGCGAAATTGGGTGTGGGCTTGTTCTTAAAGTCGAGCGGTTTAGTAACGATATTAAATACACTCATGGACATGTTCCTATGGACCACTGCCCATATATTCCAGAACGTTTAATTTTAAAAAACAGTGACTTCAATCGTCTTTTGTTAATGTTCTGGATATGGCCAATGGTTAATATGATAAATGGTTAATATGATAAATGTAGTTTTCATAATTAACCTTATAAATGTGTCCATGACAGAGATAAGCAGTGGGTTAAAACCCAATAAATCCGCCCGGGTTTTAACCGAATTTTTATCCAATGCCCCGGGTACCCATTTCTGCTCAAAATCGTAGGCAATAACGGTTAATACGAAATTTGGTATAATTCCAAACTTATTACAAATTTGAATGAAAAAAATATTTTATAGACGAAAAAGAGACAACTCCACACAATACCTCAACTTACAATCCTGTGAACTGTCACTACTAGAGATGCACATTACAGTTTGATTTTTATGAAAATCAATTCAAGTGCATACGATAACCAGTTTTTGTATAGATTCATTTCAATGCGATTTTCAAGCGAATTGATTCAATAGAAAGGCGAAATGTGTACTCGTAAAGCAAGAAACATTTTGTAATATATATTGCAGTAATATATCGCAAAAAGTCATTAAATTGCCATATAAAATTTGGCAATTAATGACTTCTTGCAATAAGCCGACGAATCATTACACTTGAACTCGATTTTCAAATATTTATTTATGAATAGTTTTTGCCCTCGATTTCGGGCATTAATGGGTTATAACAAAGCGCGGCGCTCGCCCATCTCTGGTCCGTGAGTATGGTTATTTTCATACGTTTTAGAAGGGTATGAAATTTTGTACCAAATGAAAATTTATGCTTTCCTAATCTATCGTTACTTTTTATTATCGATACTTATTTTGTAATATCGACGCTTACTCGCCAAATTTAACTGACGAAGGGATAAACACAATGATTAAAATTACTTTAACATGAAGTGTAATTAACCGTAATCAAAGCAATAATAACTTTAAATGTGAGTTATATTTAATACGCATAATATTTATATTATCTACATTTAATATTTTTCTAAAGATATTTGAACAAGTTGAATAAATAAGTTTTAAAATTATATTTTGTTTTAATGCGTCCTTGTTCCGTTTTAGTTATACTAAAAATGAATTCCTTAATTAAGAAGCATGCTCTTAGCATGCTTATTAATCAAAGAATTGCATTCTTATATTTAAGAAAAGAATTAGGTCTCATGTGCCTGTAATTGCACCAGCACCATTAACCTTTAAAACCGGAACGCGGACAACAAATGTGAACATTACTACTTGGCGGCAGAAATATATAAGGTTGCGGTACTTCCCTGGACGAAGCCTTTCGCAGGGAGCTCTATTGCTACTATTACAGGCACATACAATGGGATTTGTCAACTTGTGTCTCAAGCTGATACGCGCATAGTGTCCAAAAATATTTGCAATTTAAGGCGCCGTGCAGACGTGTGCCTTGTTGGATACAAGCATCGAGTATATAACCAGGAATAAAGACGTATTGGTATTGGTATTGGTGCAACGGGCTAGTTTCCGCAACTCGACGTCGAGGCGCCTATTTTGCGTGTGGTGGGTGCAGAGTCCTACTCGTGCCACCCAAGCTCCTCCAGGAATCTCAGCAGCCTCTTCGGTTTTCTGAAGACTTCGGGGAGCGACCTCGGCACTCCAAGGTACTTTGCCCTGTAGTTGGCCACACCGGAGCACTCTAGTAGGATGTGTGCGGCCGTTTCCTCCCCCTCCATGCACGCTCTGCATAGAGGACTGTCCGTGATACCTAAATTGAAAAGGTGTTTATTGTATGGACCATGACCCGTTAGAGCGGCAGATAAAGTGCGCAGCTCTTGTCTTTCAAGTTTGATTAATTTACGAGATAGACTGGCGTTGAGCGTTGGGAATGCTTCCCTAGCCTGTCTACAAACCGTAAGGGTTGTCTATATGTATTTTGTACCTTTGAGTATAGTTGTTCTTGACCATTGGTTGGGGAGGGCCACTATGGGTTCTGGCCCTACAGCATCCGTCTCCGACCCTTTTTCTAGCTAGTTCGTCTGCTGCGTCGTTGCCACGTGAGCCGCTGTGTCCTTTAATCCACTGTAGAATTACGTGGTTGTGTGTACATACCTCCATGAGTGCTTGATGGCATTCATATATAAGCCCTGAGTTAATGTCATAGCTGCTCAGCGCTTGAAGTACTGACATGCTGTCGGAGAGTATTCGAATGGAGTGATTCTTTACTCTTCTCGCTATTATTGCTTCTGCTGCCAACTTGATACCCATACATTCAGCCTGGAATACTGTGTTGTGGTCACCAAGCGGTGTTGATATTCTGATGTTGAGGTCTTCTGAGAACACCCCAGTACCTGTTCCTGCGTTTGTTTTTGATCCGTCAGTGAATACGCGGACCTCTCTGAGGTTTAGTCCTTCGTTGGGATCTTCAAACAATTGTATCCTGTATTTTTTGTCAAAAATGTATTGTTTTGGGATCCTATCCACAGTCGCCTCCAGTAGCGGTTCCTCTTTGACTATCTTGTAAAGGATTTCTGTATGTGGGGTCCTCATGTGCTTCCAAAGGCCGGCTCTCTTTAGTCGCACTGCTGTTGACGCCGCTTCCTGTCTGATAAACAGTGGGAGGGGTCGCAGGTCCAGCATCGCTTCGAGCGCCGCAGTTGGAGTTGTCCTCATGCAGCCGGTCGTCGCCATGCATGCTAGCCTTTGGAATTTGTCCAACTTGTCAGTTGCAGTCGTCAGCTTGGTTCGTGGCCACCAGGCTATCGCACCGTAACTAATCATAGGTCTTATCACCGTTGTGTAAAGCCATAGTGTTATCTTGGGTGAAAATAAAGACGTAATGTCATTTAATTTGTTTCAACCTTAGACTATGGCTTTTATTTTTTTCCATCCTCTAAGGTTTCAACCCTATTCTGACAAATCATTACGGTGACAACTGCGCTCCGATAGGCCAGCCTAAATTCGAAACAATTGACGGGTGTCGTCAATTGTTTCACTTCAAACGACCAGTTTAACTAGAGCTTTGCAATAATGGACGAAAATTTAAAAATTACATATTTAATTACGGATGAAATGTGATTCAGTTTATTTTGTAATTAGATGTTTTACTGTTTTTCCCTCACCACCGAATGGAACAGCCCCCCATAGTTAGAAAATCTTTGTTGCAATAAATACAGAATTTATTTTTTGAATATACGGAGACGTACACACAGGTCAGTTGTTGGCGCTGTACTATTTCAGCTTTCCAATTTGTGATTTCAGCGCAAAACGAGAGTTGATATTTAAAAGTGATATAAGGCTCATTTGCCTGATGAGTTGCCAGGGATGGATGGCCCTCATTTTGTCTCTGTTCTGGATACATACTCGATGGATACAAAAAACCGGGAACTAGAAGCGAAAATTTCATTTTCATACATTGAGGTTGCTACAACCGGGGCAATTGTGTCGATCTCATATTAATTGTATGAAAATAGAATATTCGCTTCTAGTTGCCCGTTGCTTGGATCCAACACAAGGCACACGTTTGCACAGCGCTTTAAGCTCTCAGTAGCACTGCAACTGCTGTGGATAGGCGTGTCACTTGATATCAGGCACACGACTTTTTCGCTTAGTATCATAAAAAAATAGAATCGACGTGGCTCCTTCCATGTTTATCTGAATTGTATTATCGCGAAAATAGGTTTTTCATGTCTTTATTCCACGTTGTAGCGTATCAGAACGACGTATCGTAGATCCTACGAATACATCCCACTCATGTGCACAGGTTTCTCCAACTGATGTCCTTATATTTTAATTGACTACCGAATTGACTGTGTACGGTACATATAATGCCTTATTTAACGCAAATTATGTTAAAACAAAGCCGTACTGTTCAATTCGCTTCAACAAAGATTCATAGCTGTGTTTCTTTAAATGTACAGGCAAACAAAAAAGTGTAGAGTATTTTAGAGCTGACTTTTCAAATCCTAAGACTACAATGCTCATATGGACTGATTTAAGGTAATAGCTCATCTTTAACCGTATTTTGTGCGTGATTGTCAGACACGCAATCGATAGAAAGCGATGAAGGCCTGTCGTCCAATTGACGTGTAGATCATACTTTGATAATCACAATCCAGTGATGCTTGACTTAAAAGAGAGCTCATGCGTAACTGTGTATTACGACGCGTTTAGTGTGATTAATTGTAGGTATTTCTCTCGTAACTAAATTTGTAAGGTACTGTACCTATTGGCACGCTGCTTTGGTCCTTATTGAGGAATAACTCTATCCTTTTATTCATTTATTCTAAATAATGGTCGTTCCTTTATACGAGGGCGGTTTGATAAATATGCGACTTCAATATTAATGGATTTTTATTTCTTAATTTAGAACTCCTTACACACTTTTTGAAGATGGAAGAAACGAAATTTCGAGAATTCCGTTTCTCATCTGCAATCAGAACATCTTGTCTATTGACAAGTTTTGATTGATGGGTTGAAGAAGTTGGAATATCGTTCGTCAGTGTGTGTAGAGTTAAAAGGAGCTTACGTTGGAAAATAAATCATAATTAAAAAAATATATATATTCTTTGTCATCTCAAGGTCACGAAGTGGAAAACAGCTCAATTCAATTTCATTGAATTCAATATGCAATTATTTAATATGAATTACGAAAAGAAATATAAAGAATGTTCCTTCACTAGCTGTCTTAAGCATATGTCCCATTTATTTTTTCCACACTGTATGTTACAGATATTCAAAACGAGGTTTACTTAAAATTGTATTTATAGGTATAACACTTTAAATACATTTTTCAAGTCAGTCCTAAACTACTACGAATCGAATAAAACTTCCTAATTTAAATTGATTAAAGAAAGAACTCTTTTAATTAAAGTTATTTGCGAATCGAATACACCAAGAGTTAGCTCCACTAGTTAGCACAGACGATTTGTATGGACGCGATGAGACTTTAACTCTATAGTATCTATCAACCTGCAACGGAACCCCCTAAAGCCTTCCAGGTGCGCTCGTGTGCGCCGCACATCCTGCGCCTGTAAAAAGTAAAGCCGGCATTGTGGTGGACTATGGTTATAACCCTCGTTAACTTTGGTTGATGTAGTAATAAAACGAAATCGTTTATTTATCTCAACACCTTACCTATTTCTACCACCAAGCAGTAATGGTCACAGTGGTGTTCGGGTTGTGAAGGGTAAAGGTACTGGTGAAATTACAGGCACATGAGACTTGTTAACTTATGTCGTAGTGTAACGGGCACAGTGGCGGTGCCCCCAGATCTTTATGATTTAAAGCTCTGAGTAACACTGCAACGTGTGCAGGCGTGTGGCTTACTACCAGGCGCACGACTTGTTCGTCCCGTCACTTGATATTAAGAAAACACATTAATAAGTAAATATAAGTATAAGGTACAGACCTTTTTATCTCACACCGCTATTGTTGTTATTAAAAATCATCGTCATGAGCTACAGAGCTCAACACAATGCCGGAGTAGGTATATCTCAGCATCGCGCGTGATATTCGGCTACTAATCGGAGACTTCTGGGCAGCTTTGGTAGGTATATAAGATAATAATTTGTACCTAGGTATCCATTTTTATACGTGACTGTACTTTTGTGCGTTTCGATCTGAGTCAGGTTTCGCGTACAAGACACGCTCGCTTATTATAATTTTGCGGATCAGTGGCTTTCATTGTGCTATATTCGATGTTAATGATGCACGCTGTAAGCATATTGCTAAACATATCGTGGGTAGGTAGGTAGGTACCCACCAACCCACTTAGGTATCTAAACAAATTTTAACTAAACAGATTTTTTTATGATATCAAGTGACGGGACGTACGCCCGGTGGTAAGTGACACGCTTGTCCATAACAGTTGCAGTGCCACTCAGAGCTTTAAATCGCAAAGATTTGAGGGGCAGTACCACTGCGCCCATCACCCTAAGACGTAAGTTGAAAAGTCCCGTGTGCCTGTAATTTCACCAGCATCCTTACCGTACATAGAATTAAGTAGTTTTATCCTTTTGTAAATAGCAGTGTCATTAAACCGACGATAAGGGAAGTTATTTACCTGGGTGTAATTAAGGTAATAATTAATAAGCAAGATGCGTGATCGGTTGATGTCGAAAGTTTCATAAAAATATTTAAATCAGCTCTTCAATTTGCCATATAACGTTGGGAATGCAATAATGCGTAACTAGCATTGGATTATGTTTCTATTTTGGTAAATTAGCGGCCAAATCAAATACGTCACTGTCGTGCCAACCAAATTAGCGCCATTTACGGGAATCCATGTTATCAGTCCGTATACAACATAAATTAATGCTTACTGTGCAAAATTGGAAGTGATAGAGCCATTGAAATTACATAGTAACGTCCTTCAATCATTCTCTTGTAAAATTTGATGTAGTGCAGATACGCGCCTTACCCATGCTACATACGCGCATTTGCACTATCCCCGACAATGAGATAATTTAGAAACTTTTTCGCGCGACACTATGAAGGTGTGCATACCACTAGAAGGAAAAGATTCACTTGACCAATGTGAACAATATATTAGCATACCAGCGCTGGCATGCCGGATGCACTGGCCACACTAGGTATATCAATGCTTTCAGTCAGTAGGTACGTAAGACGTAGAAACGTGACTAGTGACAAAATATAGATAGGTACTAATAAGTAACCATCTACTTAATGTTTTGTTTGGATAAAATTGATACTTAATTTGTAATATAGATTGGACGCAAGTGGACGCCGACGAAACCTGAGAGATAATTGGCAATCGCCGTCACAGATAGAATATCAGTTACACCTTCTGTTATTGTGTCCGGGAGCTTGTTTTTGTTACTTATTGATTTTAGTTTTTAAGTTTCTGTACATCTGTTGTAAAATATTTTACAATACAATTTATGTAAATTTAGACTCCCTGTGTATCTCCCATATACACTATACCGTTGTGCACAGGACTCCTGCACTAGAGAGCACGCTACAGCACAATGATCTGGTACTTACATATATATATGTGTAAAACAAGATACCTACTAAACTAAGTAAGTACGAAGTAGGTAACCACAGTGGCGGATTTGCCCTAAGGCCCAGTAGGCCCGGGCCTAAGGCGGCCAGATTTTAGGGGCGGCCAATCGTGAAAAAACCGTTTTAAATGTTTTATTTAAATCTGAAACCTCCGAAAATATGAAAAACAAGCAGCTGTTATTGTTAACTAAATTTCTGAATCGATTTTGATAAAAGTTGGCAATAAAGTAATTCATTATGTAATCTACCAATTAGGTGTATGATGAGTGCGCCCAAGACTGCAAATCCACCACTGAGTAGGTCCTCATTCAACTATATAAGAATGTAAGGTTAAGATTTTAAATTTAAAACTTTTAACGGGCTAGTTGTATTTTTTTTTCGTAAAAATTTAAAAAAAGTTCTAGGTACGTAGGTACTTGGACAAGCTTTGTTGAAGGCTAAAATAAAAGCTAAAAAAATGCTGTGAGTGTTTCTTATACGGGCAAATAAATCATTCAGAATAATAAAATATGATATCCATCACCATTGACAATGAATAGCGTTAAGTACATAAAAGCTAAATCATGAAATGTATCATTTTACTGAAGAAAACAAAAAGAAAACATTTTCAGTGCCATTATCTGACACGCCCACAAAACTCTGCGCCAATAGTGCAATGTTAGAGGCGGTGCTTGTTCGACGCCGCACATTGTTCTAAAATCCGTTTTACAGGCGTCAATCTCTGAAAAGATATTTCAGCGTGAACATGGTTCGCCTCCCATTATTCATTCCTTATTGTTTAACGTGATTTACAAGACAAATTATGACATCAGCTTTACAGAGATTTTTTTTTAAATCGGTTTTACTGAACGAAAACTTGACTTTGTTTTATCAGTGAATTAAATTATTAGTATCAGTGCTGCTAAAAGTGTATTTTTGTTCAACAAGTGGTGGAAAAATATGCAAAGTGAAGGTAATGCCGAGGGTGAAACTAATAATGGTGCTCGTAAAACATTGCGAACGCCAAAATGTGCACGGTGCCGAAATCATGGCGTGATATCGTGTCTGAAGGGGCATAAGCGACTTTGCCGGTGGAGAGATTGTCGTTGCCCCGGATGTTTGTTAGTGCTGGAGCGACAGAGAGTTATGGCTGCTCAGGTAGGTACAAGTAACGCTAATTGCCACAAGTTGCTTGCTTACTACTAAGGGACTCTAGACACTTATTAACACGGAATAGGCTTGAGTTAGTGATTTTTTTATGATACCAAGGAATGGGACGAACAAATTGTGCATCTGTTGGTAAGCGACGCGCCTGTCCATAACAGTTGCAGTGCCACTTTTAAATCGCAAAGATCTGATGGGCAATGCCACTGCGCCCGTTACCTTGAGACATAAGTAGATAAGTTAAAAAGTCACATGTACCTGTAATTTCACCAGCACCCTTAGATAGCATTCAAAAATGAAACGCAGTAATGGTCACATTACTGCTTGGCGGCAGAAATGGTGGCAGCACTTCCTAAGACGCACTCTCACAAGGAACTCTGAAAAAGACTCAGTCTTTTAAAGAATATTAAAAAACTTGGATAATTTTTAACTCCTCACGACTAGACTAGTTCTTTAACCTTTAAGTCTTGAGTCATAAGACAAAAACTGAAAACTGGTTTGATTCGAAGTCTTTTAACCCCAGGAATTAAAACATAAGTAATTAATCATTACTCAAGACTTATAGGACTGGAATGACCCTGCGTCAAGGTAGTCTGGGAAGTCACGAGTTATGATTCGTGTGGGGTGTGTCGTCGGAAACTCTACATTTAAGATTTAAAGATTTTTATTGAAGTAACCAGAATGATCATTAACTATCTAGGGTCTGAACCGCTTTCATCTCTAGCTCGGCCGATGAGAAAATTCAAACCGCAGTCAGTCTTTTGCAATTATTGCATGGTCATGAAGCTTTTTCTAATCGACTTAATACGATTCCGTGTCAATAAGTGTGGGGACTCCCTAATAAAATTTTTTTTTGTTATTTTTGTTCCAATTTAATATTACCTAGATAATAGCAATAGGTATACTACACAATTAATTTTTTTTTGTGTTTAAATGTTAAAAGTGCATAGGTATTTACTATAGATCCAGTCCCCAATAACTAATCTGTCACGATTCCACGTAAGTACAATCGCTAGAGACACACGGTTTTTCTAACGATTTGGATAGGTATACAAAAATACACGGTGTCTTTAACGCGCTATGTTTTCATCCATTTATCATTAATAATTTAGAAAAAAAATATGAAAAATATTTTTTAATCCAAAACTGTTACGAACGCACGTATGGGTAGGTTAGTAGGATGCGTGAAGTGTTAGTACCTACTTACTAGTGTATGTAAAAGTGGAAATAATACCTATAACTATATGTATCGAAAATTAGTGCGATCTAATTGAAAACGCTGTCATTTGGATGTCCATGCACTTCTGCAACCTACACGGTACCGCTAACATTTTATGTTAGATGGCAGCAGTGGGATTTACGAGATTATTTTCATAAGATTTTACTCGCCAATGCGGGAAGAACAATTATAGATAGGTACCTACTTATATTTATGAACGATTGGAGATAATTTGCTGTTGCTGATTTTTTATTTGCATCTATTTACCACTTTCTGTCTTATTAGCTTTAAACATCATCAAGTAAAGTGAAATTTGTCTGTGTACAAGGAGTTCTTTAGTTTGATATTCCGACTTACGTTCGCAGGTGGCGCTTCGCAGACAGCAAAGCGCTGGTGGCAGCACGCAAGCACGTGACGGGGAGGCAGCTGCCCTGGCGGCTCGTAAGCAGGCCTACCGCGCACGGCTGCGATGTATGCAAATGACCAGAGTCTACCCTGTCCAACCTCTACAATATGGTATGTAATTCAACTTATTCAACTACTGCTCCACCGTACGTAGCCATGGCAGGTAGCTATATAATAAAACATGTGATAAAAATAACACGTACTGCACGAAGCAATTTATGAACAAGTGGAATTTTATAGCTCTCCTATTTAGGAATGAAAAAGTTATCGATTAATTTTATTCATTTTTTTTTATAATATCAAGTGACGGGACGAACAAGTACCACTAAGAGCTTTAAATCGCAAACATCTGAGGGGCACTGCCACTGCGCCCGTCACCCTGAGACGTAAGTAGACAAGTCCCATGTGCCTGTAATTTCACCACCTTTACCCTTCAAATTCCAATTAGGCAGGGCCAACTTCGAAAAAGAGGTCAATCGTCGAATCCGACTCCGTTGGGCAGCTTTCGGGAAGCTCCGGGAAGTCTTCTCATCCGCAATACCGCAGTCCTTGAAGACAAAAGTCTTCGAGCAGTACGTGTTGCCAGCGATTACCTACGGCTCTGAGACGTGGTCACTTACTGTGGGTCTCATAAAAAAACTCAAAATCACTCAACGAGTTACGGAGCATTTTGCAGATGTGACCTTATTATACTAAGGGCGCGATGTAGGCTTTTACAAATTTTCTGAAAGCAAGGACTTGTCATATCTATTAACCACGCTTGACCTAGAGTTTGGTCATGTCATCAAAGATGGCGTATACACGAATTTACGGGGTTGTAGGAGTTTTCTGACCTGTCCCACAGCAGGTACGTAGGTACTTAGTCGATTTCTCTAACACCTACGGCATGATATTCTAGTGATGGTATTCGTAAACGGAAACTACACGACAAGCCGGTTAAGTAAATTTACAATTTAACATAATTCATTCTGTACATACGCCTACGGAGCAACATTACACTGCTCATTTTTTTCGTGTATATGTGCTTTCTAAGGCAAGGGAAAAATATTCCAACCCCTTCAAGTAGTATCAAAATGTGCCTAAAAAACAAAGCCGTTAACTTGCCGCATTCTGAACAAAGTAAGTTTTAAGAATTCGAGACCAGTAGCGGACACATGGCGACGGCAGCGTTTATTTTTGTTTACACAGCTTTGCTAATTTACTAGAATCGTACGGTGCGGATATGTCGCTACTTTAGACAACTTATTGGTTTATGTAAGATAGACTTTTACGTTTTTCCACAATCTTCACTTATGGAAAGATAAAACGTGGACAAAAATGGCAGGTACACGCTCGCGCAGAAGATACTTTTACCTTCAAGATTATAGGTATAAAAAATAACTTTAGATAAACATTATCTAATTATAATTAACGTGGAAGTAAGATATTGTAATGGAACATCTATACTCTGGCCAAATTCGATATAGAATGTTTAAAAACAAAACGTTGCTAGGTAACCAATGATGGCGGGTGTAAAGAACATTTTTTGTCCATGCTTATATTAGGCTAGGTATTTCTGCCCACGGGCTGCTATGTAAAAGTAATACCTACTTTGTAAAGTATTTGTAAAGTATCTACCTACGATTTATAAATAAAAGTATAGTAAGTTTTTGATACCTATTAATGCTTACTGCTAGATAGTAGGTAATGGTAGTTGAAAGGAATAAAATTGTAAGATTTTATTGTGATTTTATTTTATATTAATTTACTACATTATCTAAACCAACAGCAGCGTCAATCTCCGATTCCGAATGTGAATTACTATTCGAACTCGAATGTTTGCAATCTCTCCCTTCAAGCCAAAATATCTTTAGGGATGACACAGTTTTATAAATACTGCCCTCGGAATGAAAAAAGGCACAACTATCATGTAAAGTATACACTTTACATGATAGTTGTGCCTTTCTTCGAATAAATAATTACATACTGAAATTTTTTATTTTGGTTTCAAATCACTTATGTACTAGTGATTTGAAACTTCTATTGAACAAAATTAATTACATACATGACTTCAAGATTAGTATTATTAATAGCATAATCGTATTTCGGGGGAAAATATTGAAATTGTGATAACTAGAAGGTGCAAAACGCTTAAAATCATATGTTTTTATAGGCATTTAATCTACATCGAATTTGGCTAGTGTGTGTGTATGTGTGTGTATATATATGCATATAGTAATGCTCCGCCGCGTCTGGTCGACCAGTGAAGGAAAAAAACAGGCGGAATTAAATCCTGGTACCTAACACCTGCGCACTTTCCTAAATATATCGAATGGCAAAAGTCAGACGACTGCGTTTCAGACTGCACATTTACATTTACCTCCACGAGCAAATTGTAGCCAATGAGTAACATAACCCGGGGCACCAGCAAATCCGTAAAATCCAAGTGGCAACAGACGTAACTGTCCCAAGACGTCTGTCTTTGAAAAGATCGCCAAGCTTTTTCACAGCAGTTCGGATTAGACATCATATAGCAGCTAAAATTCAGTTTGACACTGTCGATTTTAAATATGTATGTCATTATCAATCATCGCGCTTAAGCACATGTTATTATTAATAAAATTTAAATGTATAAAACCCCGACACAAAACACTGTACTCCAAATAGCCAATAAGGTCGCTGTGCACGACAAGTCACTATCTGTAAGCTACTTAATTACTCGTTGTGATCAATTTAATGGGCCCAAATACGATATTTATTCTATAATTACTAGAGGTATTGGATAGACTGCAGATCTTCCTGGTTGCAACTACAGGTCAAAGTTACCATATTATTGCTATGGCATCAGATAGTACAGAATCCATCAGACAAAGTGGATAAATAAATTTAGTAGCAGTAGAGCTCCTTGTGAAAGAGTTCGTCCAGGGAAGTACTGCCACCTTACCTATTTCTGCCGCCAAGTAGTAATGTCAGCATTACTGTCAGTGTTACTGTGAAATTACAGTCACATGGGACTTGTCAAGTTATGTCTCAGGGTGACGGACACAGTAGTAGTGCCTTCAGAGCTTTGCAATTTAAATTCATAATATTAACCTTGGAACTAAGTCCAAACTCATGGTACCACGATTTCGTTTAACTAAGGTAAACGATTCTTTTATGGGAAACTGTATACGCTTTTCCAATAAGATTCCGGAGAATTAAGATTATCATTTCCTAAGTTTAAAACTTACATTAAAAGTATTTTAATTGAAAAGTCATATTACAAAATTGAAGAGTATGTTTTAGATAAAGAAGTATGGAAAGACAACAAGAGTCTAGATTCCACACAATTATGATTCAAAGTGTATTTATTCCATAGCATTTAAGTTTATTTGAAAAGAGCAATGCCTAGAGTTTCTTGCTCGTTCTTCTCAGGGAGGTCAGCGTAGTGAACGAGCAGCTTAAAAAAAATGACGTTTTCAAAATGTGTGTGTAAAATGTTTACCTATGGAATAAATGATTATTTGACTTTGACACTGAGTGGCACTGCAACTGTTATGCACAGGCATGTATAGCTTACCATCAAGCGCACGACTTGATCGTCCCGTCACTTGATGTTATAAAAAAAGGATAAATCTTCATATTATGACTAATATAACAGAATAACTGGGAAAATTGCTGATGATCTTCAAACAGCTGATCCAATGTTCATCAAACATAGCTAAGAAGGGTTGTTGCTGATGTAGGCTTTTTACACATCAGCGGATGCTGATGCGGATTTCTTGAACTTAACATCAGCGAATGCTGATTTTTTGTATCTAAAAAATCACGATAAATGTATTTCCTCACTGAATCTACCTACATGAAAAAGCTTTATATCTTTTTTTGGTATACTAAAAAAATTATTTCAATGATTTTGTGTCATTTATTAATAAAACAATCATACTTACATACATACCTAGCTTAATCGTTGTGGAATTTTATTAAAATTATATTCTAGAAACAACGGCTGAGCTGTGACTGAGCTGCATTTTCGGCTAACAATCTGTTTCTGAAAGATTTGTAAATTATTCCAATTATTCCACTAAACATGCGCATTGAATATCAGATCGATGAATGCTGATGCTGATATTTTAATTCATGCAGATTGTCCGCGGGTGCTGATTTTCGCAACAACCCTACTATTTTTGAATTGCTGTAGATCAATTAGCTTGTACATGTACTTTCTTTTCTTAAATAAATGATGATTATTATTATTATGAACCATCCAGACTAAATTACACTTAAAAACTGCTTTAAGATCAGTCCGGCCTTTTGGGAGCCACAGACAGACATACAGATAAAGATGCACAGGCAAAGGCTTCAAACTTATAACCCCCCTTTTTTCGGTGCGTTGTTCTGATTATAAAATTGATAATGTTAGGTCACTGTAATTGTCAGTGATGCGCTATTATAATACGCCAGTATCCGTATATTTTTTAAGTATATTATACTTAACACGAGAACAATTAATTTTGTAAAACACAAAAAAGCAGTGATTTCAGTAGGTAATCTTACGCTGAAACTTGTTATTTAATTTGTTCTGTAATCGTATTTTTCCTTATTTTGAAATTACACTTTTGTCTTTGCCTCTTCTTCTTTAAATAGACAACGAAACAAAATGTCTCAAACAGTAAAAGCGTTAAAAGCAATCCGTATTAATGGCCGAGTGTCCCACACCACTCCCCTACAATATTTTTGTTGTAAGCGAGACCACACTGCACACTGTCGAGTGTTTCGTTTCGACACTGAAATGCTAAATGCGAATTAGCTGAGTAAATATTTGTTTTACAACATTAGGAGCGAGTTAAGATTGTATATTTAAGGTTTGAAACCACAGTACAACAGATTTTATGAAGTGATTCTGTGAATAGAAATTGTTTAAAGGGGTGGGTACCAACTAGCATTGTTGCAAATATCAGCATCCGCATCTGCGGATAATCTGCATAGATTTTGCATTGTTCAAGTCGTCACTGACTTAACAGGCACACTGGAATGATTTACAAACCTTCCAGAACCAGACTGCAAACAGAAAAAGAAGCTCAGCCGTTGTTTTTAAAATTCAACTATGATAAAATTTCACTACGATAAGCTAGTCTGTTTTTTTTATTATTTATTATTTTATTGATTAATCGTGAATAATTTTCATAAAATCATTGAAACAATATTATGATACATAGAAAATAGAAAGCATTTTAATGTAGACAGATTTAGTAGGGTTTACATGGTATATTTTTGGAACTATTTTTTAAATAGACAAAATCAGCATCCACTGATGTCAAGGTCAAAATATCAGCATCCGCTGATGTGTAAAACATCTGCACCAGGAACAAACACTATGTTCATAGTAGCCGTAGAAATAGCTTTACCTTGGTTTATATTAATAATAATACCTAGATATGAAGTTGCTTTATTTTTATAGGTATTTTTTCACGGTTTAGATCGTAAGTAGATGCCTGAACATAAAAGTTTTATAACATAGATTTATATTATGGACCTACCAAGAGTTTTAATAAAAATTTAGGCGCTGTAAACTTGTTAATGTAAAAAGATACTGTTTGAAAATTAAAAATAGAGAGCATCACATCTGTAATAAAACTGAAATGACTCTTGAAAATGTCCCCGGTTCATTACAGAACAAAAGCTGTCATCCAAAACTCGGCTACATTTCACTGTCTATTAAAAAATAAATACTTGAATTCTTTTAACTATTTTTATGGGTTGTAAAAAAGTGTGAAGATTGTTTTACAAGAGAGCGGAGGCGGCTCTTTGTCGTGGTGTCGGGTGTCGGTGCGTCGCGGGCGCAATGTTGACGGTAAACATGTCTTCCGCTGCGTTGAATGATAGCTCCAACGATGTTTAAAAAATTAGAAATTTATGTTAATTCTTAATAATTGACGTAAAATGTACCTTGTTTTAGTAGCAGGGAAGTACTGCGACCTCACCTATTTCTGCCGCCAAGCAGTAATGTTGGTATTACTGTGTTCCGGTTATGAATGGCAAGGGTGCTGGTGAAATTACAGGCACATGGGACTTAACAACTTATATCTCAGGGTGACAGGCGCAGTGGCAGTGGCAGATCTTTACTATTTAAAGCTCTGAGTGGCACTGCAACTGTAATGGACGGGCGTGTAGCTTCCCATCAGGCGCACGACTTGTTCGTCCCGTCTTGATAAGTATTATAAAAAAACACTAGACGAAGTGCATGGAGAGGATTTAATTAGTTACAACGTTGTATGCAATGATATTATACTTACTTATGCACTGATTGTATGTAACAATTTGTTTGGTTAGATTTACACATGACGAAAAGACAAATTCGTTTTCACAATGTATGTAACAATTTATCTGGTTAGATTTACATAAGAGGAAGACAAATTCATTTTCACAATGTATGGAACAATTTGTCTGGTTAGATTTACATAAGAGGAAGACAAATTCATTTTCACAATGTATGTAACAATTTGTCTGGTTAGATTTACATAAGAGAAAGACAGATTCATTTTCTAATCGGACTACGTCGTACTTTTGTAACTGAAACTCTGTAACAAATGGCGACCGGACGGATTGTCTATCGAAATATGGAAATGTTGCATTTCTTGTTTGAAAAGTAACATTGAAAACGTTAGCGGGGGTCCTAACAGGCTCAGCACACAATAATATACTTATTAAAAAAAAATCTGCGCTTTAAAGATTGGTTAATCTGAAAATTACCCAGAAAACTTTTTCTACCTAAGTAATTTCGGTGAAATTTTTATTATTTTAATATTCTAGAATATTATCATTAAATAAATATGTTTTTAATATTCAAATGTAGGATCCTGAAATATTATTTAAAATTTCACGATAATATACTTGAATAATAAAAATTTTCACCGATATTACGTAAAGAAAACTAACCCGAAAATTACCCACCAGACTGTATAATATCACAGAACATTCCCGTTACGTCACGATTAACCTAGAAGATGCGCGTGTGATGCTGCAATAGGTATTATCTGACCGAGAAGATCCACGATAACGACAAGAATAGAATAGCCAATAACGGAAAACTCGCAAAGGAGGAAAAACAAAAAGCGGAATTAAAACAAAAAGGTCAAGTGGTTAAGAAAGTCGAATCAAGATAGATTAAAATGTTAAAAAAACATAGACTGAGACAGACTACCCAACTGTTTTGCTTTCAAATCGGTTAAGTTATAATACATAAAAGTATGGCCATTCCGCTAAAGTTCTTACCCATGTAACAAACAAAATGTACGCCAGTCACTCGGTTTGTACATGGAAGCAAAATTTGTAAAAGCAATTTATTTTTGTTTCCTATTGTTGCACTTATACGTATAACCTTCTATTTTGGATTGAAAAAACTAAGTGCATAGTTGCATTCAAAATTTCACACCCATAATGCTATGGTCACACAGAGGCGCGAGCGGGAGCGTTCGGCGCCCGGGAACACCCTGGTACGGGTGGCGGGGTGGCGCGGTCCGAAGCCGAACACTATGAGAAACAGGCGGACCAGGCCCTGTACTCTCGTTCTCCGTCCAATATCCGTCCGAAAAAAATTTAATACTGTTAAATAATTAATACTCCCAGGTGCGGGCGCGGGAGCTGTATTTAAAAATTATTATAGAAAATGAAAGGTGGCTGTTTTTCGTGTCACCCCGGCCGCCTTCGCGCCGCTGTTCCGCTGTGAACTACGCATGCTGTGTGGCACGCCCCGGTACGCATTCGCTTCTCGCAGGTCCGGCTCCGGATCGGTTTTACTGCTGTATGCCGCGTCTGTGTGGTCTGACCTTAAGGCCACATCTGCGAATTAGGACAGAAGTTTAAAGATTCTAACGAACGAAATTTCAAATCGTATTTAGGCTTTGACTAAGTCAATGTATTTAGGTATAAGATTTTAAATGTTAATTTTTAAATTTGAAAATTTCCGTTTTTTGGACGAAGTACCTTTTTTTACGCTATAAGCGCAATATCGGGCGATCAAAGGTTAAAATAACTTATAAAATAAAGCGACTGCCCTAATTATTTCTGTAGTAATTCTGCTTTTTGTGCCTCTAAAAAGTTCACTTTAATGGAGGTACGAGGTTCAGGAATTTAGCCGACGATAATACAGTATCATTTGTTTCATGTAAATCGCATTATATTTACGACTTTCATATGATAAATCACTTTTGATGTATGATCACATGTGGCTTCAGAATATAAGTACGATTTCGTGTTCATTCTAGTAGTGATAATTCGTTTTCGTTAAATATGTACGTTAAAGATGTGCGCTAGGTATAGCGTCTGTTACGAGAAACGAAATATATTCCATATTGTCACATAGTGTACCTACTTATATGTTGTATAAAAAGCAATCCTATTGTCTCTCTAGGTAACACAAGCCTGATTACGGATCCGACATGGAGCGAGCGTGTGCGTCGTCGCCGAGCGTTCGCGGATGTCGAGTTAGAGCGAGGGTCGGCTCCAGCACCCACCGCCCCACCGGCGCCCCCCGCGGCTGTCTTTTGCAGACATCTCTTAGCAGCCTTACTCACCAACTACGCACCAGCTCCTCCGCCACCACAGAAACCTAAATTGTCGTTTTCAATCGAATCTATAATTGGTGTTCAGTAAAATTGTCTACACCAAATTGACTCATCCGAAACCGAAGGTAGTGAATACCTAGTGGAACGTGGAAGAGTAAAACTGCAGTTTAATAGTAAACGAATGTATGTTATGTACATACTGCAATGTTATAGGCAAGTCAACCAAACTCAAAAGGACTTTTGTTCAGTGAGGAGTCTCTCGAATTAAGAGTTTTGTAGTTTCCGACTTTGGGTAGTTCCTAAAGTTATTCAGTTTGATGTCGCTATTAAGTGAATATTTATAAAGAAACATAATTTTAAACTTTCTTGTCGTAATAAGTAGGTGAAGCAAATGAAATAAAACTAAATATTTGAACAATGAGTGCTTTATTAACGAAATGTATGGTAAAGGATTTGTATTTCGAGGTCATTTTTGCAACCGGAAATGTTAGGTTTGACATCAAAATCTGATGCAGAAATCAGACATCTAAATGTTAAAGTGAGTACAGAAACTCCGAAAAATGTGATACAAAAGTTTGTACATTTAAATTTTAACGTGTTATGACACCAGCCTACATTAGGCCACAGGAGGTAGTGGTAATCCCAGGAATTCTATTTTAATATAAATCTATAAAATACTCTTATCTGTGTACTGTACTCACCTTATATATTACAAATAAATTAATTAAACTCGACTTACACAACGGAAATATTTCAAACTTCACAAATGTAAAGCTGTAAATACAACAATTTCATTGATGGTCAAATTCTATTAATGAAAACTCCAAGATGATAATAATTTACTTATAAATAAATTATAAAAAATCTGCATGGGTTAGTAAATATATAGTCCTGATTATAACAGATGAATTTATAATGTATTTTACGTAATAAATAAAAGAAACATCATAAAATATACTCAAAAATAAAGTGATTATCGATAAATAGTAAATATACTTTCGGTGTGGAGCAATATGTAAGTACGTAAATAAATGTTAATAGTACATGACATATAATATAATCGTATACATAGATAAATTAGTGAGTTGACAACCATTTTACACAAGATAATATATACAGTACACATAATACAAGACAATATATCCATAAAATACGATACATACAACTTCACAATATAATGCACAAATAAATATGTACTTTGTTGAATTTATTAATGCACAACACAAAAATATGTCAACTATACGCGTCGCAAACAACCTAATAATAATAAATTTATATCGACAATGCATCACATATGTTCGTCCGTAGAATACAACTATAATTTAATATAACTATGCCTCGAGGAGGGGAGTGCCTCACGAAAGTCGCCACTCACGCACACATGCACGCTATCACTTATCCGACTATTATCACGGTTCCTTTTTATGAAAACAAACAACTACATTATAAAATCATGACATAAAATCTCCTAACCTTAAAAATAAATTACGAAGTGGGTGACCTCGTAAGCTTCATGTAAATGAATTTCACTTACAAAATAAATGGTTCTCAAATGTATCCGAATCGCAGCGGTTTGTAACGGCAAATTTTTAAACGGGCACCGAAGCGAGCAAGTTATCTAATAGATGTTACCTTAGTTGCAGACATTTTGGTAGATTAACCTGCTTGTACATTCTCCGATGGTGCGTCGGAGGTGGGACAGTTGACCTCTCGCGCTGGAGAGCATTCATCCGCACTCTAACCGGACTTCGTTGGCACTTGACAAGGAATGGGACTAGACAGGAACTTGGGATAGGACCGACAGGGATTTCAGGGACCGAGGAAGTCCTACTCGAGTAAACAATATATTACTTAAATATATGTAATACACAATTCGCCGATACCCAAAACATATGACACCCAAAATTCTAAGTTGATGTGACGAAGCCAAAAAATAAAATTTAGATATTTGACGGAATGTTAAAATTTACTTATATCCCCGAAAAACCGTAATAGTTAATCCACTGCACACCTACCTCTAAATTGCAATATTGTAAAATATACTAATGTTCATTTGAACTACAAAATTTCAGATCCCCATTATCTGAAAAACTAAATGACATATAACAAGTGTTTTAAAGTCAGACTTTTAGCTTCATAAAACAAAAAATAACAATTTTACTTGCATATAATATACATCGCAATATGTATTTACATATACATAATATTACTTTATTTTATTATAATAATAAATAGGAATTTATATCAATCATATAAGTTGCTCCCGGTAAATCGACTTTTGAAGTGTACATTTTAATCGTCAAGTTCTTGCGACAAGTTGTTTTTTATAGGCAAGGAGTGGGCCACTTTAACCAGTCCAGAAAATAAACTTCAAGAGACATCGCTAAGATCGATCACCGAGAACCACCAAAACATACAAATTTATTAAAACAACATACAACGTAAAAATACTATTTGGTATATTATATAGCAGAAATCTAGCCGTCATAAAATCTATCAAAGCAGTACATTATCATATCTACACTGACACAGACATATATCGTACACATATATTATTAGTCAAAATAAACCAGTCACAAATCACAGTTGACATAAATTCTCGATTTCCCTAAGTCTTGTAATTTATACTAAAATAATAGTAAAAACACATCAATTTTAATTACTAGAATACATATTATCAATTTGAAAACCTCTTAAGGACATTTTATAAATAAATGCTTGCAACGCAATATTTGACATTGAGAATTTTATTAACAAACAAATTAGCAAAATAGTCGCATAGTGTCAGTAAAGACTGAAATCAAAAGTGACATCGAAGTTGAGCAGTGGATAGTACAACCATGGACCAATAACACAAGGGGACTGCTAATCGAAATACAAGACAGCGTAGTCGGGTTTTTAGTACGTATTGGTACGCCAGCTGTCGCGACGAGTACCAAATAGCTATTTTGGTAACTAATTTGTTTTACATTGACGAGCTGCAATTTACCAAATCTACTCTGATTTCTAGTGATAACGAACAAATCAACTAGATGTCGCTTATTGCACATATTGTTATGGATACTGCCGATTAGCGCCATCTACCCATGTTAGCAATTTCACAATACCATCTGCGCATATTTGTCGAAGTTCAGAAAATAATTTTAGCTCATGATCAACATTTGATTATAATAAATACAGAAGGGAAAGAAACTGACTATTTATATTTCATACAAAAAAGGAATTAATTGATAACAACGGCTATTTACATAGTATAAACTATACTTCGTTTCAATCCATTTTAAACAAAAAGTAAACAAACAAGTCACTGACCTGACCATAGACGGTTTAGTGATGTCCAATTGCAATGTAAACTAAAAATCGATTAATTAATTGAACGAATCGATTTGTTTTATTGAGTCATACCAGCGGTTTTCCTTACATGAATAGTAAAAATACATAACCTATAAAAGCATGTATTCAAAATTTCCGAAATCTTAATTTTAAATTCTCCTTCAAATCTTTACACTTAGATACTCGTTCGATTGCGATTTAAATTTTCTATTTATCAAATTGTTACAAAAACTTTAATTGAATGAACGGAATGTTTTTTTTCGTACAGCACTATGCAACCATAGACAAGTCATAGGAGTACAGATGAAAAAAAATCACTTTTAAACTACCATTTTTTACGATGTTATTCAAATGAATGTTGTTGGGAAAAGTGATGAGATATCAAGTCGAAAACTTCGAAATATACGTGAAAGTGTTTCTTAATCGATTTACTGAGTGATTGTTTTAGAATTTTAATCAAACAGGTTTCTTTACTTTTTGTTGAAAATGGGTTGGAACAGACTACACTTCCACTCTATTGATTAGCGCCATCTAGATACGGGATTTTGACCATCTCAGAGTTACGATCTGTAGTATAAAGACTCGTCGTCTTGAGTTATTGTTCCATGGTACAACATAAAACTACCTATTCATGAAAATCGTGACAATGACTGGTGGTATAATCATATGAATTCTAAGAGATATGAGACCGTTACTTTGACGCCATTGTACAGACGAATAGTACATAATATACCTTACTAAATGAATATTAAACAAGAATGCAAAGGCATGCATGACTGTAGATACCTAAGAATAAGTTGCAAGAAGAGACAAGATGTACGCAAGCCTAGTTCTAATGAAAGAAGTTTTACTATATAAAAAAACAAAGTTAACCGTAGTAAAAGCTACTCGCTCGACTGTTAGTAATTTTACCATAGGAACTAAAATTAAGCTGTTTTGTTTTAGGTAAAAACTAATCAAATGTGTCTCATCTGTACAGTTAATAAAACTATGCACTATCACTAAGGTTCATGCGATTACAATAGATATTGAAACCATATCTAAATCAGTAAGTCACCGTGTTGAAACAGGTGGTGAGTAAATACTACAGCTACAGGCCAATGAGTGAACACTTTGATTCGATAACAACGAATGAAACGCCACGAATGCATGCAACGTGCGACATTAACATTCCACGATACGAATACATAAGCTTAGCACCCCGTGATATAAAAGTATGTAATGTACTCTTAGCCCGCCTACCGTCTACCTGTGCACGTCTATTGCCCAGGACGTGCGCGGGCGCCGATCACACCGCGCCCGTCTGCCACTGTCGATTTGTCGTAACACTCAGTGCGAAAATTAAGTCTATCCGCCGCTTCTAACTAACAAAAGAGGAATTTCAGATGTAAACGAAAAGTCACTGATTAAACTGGTCACTCTCCCGGTAGGTACGGTAAACGGAAAAATTTCATCGCTAGTCTATTGAGGTTAGTGTGTTGGCACTTGAGGTGGTGTCGGCGACTGGCACCGCGCGTGGTTCGATGGCTGTGACGGTCCCTACGCTCCGGACGGCCCTCCGCCCGCAATGTCTTCCCGACCCGTGCTGACATTGATTCCCCTGCAAAAGTACACATTCTCACATCACATCAGAGTAGCGAATCGCAGCAGTCGCTACAAATATCTTTTGTATATGTTTTGTACAGTCTTTTTAAGTTTAGCTTTATATTTCAATTCTAAATTTAAATGTGATTGTTTTTGGCGCCTTTTTACTATTGTTTCTGTTTTTTGGAGCTGTACGTGTTTTGTAATAAATTAATAAACTGGAAGTACATTTACTTTGGTCATGCTCACTTGTTGATAGCACACACCCGAACCCATTGATACAGTCCGCTACAATCAGAGACACTTCCAGGTCGAAGGGCGAAAACTTCACTCAAACAATTACGAAAACGAAAACAAATGTATCTTACCATAAAGAATGTGGTGGACCCTATATCCCGCACATGGCCGAGAGGCGCGCACTCAGTTGCACGGGAAACTGATCGGTGAACCGGCGCCAGTTTTCCTCTCCAACCTGATTCTTGAACCCGTGCAGGATCTTAGTGAACATCTCCTTCAAGTCGTCTTTCGGATGCGACCATGAAGCAACCGCGTCGCAGAAGAACATGAAATCTGGCACTACGCCACCAGGATTGACTTGTATCATCTGGCAGATACCGCGGAACGCAGAGTCCTTTTCGTCGTTATCTCGAATGTTCCGGAGTGATGCACACCTATATGAAATGTTTAGGTTTCAGGTTGCGTTCGAAGGAGAAGGTTTTGTTCGAAGCCTTTTGTAAATAATATGCTTTTTAAATTTATCTCTCATTCTTGTTCGTATAAATATTTGCACCTCTTGATTGCAACTGTAGCTACTATTATAGAATCACCCAGCGACTAACACTTTCAAAATTATTAATATATCAAGCTCCTATTAAGAAGTGGCTATCGTCTATCGATAGGACAACTTTTGATTTAATGCTTTTGACACACAAGTTTTCTACTTCCAATACAAATAGACCCATCACAGGAAGAGTCGAATAATATATGTAAATTTTTAAGCCCATGCTTTCTTTGGATTACAAGTAGTCAATGCTTAAAAGGAACCGATTGTTCTTCACACTATACTACTCGATTTTTGATATGAGTATGCAAAAGGCTTCGAAATACCTAAAATAATTTGAATATTCATGGATGATATCTCGAAGAGATTAACGTTCGAAAAACCATACCAACTATAATGCCGTGGAGCCAATAAGGAAATAAAACAAGCAAATAAATACTATCATTGAAGGATACATGAAGATTATGGGGTTAATATCAATGTGAAAATAAAATATTGAAAAGTGATTGCACACAAAAACATATTTAAATGAACACTGATTCAAATGAGCGTTCCAAACTGCAAGCAAATAAAATAAAACAGATCATACACACATTAAGGTATCAATAAAATTAAATGCGTTAAGGCAATTTTGTCTTGCAAGTTGGATAACTAAATATAAATTTAGCAGTTCATATAATTTAGAAAGCGGATGGTGTTCAACACACAAAATACGGCACCGAAAATAAGATGATCAAACAAATACCATAAATCTGTGTGTTCGCGCAGTGTGGCCCGGTCGACTTACATCAACATGCCTGGTACAACATAAATATAACAACTCATCGGATAAAATAACATTAACAAGCCATCAACAAACACCATCCACGATCGAAATAATATCAATTAAAACTTATTTTAACGTAATCGTAACAATATAAGTAAAGTAATAATAAAAAAAATGACTACAGACCACTGGCGTACAAATTGATGTAAAACGGGTGCGACGTCGTGGGGGCACACATAACCTAGCCGACCGATAGTAATTGCTACACGCCACGACATACCGAGAACAAAACCAAGAAAACAAATCAACAAACCATCCAAAACATAGTTAAATTACATAAAAGTCAGCAACAAATTAGTGTTACGAATAGAAAAAATGTGAAACAATTTCGTTCTAACTAATTAAGTAAATTATAAATCGCATGTTCAAAAGATGGCCTGTCAGTGAGTAAACTGCGAACTTTGTTACGATTGACATTATTAAATATACATAATCGTATGCGGTAATAAATAACATATTACTATTTAGGTCATCTTTCTAACTTAGGCACACACTTTTGTTTGAAAATAAAATCTACAGTAGTGTACAGACGGTATTATTTACATTGTACTCCAAAATAAACCTAAGCTCATCATGTTTTCGTTGAAAATACTTTTTTGCTTTACAGGTGTATCTGTAATTTATCGTTGATAAAAAAGATTTGTTGTTTGAGTTCACATGTCGAAGTTTGCGATTTGATTGTTTGTGGTGTTAAAGGGTACATAATAAATACAATTGGAAGTGTTCTATATAAACGTAAAACAGAAAGAATAATGATGATCATTATGAAACAGTATGGGAAATCAATATCAAGCAGTGATTGGGTACACATATAAGGTCCATATTCACAGCATAACAATACTGCCACCAAGAATGTTTCTTACTGAAAAATATTCTAGCAAATAATATATATCAAAACATTAGATAATTTGTTGTTATTTTACTAAAAATTCAATAATTTAACACAGATATACAATTTAATATAATTATATATATATTAATAAGGGTGAATGCTCACTTACCTGTGTTCTCGAGTAGTGTTTTGGGTGTGTTAGGCCTATTGATGATTTCGACTAAGTGGTTCAGTACGAGTGGGATATATTTTGAAGTATCGGATCCTGAAATGTTAATAAAATATATAATCTAATGTAAGTACGGTCATCGGCTGATATATGGTATGGTACTACCTTTTTTTATACTCCGTCCAACCATTTATTTACCTTTTGACATATGCATGCCTCCGAACATACAACCATAGACAAAAAAATGCAATAATTCCTGGACTCTTTTATTTTTTAATTTTAGCGAATAGACGTGCTTTTTAGCGCCGATATTTATCGAGCCAACAGATTATGCAACGAAGATTATTCAAGTTGATAAATTTTGGTACCTGTCTAATAGATTATAATGTAATGAAAAATAAATTATACACAATTATAATAAATTCTTATTGTTTATTATAACGAGTCGTCGGATTCTTCTTCATATGAACGGGAATCATCACTTGAATCCTCATTAACATTAATTATTAATTCTTGAGGACACAAATTATCAAGTGCAATATCACGATTCCAATCAGGCAATATCGTCTTTTTGGAACCCGTTCACATTCACGATTAAAACTTTTTCATAAATAAAATCGATTGTTATAAAAAATCGAATCAACAGCGCATTAGGACATCACTAATTGATTAGAATTCGAGCTGTCCAAAGTGAAATAAACGGTTGGATGGAGTATACCCTTGTTCATCAAATGAACCAGAATCATTGTACACTAACTATTAGTCTTTAATGGAGAACAGTACACACCGATCTTTATGTACTAAGAAAGGTAAGGAAAGTAGGAAACATGAATATTACAAAGTCTTTTATAGACAAGACAGTTTGTCGCCGGATAGCACAAGTCTCAAAATGGACGTACATTTGGTCGATAGGAATTATAAATGAGGCTATCAGCGCAAAAGTGGTGTAAACTAGTGATGCAACTGACCTATGCTTCTGCTTCCGCAATTGCGGAAATCCCGCACGCTTTTTCACATCTGTTTCCATTTTTCCTTCCGCAATATTTTTAACGGCGTTTACAATATTTGCAACGCGTCAGACGCTAGTGCTAGTAGCAGATTACCGCTAAGGTGGAGCACGCTTTTTATAGTAGTTTTGTGTTGTGTAATAATTGCACTTAAATTATGAAACCAAAAACAAGCCCTGTCAGGAACTATTTTGTGTTGAGTTTTTTATAGTATGTACACTTTCGCATCCACTTCCGTTTGAGTTTCCGCTAAGATTTACTTTTGATCTATGTTTACGTTATGACACTTCTGTTGCACCACTAGTGTAAATCAGTATTAAATTTTTTTTTCTACAATATTATTTTAAATGATACTGTACATAATTGTTTTACATTTGGATGTTATTTTCATGTATAAAACAATAAAAAATTATTAAATTTTTTATATGTGAAAATAGTATCTAAATATAAATACTTTAGTATTATTTAAAGTAATATTGTAGAAAAAAAATTAATGTGCGTTAAAACAGCTTCAATCGATTGCACTTATGAAATAAATTTTAGCCAAGAATCCTAACCAAAATACAGCTATAACTAGTGTTGCAAGGCATTCTCTATTTTCAAGTATCCTAGGAACGAGTTTTCAGACCCCAAAAGTTCTGATTTTTCGATTTATTTTTGTTGTAAATTAAGAACGCTTTTTTTTCTAATATGCTGTGTTCCTTAAGTTTATTTATCGTTTTTGGTATTGTAATATACAAATTGTGTAGATGCACGAAAGGAGTTTCCTCGCAATGGCATACTATTTATGTAATATGTACGTCTGGTGCAACCTGGGCAATAAACGGCGAGTAACGACGTCGATTGGCAAATCCTTTTATCGCGATGGCAAACATGTCCCACACGTCAGCATGGCGGCTACTACTAGTGACGCGGGTAGTGGCGATAACTTCAGGACCAAAACAATATAAAGTCTGTTCCAATCCTTTTTAAACAAAAAGTAAACAAAACTGTTTGGTTCAAGTTCAAAAGCAATCACTCAATAAATCGAATAAGTAACACTTTCACGTATATTTCGAAGATTTCGACTTGATATATCATCACTTTTTCCAACAATATTCATTTGAATAGCATCGTAAAATCGTATTTGGAAAATGATAGTCCAAGGTGAGGTTATTTTTCAACTATACAGCTATGACTTGTTTATGGTTGCCAAGTGCTGTACGAAAAAGACATTCAGTTCATTCAAGTAAAGTTTTTGTAATCGATTAGTAATTCGGAAATTTCAATCATAATCGAACGAGTATCTAAGTGTAATGATTTGGAGGTGAATTTAAAATTAAGATTTCGGAAATTTTAAACATGCTTTTATAGGTTATGTAAGGAAAACCGCTAGTATACCTCAATTAAACAAATCGATTCATTTACCATACAATTGACCTTCACTAAACTGTCTATACTCGGTCAGTGACGTGTTTCTTTACTTTTTATTTAAAATGGATTGAAACGAAGTATAGTGTATGCCACCGATACGATATGAATGAATGCTGTAAACGTTACCTAAACTAGAAATATTAATTTATTTAACACACTTATAAAAGAAAACTTTAAAGATCATGACTCTGTTCCTTTTGAATTCTGGTTTTACCAGTTATGCTTTTTTACAACACCAGCTATAACATTAAAAGTTAATAGTATAGTTTCTTTTACAATTTCTTTTAGAGCATAATTGCATGAATCTAATTTGCTGGTAAGGATCCTGGCCACATATACGTTTTTGACAATACACTACAGTGCCTAATTTATTAAATAAGCAATTAAAAAAAAAGGTTGTTTGATAACTGTAAGGTCCTCACCTAACTTAATACTAATTTCTCCAATAGCCCAAGTGGCGTTATTGCAGACGGATATAAGCTCGGGGTTGAGGTTCATGCCCAAGATTGGCAGGAACTCCGGTATGCACGGCAGCACGTGTTGGAAACACGCTTTTGTTAAGTCGCCTAACAATGCGAAAGATGATTGGCGAACCTGCGTAATGAAAAAACGTATAAAAACGAAATGTTACGAATAGAGGCTACTATAATTCTATAACATTTTCCATTATTACAGAGTTCACTGTTAACTGGCCATGCAACATAGCTCTCTTCACATCATTAACTTATCCGTTATATAAAAATGCTGGTTTCGTATGCGAACACAGCTAAAGGCAACGAAGTTTTATTGTTTTACTTCCTTATTTATTTAGCTATATTATAGAAGTATAACATAGAAAATAGTATTGTAAAACAGCCGTGTTTCGTAGACGTATACATACCTCGGGCATGGGATCCTGCATGCACTGGTACAACAGCTGCATGAGATTAGAGTTGACAACAAGATGGTCTATATGCCCGTCCAAGCCCTCCGCTAGTCCGCTCAGCAGGTCCAGAGCTACAATCATGAAGTCTTTGTCTGGTGCTTCGAATTGGTCTGGACTTTGACTGTTTGCCTAAAAAAATATTTATCAACATCATCATCAGCATCAACTCATTTATACGTCCCACTGCTGGGTACGGGTCTCTGCTCAAGCGAGGATTTAGGTATAGTCCGCTACGCTGGCCTAATGAGGATTGGGGACTTCACACGTTTTCCAAGAGTTGTGAATCATCTTCGACGTGCAAATTTCATCACTATGTTCTCCTTCATCGAAAAGCTCAAGGTAAATTTGAAATTAAATTTCGCACATAAATTCTGAGAAATTCGCGGTGCGAGCGCGGATTCGAACTCACGTCTTCTGCTTGAGAAGCGGTAGATCAAACCAGGCTACCACGGCTTTTTTATACTTATTATATTAGAACTTCAATTAAAAACTAAGGTTCTCGAAATATATTTCGCTGTTTTTAGGACAGATTTATAGAAGTCATATAGTATACCAACATGCTGGATATAATACTATTTATTACTATGTACGTGTTACTGCATGTAACTGTCTTAATACTTACTATGTTCTGATTTAGAGTTTGTTCTATTAATGATACACATCGTCTGAAAACCGGTTCGCAATATGGCAGAAATCCTGACTGCAGCGCCGTGGCCACAGATGACAGACACTGTAAAAAAAACAATATAATACCAGACAGGTGATAGGGTTATATGGAAGAATAATACGTACTTGCCTAATCTATGCCTAAATGATATACACTATTGTGAAATCTGGTTAATTACAAAAATAAAAATTTTGTGGAAAAATAAAAAATGGCAAAAATAAAAAAATGTTTTCTAAGGTTCATTTTACACGCTTTCGGTGACATTACGTGTGAAATTACGTCGGTTTATTGCTCTTGTTAATTTTTATTATCATTTTAGTTACCCATGTTCATTATACTAAACACAAACTCGGATGATCCTAGATTTCTAGATATATCTTTATTATTATTATTAGTATTATAATAATATATATCTTACTTCATACTTTAAATTTCATTCAATGAAATCATTGTACATCATAAAATATGCAACAAACCTCGAGCAATGGGAACAAGTCCTTATCCTCGTCCTTCAAGACATTCCATTTGTTTATAAGCGGTGGCATCAACAGGTTAATATACTCGGGTTTGTTGAGATGGTGCCCGACCGAGTCAGCCAAAGTGCCTATTGCGTCGTACAAGATCAGCAAGTTCTTATGCTGATATTTGCTAAATGCATAGACCAAAGTCTGTAGTATGTAGCCCAAGTACGGCACTAATTCTGTGCACGCTTCTTCTTCGAGTGTAGCGAATGCGGAACATGCGGCTTCTTGGACACGCTTGTTGTTGTCCAAAACGCGTTTTAGGAGCTGTAAGGAGATGTTGAAGTGGTCAGTAAAGGTGTAAAGTCGAAATTTTATTGTGTATGTATACTATTGATGCAGAACATGGTGATAACATATGTATAAACTGTATTATAGATAATGAGTGACATAATTAGTTTACTGAATACAAGATAACTAATTGATTTAGCAGAGAGCTCAACCAAGCTTTATTTATAATGAAGGCATGAACAAGTCGTAGGCCTGGTGTTAAGCGACACATCTGTCCACAGCAGTTGTAGTGCCACTCAGAGCTTTAAATCGTAAAGATCTGAGGGACACTGTCGCTGTACCATTACGCAGCAATGTCCACATTAACGGCTTGGTGACAGAAATAGGTAAGGTAGCAGTACTTCTCTGGTTGAACTTTTTTCACAAGAAGCTCTACAGCTACTGTATATAACTCTTATATAGTTCTTATATAGAGTTATAGAAATATCTGGATCATAAATTCTTATAGTCCATTTGTTTAGCTACTTAACTAAATGTAAACAATCTTGATACATCTTTTTATCGAAACATACTTTACAAATCAATAAGTATAAAAATAGGCATGCAATTACATATGAAGCTAAATATTTGTATTTTGTATTTGAAGGTAAGTAAAAATAATTTTATAAATGTGTATTTCATTAAATAGACATATCAAGATTGTTTACGTTTACTTAAGTGCCAACCAAATGGACTAAGTCTTTCAGGGTCGTATTCTAGAACTCTACTGAGATATATAACAATACTGAAGTCAGGACTTGAGTATTGCAGTGAGCACTGAAAATCATACTCAAGTCCTTGCCATTAGGGTCGTATTTCCAGTGCTTGAAATCATATTCAAGTCTGCTCAAATCCTGACTTGAGCATTGAGTAGAGTTCTGGAATACGACCCTCACAAAGTTGCGAAAGTGGAGTGAAATTTTACAAATGTGTTATAAGGGTGTCTGTTATATTATAACCAAATTATATTGGTCGTATTATTTGAAATTTTTTGATATACATTGTTTACTAACCTCAGTCATAACAGGGCGAAGATACAAATCGTGCGATTGTGAGACGATCCAGTGTGAGTACCGCGACAAGGTCCAGCACGTGATAGCGCGGACAAGCGCCTTGCGTTCCGATAAGCACACCACCAGATACGGAACCAGGTCTGGTAAATGAGGCACCATGCCACCCATACAGCCGTCGGCTACGGCACCCAAGGCAAGGATGCCACTCTCCTGTGGTACACAGGACGTTAAGGTTTTAAAAACAATCATCTCAAGATCTTCGGTATTAATAATCAACGCCATCTTGGATGATACTATCTCATGCTACCAATCCCGTGCGAGTGGTTGATTAGGACATGACGATTTAGACTCGTAGCTTAAGTGCGGGGGGAATTTTTTCAATGTGTAAAACGCAACCAGGTTTTCCTGCGGGTAATGCAGGAGTAAAGGAATAATGGTTATACAACTTCGTTGCAACATCCTTCCCTCGCTTAACCTCATCAAGTCGTGAACGATTTTGCTATCGTCATAGGGTCGTTATAGATTCGTAAGAAACACACGACACCTACGTCTTTCGGCGGTTTAGGACCACAATGAGAAATGATCACAATTAAAAAGGGTCACTTTTCGAATTGCCCACTTCTTGAAATAACCACGGGGCCTTCTGCCTTAGCCTTTCTCTACAGACTTTAACATATTCTGCGTAACATTACCTTGATGACCCAATCCTCGTGGAACAGTGTCTCTTTGAGGATCGGAAAGAGCACAGGAAGCAGGTCGGCGCCGAACACGTTGGCGAGCACGTCGAGAGCTGCCGCGCTGCACTTGCGCAGATTCCAGTCGGATAACGAGCCGTCATCCGCATCCGCGCCGCCCTCTTCCTCGTCGTCCGACTCGCCGCCGCCCGACATGTTACTGTCGCCTGCTCCTACTGGAGATATCTTTCATTTTACTTAGTGTGTTAGGTTATCACGAGGAATTTGTCTTCAAAAGGCGCGACGATTTCTCACTCACAAACGCAACCACACATTCGCACTGACCTTGACCGACGACGGATTGTAATAACTGCGTATGTCAGTTATAACTAGTGATCGGTATTAATGGAGTTAAATTAGCTAAACTAAACAATAACGTGGACATTCCCTTACAAAAATGTCGGGACTTGTTTATTGTAATTTGAGTACAATGGCAACTAATTATTATTTCCTATTAAGTATTTGCTACAAAGTATTGTCTCAAATCATCTCAGTACAGAGTGCTAAAAAAACGATCTCAAAAGTTCGTGGAACTAATACATCTATTTGCCAAGTTTTATTGGAATCGATTACCGGAAAGTGCGCGAAACCGGATTTATTCTCTAGTTTGTTACGCTTAGAGGGTAACCTCTTTCCAACAAAAAAAAAAGAACCATCTAAATCGTTTCACAAATGTCGTAAGTCATTGCGTAACATATGTTTTTTGGAGTCGGTTAAAAAAATATATTCTACTTGTATTTCTATAGGTACTTACGTATTTCATTACCTTAGCCATTTAAAAAAGAAACACGAGACAACCTATATTTTGGACTATTAGAAAATAAACAGGAAAAAATGAAATTTTACAAGCTTTGATGACGAGATGGGTACGTCCATACTAAGATAACGTTCATACAGATTAACTCCCTCAATTCCGAGCACTGGTTATAACCCAATATAGCAAGGTAATATAGCAAAACTCTGTATTTAATTTGAATTCGTATTTTTCCATAGTGCAGTTTTGCAGCTTTTCAATATTAATATAGAATTAACTAGTTAGGTAACAACATTCCTTAAGAATAGTACACCGTTCCGGAAACAGGGAAGTCAGTATGTGTGCGTGGTATGTTCAGTTTTGTGCGTGTTCTTTCCAATAAATATGTGCCAGGAACTTGCTAATAAAAAAAAGGCAAGACAAATGGTTGCTATATAAAAAAACTGACCTCAAAAGTACGTGGAATTACGTCTAGTTGCTAAGTTTTATTGAAATATCCCCTAGTTCGCCACTATACAGGACTTGACATTGGAGATAATATTAATCGGTTCTCACTACTCAAAGTATATTGAGAAAAAAAACGCCTTGAATTGGAGAAATAGCACAATCAACCATTAAAATAATTGCTCCAAAATTAAAGTTAGGCGCTATTTATAAAAATGAATCTTCATGCGTGAACAGCCACACTTAAAGGTGGATGATTCTCTTCAAAATGAAATGGGACCACTATGGAAGTACCCCCTTTCCAACAAAAAAAAAATCATGAAAATCGGTTCACAAATACCGGAGTTATCGCGTAACATACATACAAAAACCACATACAGTCGAATTGAGAACCTCCACCTTTTTTGAAGTTGGTTAAAAAGTACGAAAGAGCGGAGATAAACTATGTATCTTGTGTAGAATTTAGTTTTGGATGGAAAGGGCAGTAGCAGCGTATTTTCTGGATTATATTTCATCAAATTCATAGTTGAAGTCGCAAAAACTGACCATTATGTTTGATAGTATGTGAGCGCGGTTTGTGAAAACGCGGGCGGATGTCCGACTCGCGGTCGGGCTCCGCATCATCTGCGTCGTCATCGCGGTCACCGCGGAGCAGAATCACGTCCATCTCCGAGTAGCGCATGCCACGGACCAACACTGGCAGTAGGGCCGGCAGTCGAGGACCTAACACCTGTTGAACAATTTCATAATGTTTTGCAACTACAATATCTCACAAAAGGATACATGCTACCTACACATACGTATTTTTTTTAACTAGGGAAACCCTGTATCGCGGGTGCTATGGACATACAAATAGACAACCAATAAACTGCCTCCGTGGCCCAACGGTTACCATGCCGGACTGAGGCAGTTTTCATCATCAATGTCACTTTAGGAAAAGCTACATTTATAAAATAAATGACATCGTTGTTCTTTAACCAACTGTTTATAGCTGTAAATAATTTTTTAGACTTGTTTGCATTCGAAGTAATGTTTAATGCTTCATTCAATATTAACGACAAAATAGCCTCGCCATAAAAAAAAATAAAAGAAGCAAAAAATTCGGATCTAAAAATATCCCGATTTGAGATCGACAAAAAGCATCTGTTAAATCTTATTTATCGTTTTCAAGATAATCTAAGCGATATAAAAAACCTAGTTGCATATACACTCCCGGACACATAATTCGAGCCATTTTGTATTCTTATCTTTAAAGAAGTACAATATAAAAATATATACTTCGTTTCAATCCATTTTGAACAAAAAGTAAACAAACAAGTCACTGACTCGACTATAGGCGGTTTAGTGATGTCCAATTGTAACGCCGACTACAAATCGATTAATTAATTGAATGTATCGATTTGTTCAATTGAGCCATACTAGCGGTTTCCCTTACATAACCTATCTAAGCATATTTAAAATTTCAATTTAAATCCTTCTTCAAATCCTTACACTTAGATACTCGTTCGGTTGCGATTGAAATGTTCGATTTAATAATCGATTACTAAACTTTAATTGATTGACCGAATGTTTTTTTTCGAACAGCACTATGCAACCATAGGCAAGTCATAGAAGTATAAATTAATAATAACCTCACTTTTGGACTACCATTTTTCAAATACAATTTTACGATGCTATTCAAATGAATATTGTTGGAAAAAGTGATGATATATCAAGTCGAAATCTTCGAAATATACGTGAAAGTGTTACTTATTCGATTTATTGAGTGATTGCTTTAGAATTTTAACCACACAGGTTTGTTTACTTTTTGCTCAAAATGGATTGGAACAGATTATAGTTAGTTATCTTCTAAGAAAAAGTTTTCTCCGGTTTTATTAATTCAAATTTTCAATAAGGGCTCAAGGAAATGACGTTTAGTACACCAGTTTCAAAGTTGCATAATAGTTCTTGATCAATCAAGCACTGTTTAAGGTAAGGGCATTTAATTTTGAAAATGCAAGGTGGCTCGAATTATGCGTCTGGGAGTATATTTCTCTCTTTCTGATTAGCAAGGTCCAGAAGGCAAGGTGGCAAAGAGGCGGTCTTAGGATCGATTCCGGTAGGAGCAATTTGGGAAATTAACTTTTCTTAATTAGTTCTAGTCTGGATGTTCTGGGCTTCAAGAGTGAATTCCGTTAATTTGATACTCATATACAGGGAGTTTCCTAGTTTGAGACCAGGTAACTGATGTATTTACCACCTCCGTGGTCAAATGACTTGCGCACCGATAATCAGTGTCGCCATCTCTGAGGTTTTCTTGTCCAGGATTAGGGTATATTATCTCAGTCTAGGTGTTTGTGGTACCATTGTTGTTTCGGATTTCCATAACACAAGTGCTTTAGCTACTTACTTTAGGATCAGAGCAACGTATGTGATGTTGTCTAATATAAAAAAAAATGTCTGACACATTATTACTATTATTATCATATCCTTATAGCTTTGTAGTAAAAACAAAAACAATGTATATTAACGTTAAATATAGGGGTGTTTTTAATAACGAGAAACTTAATTAAAATACAAAACGTTTTGTTCTGCAATTTTCTAAAATTTCCACGTAACATTTCTCTTACAAGTACCGCCACGCTATGATGGCCGTTTGGACGTTTGTTCGATCATCCAAGTTTCGTATTAATTCATAACTACGTTGAAGAAGCTAATTGCTGTACATTGTTGTAAATAGTGACGTGCAGTAAAAATTATGGAATGTATAATTTTACGACATAACTAGGCATTTGTTTTTTAATATTCGAAATTTTTAAATATAAAGTATAGTAGACATATTAATTTTCATTGCAATAGTCGATTCATTGAAATATTAAGTAAACATATTTATTTACGTTTTATTAAAATTTTTAATCAGCTATCCCTTGCAATACTAGTTATAAATCTAAAAACTTATAAATGTGACTTGCATTTGATTACTTTTTTTGATAATGAATTGAGATTTCACCTCACTATTGTAATATGTCAAAACGGCCATCATAGCGTGTGGATACCTTAGTCGGACACGCGTGCATGAGCTGTTTATCGACTCGTACCACAAAGGGAATTGAGTGAAATTCCAAACGTCATAAAAATAAAATCTACTTTTGTCATAAAATTAAAACCTACTATAATCTGACTACCTTGTATAATTTGGCTAAACTTAGAAGTATAAAATTATCTACAAAGGTAACCCTTGAAAATCAAAAACAAACATACATTATCTAAGATATAAACGTGACATAAAACGCAGTCTGCAATCTAGAGTGGAACGCTCGATTAGATAAGTGAACCTTTAGAGCTCTTGAAAACACGATAATCAAAGAGGTTAGCAATTAAAATGTTTAAGTAACAATTAGTGTACAAGTTCCTAAAGCCTATAGTATCAGTAGAGCACAATAGTCTTAGTATCCTAAGACTTCTTATTCCAAACCACATTAAAACTATCTATAATGGTTCAATGTCACAGATCTTGTATGGTTTGCTCGCTGCATCAATGTCAGTAGTGGACGACCTTGGTGGCATAGTGGTTCGAACTATGGGCGCTGGATGAAAAAGGTTAATTTCCCGGTATATGTAGTTGAAAATAGATTTTACCAACAAAAAAACCATATTAGTCTGTGGAGATTTCAATGTAAACCTTTTGGAAACTGTTCTACTTCTGTATGACTCATTAATTTATTTAGAAGTTTTAACTTGAACAGTATTTTTCTGGAACCAACTCGCATCACTGCTTCATCGTCCACTTGTATTGATAACATTTTTTGCAACACAAATGCAGTATCTAAATCAATAATAAATTGCTTAAAATCAGATCACAGTGGGTAATTGGCTGCTTTTAATTGTAAATTGAGTAAGAAGATAGACCAATTTCTCTGCAGACCGATTACCACAGAACGAATCAATAGATTTCAAACGAATATCGACAACAGTTTAAAGTGCCTCCCCCATAAATCGGAGGTTTGAAAAATTCATTTGATAAAGTGCTTACATCGAAAACGTTAAACGTTAACTTTTGCACAGGGAGACTAAATTCAATGGAAAAAACGAAATTGGGCATTCCTGAGAGTAGGTCTCGTTTGTATGAGCTATATGCTATGAGAACTTATATTACTAATTCCAGTTTTCTAAAATATGTTAAAAATTATTCAAAAATATTTAAAAAAGTATGTGTAGTTGCTAAGATTGTCTCACAGCGATAAAATTATACAATGGAAAAATAAACCTAAAACTACTTGAAGTATAATAAATAAAGTGTCAGGCAGGGTTAAACAACATGATAGAGATATAATTCTAGAATTAGACAACAAACTTATTCAATCTAAAGATGAGGTAGCCCAAGCCTTTGAATCGTTCTTTTCGAAAATCGCCGTGAACACTACAAAATCATTAAATTCCTCTCCATCTCTTGCTATTGATCTCCTAAAGAAAAATGTTAAAGTTTGTGGCTGTGTATTTAATTTTCATCATGTTAATTCATGACATTATTAAAGCTTTTAAACGTATACATGTTAAAAAAAACTGTAGATCTCTGGAGCATATCGACTAAAGTTATGGACTCAGTAATTTATCTAATTTCCTCACACTTAGCTGATGTATTCAATAGGTGCGTTAACAAAGCTATTTTTCCCGATTTGATGAAATACACTAAGGTTAACTAAGGTAACACTAAGGTAAGGTTATTCCTTTATTCAAAAGCGATAGGAAAGTTCATCGAAGTAACTATAGGCCAATTTAAGTAAAATATTCGAAAAGGTTATGTTGACCCGACTACTGTCGTATTTCGGTAGGAATTACACATTTTTCATAGTGAACAATATGGGTTTACTAGTGGTAAATCGACTAACGATGCCCCCGCATCGTAGCACTACTAAAACATATCTTTGATGCTTGGGAAAGGTCCCAGAACGCTATTGGGGTATAATACTCTTAAGGAAGCTGGAATATTACGGAGTAAGTGGCAAGGCGTTGGAACTTGCTCGTCATATCTTAACGGTATAATTCAGAAAGTAGACATAAATGGAGTGACTTCTTTTCTCCGGTACAAATTGGTGTTCCGCAGGGCTCAATACTTGGACCTTTCTTTTTTCTCGTTTATATTAATGATCTACCATTCTTTGTTAAGGACCTTTGCGAAATAGTATTGTTTACTGACGACACATCCTTGATTTTTAAAAAGACAGTCATTACGTTAACTATGACAATATTAATGATACCCTTTCAAAGGTAGTTTATTGGTTTAATGTTAACAATTTATTGCTCAATGCCAAGAAAGCAAAGTGTGTTAAATTTCAATTACCTATTGTAAAATCGACTAGTCGAATCATAGAAATAAATGGAGAAAAGTTACATCTTGTTAATAAAGCTGTCTTTATGGGAGTGACCTTAGATAGTAAGCTCCAATGGTTTCCACGTTAAGATTAAGATCTAATATACAATAGCAGATTAAGGTCTGCTGCATACGCAGTCCGTAGAATACGTGAAATTACCGATGTTGCTACTGCTACACTAGTTTACTTTAGTTACTTCCATGGTATAATGTCGTAAGGGATTCTCATGAGTTTAGGTTCTCGGATTTGTCTCAAAGAAAAGTTTTAAGAGAGTAAAGCGGCAGATATACAAACCATATTTGTGTTGTAAATACGAGTGGTTCGTTCTGTGTACTGTTTAGGTTCTCGGATTTCTCTCAAAGAAAAGTTTAAGGAGAGTAAAGCGGCAGATATACGAACCATATTTGTGTTGTAAATACGAGCGATTCATTCTGTGTACTGTACAGGTTCTCGGATTTCTCTCAGAGAATAGTTTAAGGAGACTGGTATAATGACTGTGGCATCACAGTACATTTACTAAAATGTTTTGTATGCCCGTAAAAATATATATAACTTCGTTAAGGAAGAAGATATCTATAATATTAACGTTAGAACTAAGTCCAAAGTAATGGTAAAAAAATGGTAAAGTAAATGGCGAACTGTATACGTTTTTACAATAAGATTCCGGAGCATATATTAAGATTACCATTTCCTAAGTTTCAATCTTACATTAAAAGTATTTTAATTGGAAAGTCGTGTTACAAAATTGTAGACTACGTGTTAGATAAAGATGTATGCAAAGACAATGTGAGTCTAGAGTCCACACAACTATGATTCAAAATGTATTCTAAAGCATTTAAGTTTCTTTGAAAAGAGCAATCCCTAGAGTTTCTAGAGTGCTCGGTCTTCTCAGGGAGGAGACTACTTCCTAGTGAACGAGCTTAAAAAAAGACGTTTTCAAGTTTAATAATTTCTTCTATGGTTTAAATGATTATTTGAATTTGACCAACTTGGAAAAAACTAACTTTTCAAAACTGGTTCTGATCTGGGTGCTCTAGGTTGCGTTGCTCTGGTATATATAGAGGGAATTCCCTAGTTTAAGACCAAACAATGGTGTGTTTGTCTGGCACATTATTACTATTATTAATATGTTGCATATTAATGTTGATTGATTGGAGAAAAGAAGAGCAAATAAAAGATGCTTGTAAAGCAAAGATAGCCCTTGCAATTCATAATGCTACATTTTAATGTGATCGCGAACACACTGCGCGCTTTCTACGCGCATTCGCAGCGCGAACGTTGTGATCCGTCGGTTGTCGGCTTTCCCGCTTTGACACTAACCAAACACTTTGAGTGCGCGCAGTACTGTCCAAAGATGTTCGTGTACATGTACCGAGCTTTGGGTGTTCCAGGTAACGCCTTGGAGTGAATTCCATTGGTCTGAGACTCATAGTACAGGGAATTTCTAAGTTTGAAATCAGTTAATTAGAGTAGTTGTGTGGAACATTTTTTCTATATTATTGTTACATCCAAATACAGCTTTTTGGTAAACATGTATTTGTATTAACATTATTGTTGATACAAAGATCGCATAATAATGACAAAGTAATGGAATATTTTTATAAAAAAATATGTTATTAACATCATGGTAGTAAAAATAACATGAAATTAATAAAATAAATATGTATTAATATTACATACTGCGTTGTTTTTTAATTAACCAGTAGTTTTTAACTAACCTAACCTAACATGGCATTATCAACTTTAAAATAAAAATCTTATATTTTGCAAATTTCTACAATTTTGATGTCATATTTCCTATTAGTCATCATGGGCCTATTTTCCATTCGTTTGGTGTATTATTATTATTATTCTTCGATCAAAAATGGAGTAATAAAAGTGCTTATTTCATTACAAACTAGTAAGCTGTTTCACATCAGCCCTAGTCTATGTCGTCACTTAGCAAATAACACCGCTGAAGTCGAAAATAGGAGGTTTTTACTCATTAAACTACTTGAATCAAAATAAAACTAGAATAGCAATAAATATAATATAACCAACACACATACACTATTTTTATCCATGCATAGAGCACTTATTACACAACAGCTTAAAAATCCTGTATACAATACCAGAAATGATGTAGTTTTTTCACTCTCCTTTAAAATTGTTCTAAATTATTTGGGCGCTGTTGTTTGCTAAGAGACGATATGCTGCATTGAGTTTAGAACTCATATAAAGTAATCAATTCAAGGTCAGATTGGTCCAATGTAGCGAAATTTTAAATATTAGTGTCTACTGACAATACAAGCTTGATGAAACTAACGCCGAAAATTATTCATAACATCGCAAAATATTGACTGGCAATAAGATTTTATAGCTCCTATGCTAGTGATTGAGCTAGTGCTCCCTACCCTTCAATGTGGTAAACACTTAGACAGCAGTGCAGCATGGCGGTAAAAATAGACAGGGCGGTAATTATAACCTATCCAAACGTCTTCTGCACATCAGAGACAGAAAAATGTTCTCAGCATTTCATTAAAAAAATAATGGGTAGTCTATATTTTTTCTGCAGATCTTACCTCTCTGCAGACATTCTGTTCAGCAAGGGACAGCCAGAATTCACAAGCTTCTAAGGCGACGCCCTCCTCAGGATCTTGGGTACGCACCAGCATGTACTGTGGACAAAATATCATAAAATATATTCATCATCATTCAGCCATAGGACGCCCACTGCTGGGCTTTAGCCCTTAGGCCTTCCCCAACGATGTCCACGATGATCGGTCCTGCGCTGCCCGCATCCATCGGCTTCCCGCGACCTTTACCAGGCCGTCGCTCCACCTGGTGGGTGGCTTACCCACTGAGCGTCGTCTGGTGCGCAGTCGCCATTGGAAAACCTTTCCGCCCCAATGGCAATCAGTTCTCTAACTATGTGCCCCGCCCACTGCCACTTCAGCTGAGCAATTCTTTGAGCTATGTCAACCGACATAGGTATAACAGGTAACCACCTTACTTCTCCTACAGGTTTCCTCATTTCTGATTCTATCACATAGGGAAATACCGAGTATCGCTCTATCCATTGCCCGCTGAGTGACCTTGAGCCTTCTTATGAGGTCCATAGTGAAAATATATTAATTATAGTGAATAGTACGATAATTTTCTCAAAACCCAACTTCTTTTTCCAATCGGTCTTATTGTCATGCAAAAAATTATGTTCTCTAGAAGCTTTTTTAAGTGCCAATATTGTTTTTAAGCAATGTCGAGCGAATTTAGTCGAATCTTCCAGGAGGAGTACTAAATTGTTGTTGTTGTCTTATCGGGCCTTTCGCATATGAAGTATTGGTCAATTTGCTAAATGGTCATCAAGCGACTTCTTCCAATTGAGAATATTGCATTTCAAGGACTTATTGTTACTGGTCAATAGATGTAAACAGGGTATATATAATATCTGACAGTAAACACAGTAAGCTTCCATTCTCTACCTGCCTACCTACTGAGACTTGTCTTCAAAACATAAGGATAAGAGTAGAGGCACTTAATTTCATATTATTTATTGTCTAGTGCTTTCTATGCAGAATATCTAAACACATAATTAAATAAGTTTGACAATGCTAAAGGAATAGTGGAAAATATTTTGTAATCCCTTCAAAGGAACTGTCACTGGTGTAGCTTTGAAGTAATCGAAATATTAGTGGGAGCAGCGATATTAGGGAGTATAAGTGAGACATGGGCTATAAAGAAAATATAAAACTAAACTTACCTCAATAATGTTAGGTAAATGTGGTATGAGTCTGTCCAACCTCACTTCTAAAAGTAAGACCAAGGCGTGACAAACATTTTTCCGGACATCGGGGTCCTCATCAGCTGCTAGGTGGAATAAATTCTGTGAAATAAATAATTCATATTTTTATTCAATTCCAAATTCATCTTCATCACAAATCTGTCTTAACTATAATTTTACCTCAATAAAACTGTCAATGTGTAACATAAGAGCCTGTGTTCTGCCCATGATAAAGTAGTTGACACAAGCAATGGCATGACATCTGATTTTAGGCGATGTATGTCTGAAGAACTGCAGGAATTTTGGGATGAGAACATTTAATGGTCTATTTAATGCATCACTGTCCAATATTTCAGCAGTGTCTTCACAGATTTTTTGCAGTGCACCAAAAGCTCCCTGAAAAAAGAAATATTTTTAAAGGTATTTACTTTTATTACTAAGGTAAGCATGTAGCAACCCTTTGTCAATACTCTAAACAAAGACAATATTTGTTTTTACTAGAATAAAGACACATATAGTAGGACCTCACTCAATATGTTTGTTTCTAGATAACAAAAACAGGTCATTTACATTAACCACACATTTTTAGATTTTTAAACAACATGAGGGATCACCAATTTAATAATAAAGCTACCATACACACCTCACAAACATTGTAGTCCTGTGAATCAAGCATCTGGCATAACGCAGGCAAGAGTTCCGGCCAAGAGGTAAGTTCACCTTTGCTTGCAATGGTAGTAATTATAATGCCTACAGTCGCCCGGATCAAAGGAGAAGGGTCCCCCACCGCAGATAGGCATTCCCGCTTTATAAACTCTGCCACTTCTGGCAAAAAGCTGTTATAATGCGCCTTCACATTGTTCTTCAAAATCAATCCACTAAGCGACCTTGTAGGCTCTTCTTCAGTAACCAGTTTTGTCAAAACAAATATCAAATAATTATTAAAATCCGGGTACTTGTTCAATTCTTCCAATTTCTGGATTAATGCTGCTAAGGAAAATTATAAAATCAAAGACTGTCATGACTGTCATGTCGGAAAAATCGATTTTATCTTTAGCGTTCTACATGTGATACTTATCACACAAATATACACATACATCATAATTCTCAACTTTTGACCCAAAATATAAACAATTTAACCTATATTTTTACATAAATAAAGGAAAAAACGGTTACAGATACAAGAAATATCCACGCCGATAGTTCAACGACACACAAGTTATGAAAAGGATACTTGTTGTACGGCTCTCTGGGTAGCTGTATCTGGTGATTGTGATTCCTTGAGAAGTGTTAGTATTTGCCGTAATCCTTCCTGTTCAGGTTTCCACTCCATTTTCATAATAATTCCACAAAACGGTTTTATTTCACTCGGTCCCGTAAAGATCAACCATGCCAAAATTTGACGAATTGCCAGATTAAAAAATTCTACATTGATTATTATATTAGGGATGTACCACACAGCTGATTACAAATCGATAAAGGGATGTACACATAATCTGACATTGTTGATTGATCAATCAATATGGAATTGTAGTGGCTCTATTATTTGACGTTTCTTGCACTTTGTTTTATCTCATGTGTGATCCTAGTTTTTGTAATTGAAATATTACTAGTTTTTGTATTTAGATTAGTAATAAAAATGCCTAAAATAAAGACAGAGAAAAAGTCTCGAGTCCATAATGAAATTGCTAAACAAGGTACTATAAAATAACCAAAATGTAGAGGTTATGTATGCTTAACGAACGAGTATGAAATATTCTTCAATTTTTTTTGTACTAGGTATACAGTTCAACAAAGATTTCGGTCAACATATTCTCAAAAACCCTCTAATTATCACATCTATGCTTGATAAGTCTGGTTTGAGGCCTACAGATGTGGCCCTTGAAATTGGCCCTGGTACGGGGAACATGACCATCAAAATGCTGGACAGGGTGAAGAAAGTCATCGCGTGCGAAATTGATACAAGGTAACTTAAAATTGTAGGAATTCCATTTCAAATTCAGGCAAGATTTGTCTTTATGCATTTAAAATAAACGCAACATTTAATGAAGTGACCATAACGTATTTTACCATTGTTTTCTAATAAGCACTAATAAGTACTGAAAACGAATTCTATATATACAGTTGTATAATGTTGTCTATTTTTCTTTACAGACTAGTAGCTGAGTTACAAAAGCGAGTACAGGGAACACCTTACCAAGCAAAACTGCAAATCCTAGTTGGAGATATTTTAAAAACAGAACTGCCATTTTTTGATATCTGTGTAGCCAACATACCATATCAAATCAGTTCACCTCTAGTATTTAAGCTGTTACTACATAGACCTTTCTTTAGATGTGCAGTACTTATGTTCCAGAAAGAATTTGCTGATAGATTGGTTGCTAAACCTGGAGATAAATTGTTCTGTAGACTATCTATAAATACTCAATTGTTGGCAAGAGTTGACATGTTAATGAAGGTGAACAACTTTAATTTTATAATTATTTTTAACACTTTCCATACCGACCTGTACTTAGCCAATCCAGACACTATCACAACCACATGTCAATATCACAGGTTGTAGGTTGATTTTCAACACTATTTACATTGTACAGTCAACACCCTAAGAACTTGACCCTCTAGCCTACCTTGTGATGCTGAGTTTTCTTATGTTTTTAACAGAAAAGTGTGAAAGAATTCTAGCTTTACGGTTGAAATTTTTATTCTATATTTAAGTAAGTATATGTGACAGATCAAATTAGCTTAAAAAGTTTCTTAAAATGTCCTTCACTAGTGATGCAATAAGGAGTCATACCAAAATGAATTTTATGGCTCACAGGTTAAAGGTTGTTTATCACTTTTTACACACTTATCTACTCAGAACTTAGGGGGTCAGGTATTCTAGGGCATCAGCCTATTCCTTTTTGTCGGTTCAGAGACTTAATTATTTTTAACATGATTAATAATATAATAACGCACACACTCAACATAGCCCTAAGGAAACCTTGTGTCGCCATGGACACACACATAGATAACCACAAATTATACCCAAACTCATGAGAGAAATAAATGTAGGCCATACAAATATTTGAAAAAGCTGAATAACTTTAATGTAATTAATGAGAAGCTGTAAAGCTATGGTTGAAATAGAGATACTTTTTAGTTTCTATTTATTTAGGATATTTAAATTCATAATTAAGGAAAGAAAAAGAAAAGTAAAAAAATTATGTTAAAAAGTCTCTTTTGTCTCTTGTTGCTAATTTAATACAGATTAGAACACAATATGCTCCTGGTGTTCTTTACGTAACAATAGAAAAAATGTGATGTACTTTTCACTTTTACTCTACATATAATTTTACCAATGTACTTTAGGTTGCAGTATGCTGCTGTAAAACTACACTAGTGTTTTGAGTTGCTAATTATAAAAATAAATTTTATTTCACAGGTAGGAAAAAACAACTTCAGGCCTCCACCAAAAGTTGAATCAAGTGTAGTGAGGATTGAACCTAGGAATCCACCCCCACCAATCAACTTTGTGGAATGGGATGGTCTTACTAGGATAGCATTTGTAAGAAAAAATAAGACGTTGGCTGCAGCATTCAAACATTCTACTACTATGGCTGTGCTAGAGAAGAATTACAAAGTGCACTGTTCTCTTCATAATAAGGTAAGCTATTAACTTCTAAGGTATTGGCTATATGTAGGCTTGTTTTATGGCACAGCCAAATATTGAACTGAACTTATCCATTGTTATATATTATTACAAAAGCCATCACCCTCACCCCTTTCTTTCATTTTTTTACCCCTTCCACCTTATGTTATTGAAACTTAATTTTATTGGGACCCAGTGTTCTTAAAATTCAAAACATGGTGTCAACTTTCTTTCGGTTTTTTAATGTTTGTTATCATATTTATGACCGATTTCTCATTTCTAGGAGATACAAGAGGACTTTGACATAAAACATAAAGTACAAGAAATCCTTACCAATGCAGAAGCTGACCAAATGAGAGCCAGAACAATGGACATTGATGATTTTATGAAAGTATTACATGCTTTCAACTCTGAAGGAATACACTTTGCATAACCACCTACTACTATTTCTTTTATTTAAAATAACTCAATATTTTCTAAGATACATAACAATAATTATTTATTTAAAATACAATACTGAATAGAAAACTCCAAAAATAAAGTAATAACATTTTATTCACTAAAACAGATACATAATTCTCTTTGTATGTACAAATTATAAGTAAATTTAATATTTATATAGGAGAGTTCTTGAAGTTCCTATTGGCATAGTCAGCATCTTTAGTATGCTCTGAACGGTAAGGGAAACCTTCTTGCCCTGGGAGAACCATAGGTTTGGTCTTTAGTACTCTCCAACCACCCTTCTTTGTCCAGTCCTGCATAATAATTATTTTTATTATTAATACAATATAGAGATGAGACGTAGTTTTCTCTGTGTAATAATAAGCACATGACATTTTGTACATAGTCTCATCTGCCATGTCACAGAATGCCAGTCAAAGACTACATTTTAAAAAAGAACGGCAATACCACTAATATAAAAAAAAATGTATTGCCTGTTTGATTGCATTCACTAGGATATCATGAAAAAAATTCGTTTTTTAAAATAAAATTTAAACGGGGTACTGGCAGTCTAATTTCTTCTTCTTCTTCTTTTAAATGTTATGGCTCCATCGAAATAATCAATGATTTTGCCAATGTCAAGTAAAAATAACTATGTCCGGTAGTTTAACATTATTATAAAAATTATACAAAAAATTGGCGATTTCGCCAATGTCCTGTGAAGATCCAGTCTAATTTCAGTCAAGTGTGATAATTGACACATAAATATGAAATTAACACAGTGTACAAATATACGTTTTATGGCCTCAGAGGATCAACAGTTTGCTGTTCTAGGTAGTGCCCCACAGTGAATTTTGTTCTAGAGAGTACTAGACAAAAAAAAACAAAGAATTCTGAGACCAGATAATTGATGGTTATCTGCCCTATACTTATTATAATTACAAAGTGAGAGACCTTAGACTAAAAGATAAGAAGACTAGGTCACTTAGAAAAATCGAGCAGTGGTAGATGCATACTAAACATCTGAGTACTTACATTGCCATTATATTTAAAGTAATAGTGAGCCCCAAGAATGCCAACAAAAATCAATCCTAGCTTCCCAGTGATGTATCTATAGTTGACTGCGCGTTCATGGCCCTGAAATATGAGTACATAGTTTTCATAACAACTACTTCCAGAGTTGAACACTAGTATAGGTTAGAATTTGTTATATAATCTTACGATAGTAGGCGCGAGACGGGTGAAAATCGTGTCTAAAGGCTTTCTGTAAAAGCGACGGATTGGATTAGTGCGTTCTTTCCAGTATTCTTCAACGTAACGGGGTTCGTTCTTGTCCAGAATTTGATCTTGTAACCACTGCTTCCGCCAAGCCCTTTCAGTTGGAGTCATACCCAAGCATCTTTCCCTTTCTGAGGTCACACGACCAGCGATAGGAAAGGCCTTTACACCTGCTGTTTGAGACATTTTTACGAGGATCTATATCCCAAGCAAATGTTATTTTTTTTTACGATTTTTTCATAAATAAACACACAATCAAAGTATGTACAAAATACAATTAACTTCAACACTAAACACACTTTAATATCAGCCGCACAACTTTTTCTCGTTAAAGTACCCAATACACGCATAGATCGGTTTAACGAGATATCGTCCAGCACATCGCTTGTTGCGACATCGGGAAGTTAATGATACAAAGATGTACATCATAACATCATATAAAGATATACATCATATACTCCATGGAACATTTTTATTTATTATTGATTATTAATCGCAAGCGAAGCAGTGTGTAAATGTTAGTCAAAAAATGACAATTTCAAATAGAAGGAAGGCTCCTAAAATCTATAGTAGAAGTATATTCTGTAATCTGTGGTAGAAGGAAGGAAGGAACCCTTAGACTATGGTTTTTCCATCCTCTAAGAAGGAACCCGATCTTTTCCCGCCTTTAACAAATAATGACATGGCAGCTTAGATTATCTATGCATGGCAGCAAGCAAACTGACATGCATTGCATTATCCATTATCCGAGTTCCCCTTATAGGTGGATAAAAAAAATAAAGGAAGTTCCCAGGAAATAATAACATCGAGTTCTTAGGTTTTGTATTCACTTCAAGTCTCTAACACTATGTCATTGGGCAAAGTGATTTAAGTCAATATACAGAGTGTTTTTTTAAATGCGACAGTATGGGGAAATCCTAAACCATACAAGGAAACTATCCTATGAACGATTGTCTTTTTTTGGGAAAACCATTTTGGCATAGTCCATTTTTTGGTCAAGCGTCAGTTGTCCATAAAAATCAATAAAAATAAATTAAATTGATCAAAATTTTTTTTAGTGCTGATCGACTCATCTTTATAGGATCACAAAAATGGGGAGTGCAGAAGTTGACAAAATTGCATAAAACGTTTGTCATACAAAATGAATGAAATTTACAATTTCTGCGATTACGCTCTCGCGATATGTCCATTAAAATGTGCACATATACTTAAAAAACACAGTAATAAAACTAGCTTCAAAAAGCATACAAAATCAAAGTAATTATATTAAGGAATTCCATTGACACAAGAAAGTAAAACTCCTACGTACTTAAATACCATATCTGAATTTATTGATAAGTATAGTTGGCGAAATATTATTTGCACCGATTCGTCTTATCATCTTCATCTTTAGAGTACAATAGGACAATAGAGTGAACCGTCTCGGTAACACGCGTGCAATCTATACAGTGCAAATAACTAATTTGAATACAAAAGAAAAATGCGTAAAAACGCATTGGCACTTACTTGTAAACTTGATGATCTTTAGCAATAAATAACTTGTTGAATTAGTAAGAAAATAATCGGCAGTCGGTATTTTACAAAGTACCTACTGTTAAAAAAACCTGTTGAGTAAAGAATTAATTGAAAACTAGAATTCAGAAACAGCATTTGAAACGGTCATTTAACGCATAGTAATTTTTAGTTTATTAGTAATTTAACGCGATGTGTCAAGATCATTAAGTCCATATACGCTTTAAATTAAACAAGTGTTAATGGTTTTATTACCCTATTGTAAGAGAAAGGATAAGCCTTTCCAAGAGATAACATTAATCGGTGCAAATAATATTTCTTCAACTATACCTACTAATTAACTATTTTGATTTATATTGGTGAGTTTCTAAAGTTCCTGTTAGCGTAGTCGGTATGTTCGCAACGGTCAGGTTTGAAGGGGAAACCTTCCTGGCCAGGCAAAATCATTGGTCGAGTCTTTATTACTCTCCAACCACCCTTCTTCGTCCAGTCCTGAAATAAATAATACAGAGCATAATTACGTACCTATATGATTAAGTGGTCTTTAAATTTTGAAATTAGCAGTATCAAGGTGACACTTCGTATCTCACTCGAAGATGATTACTTATTTACATGCAGTACGTAGTATGGTGCCATCTTTTTCACACTATTTAAAGCCTTCTGAGCTAGAAACTACGCCCTCTTCCACTACAACCCCCCTACGCATTTCGGGACAGTCATGTTCACAGAACACTATACTCACAAGGTCATGTCTTTCTAATTTGTGGTCATTACATTTTTTGGCGTTGTCCGAGTTTCACGTCATTGTTACGTCGCGTATTCGAAATTTAAAGTGAAAATTTTTAATGTTTTTTTCTTATAATATATTTTATTTCCTATGCCAAAAACCACGTTGAAAACTACCAATGCTGAAACCTTCAAAATGATGCTGAAAGTTAAGTGACTTTGTGTTAGGTGAAAAAAGTGAAAATAATCAACCGGTAAGTGAGTTTTGTTTTTTTATAAGTGTAAGCAGCTTATTCTGTCATTACTTCCACCGCATGGGCCAATTTCTGTCTGAGCGGCGCCATCTCATTATTATTATTATTATGTTAAGATTTTATCTTGTACTCGACTGAAGCTCGGATATTTGGAACCTGGTACGGGCCTAAGCCAAGTATTCTGGTTCGGTTGTGGTGTTGTGAGGGGATATGAGTGAGTGGTGACTTTTTGTGGAGTTTGTTGAATCAGGTGTATTTAAGAAACGGCGGACTATCGAGCATGTGTCTAGTACAACTGACTTTTGTAGAGGTATGGATGTTTTAGGCTCAACTCACACTGGCGCAGAGTCGAAGCGTCGCGTCGCGTCGCGTCCTGTTTATCAACTCCACCGCTAGGCGACGCCATATTTGCAAAACTCAAATTTGTACCTTAATAATTGGAAAATATAGATGAATATGCTGTAAGCGAAAAACATGACGCATCGCGACGCTTCGACTCTGCGCCAGTGTGAGTTGATCTTGGGGTGTAGATCTATCATTTTAAAGGCGGTATGAAGGATTTTCGGTTTGATACCAGTTGGCGAAATTATAATGGGGACTATCTTATTGGTTTCTTGGTGCCACATCTGTTTGATTTCGTCTGCTAAAGGTATGTATTTTTGTATTTTTTCAGTGTGTTTCTGTTTTAGGTTGTTTGTATTGGGAACGGCAATATCTAGGAGGTAGTTGGTCTTTGTAGATTTTACAGTTAATGTTATATCAGATCTGTTGCTGAGGACAGTGCGGTCGGTGATTATTATTATTATCTCACGCTTTGCTTTGCAAAATGCCACATTCACCCGAACAAATATTTTTGGCTCGCTGCGATTGTTTTTTGATATCATTAGGCCTTTTTCACTACAAACAAAACCCCGCTTATATAGTTGTGCCTACTTACTCCAAGTAAACCGCGTCGACGATGATTTGATTTGTTCTGAATTAACAACATTTAACAATGCTCCACGCAAACCGTGTCGAGGATGGTTTGATTTATTCTAAATTAACAACATTTAACAAAGCTCCACGTACGCCGTGTTGAGGATATTTTGTTGTAAATGAACAATACTTAACGTAGCGAAAGCGCAGCTGTCGCTATAAATCTCTTTTGTACATATTTTATAGTCTCTTTCAGTTTTAGTTTTATATTTAAATTCTAAATTTAAATGTGATTGTTTTTGGCGCCTTTTCACGGCTTTTGTTTGCTGTTTTGCTTTGATAGCTACGGGTTTTCTAATAAATTAATAAGCTGTAAGTACATTTGCTTTGGTTTTGCTCACTTGTTGATAGCACATACCCGAACCCATTCATATAGTCCGCTACAATCAGAAACACATTTTCTTTGGCCTTGCACCCACCCTTTAACCCACTGACGCAGTCCGCTACACTTAATACGTCTACCGTGTTATTCCAAATTTACTCTAATTTATTATTATTACTATTTATTCTAGACACAACACCACGTAAACGTGTCGAGAAACATTTTACTTGTTCTAAATACATGAACAATTGTTGTTATTACAGCTCCACGTAAGTTGTGTTTGAGTGGCTAGTGTTTCAATACGGAACTGTGTACCTATGTACTAACTTAGTGTTTTTTGTTAAAAATATCGTATTAGAAATTGTAGAAACAACTTGAAAGATCTAAACGGGTCACGGAACGGTATAACATGACTTTTGTCATCTAAATACGATATCATAACGTTCTTTTGGGGGTTGATATTGCTTGCTTCCGTGGGTTTACCTTTGAGACCCTACAAGTGACCCCTGGATGGTGTTAAAGAGCAACAACTACTGGTGGTAGGCTTCCGCCGTGGCTAGTCACCACCCTCCCGATATCCGGGAGTTGCCATTAGGAGGTCGGGTCTGAACAGTTGCATTGCGTCTGACGACGAGTTGTAGCTTATACTGCCACGCCCACACTGAGCACTCGGTTCTGAAGGCTAGCGAGATCCGAAGCACGGTGCACCGCTAGCCGAGTGTGGGAAGTTGGGGGCCTAAATAGCGGGAAAGCCGCCCGTGAAAGGCTGCCCCGCCACAGAACGATAAATCCCGAAATGCTCCACCTTGCCGGTTGGCGACCGGAAGGGAGGACCAGGTGGCTATCCCCGACTGACGCCGCGTAAATCAGCTAAATTGGGTATGGAGTACGTCCTGCGTAACTGTGCGCCTGTGTTGTCTCCTGTCCTCACACGCCTGTACCGCCTCTCACTTGAGACTAGTGTAGTTCCCAAGTCGTGGAAGCTTGCAAACGTGCAACCTGTGCCGGAAAAGGGAAGCAGAGCTGACCCTATCAAGTATAGACCTATCTCAGTCACTTCCATACTCTGCAAGACTATGGAACGTGTACTCAACAACCGTCTCCTGTTATACCTTGAGGACAACGACCTCCTCAGTGATCGCCAATACGGATGCCGATGAAGGCGATCTACTGGGGATTTTCTTGCGTATGCCTGTCACATATGGAGCGAGGATATAGAAAAGCAAGGCGAAGCACTTGTAGTCTTTGGACATTTCTAAAGCCTTTGACAGGTTCTGGCACGCAAGTCTTTTAAGTAAGTTTCCCTCTTATGCGCTTCCCACTGACCTTTGCTATTGGGCGTCGGATTTTTTGAGCGAACGTTCGATTCGAGTGGTCTTAGAAGGCTACTCTTCCGAACATATGGCGAGTTCCTCAGGGTTCTGTCCGCAACGTCGTACTGCCTGCAACTCTCTTTCTGTTGCATATCAATGATATGTTAATTCCAGATACCTTTGCGTATGCTGATGACAGCACAGTTATAGATACCACCTGCTTGACCAACGCAAGGGTCAGTGCAGAGGAAATCCAGTCTTGTCGAGAATCCACGGTTAGCCGCTTGGATTTGACGCTCGAGGCTGTCTCCGATTGGGACGATGCCAATCTTGTCAAATTTAACGCTACCAAAACGCAGGCGTGTCTATTCTCCACAAAACGGAGTTCCTTTGAGGTGACTCCGACTTTTCATGATATATCCATACCGATAGCCGACTGTCTCCAGCTACTTGGAATGGACCAGTCGTCCAATTTAAACTTCGGCAGATACATTGAATCCATGGCCAAAAATGCAGCAAGGAAGCTTGGTATCCTCTCTAGAGTGAGGCGTTACTTTACACCGGGACAGTTGACTCAGCTGTACCAAGCACAAGTTCGGTCGTACATATTAGGTACATTCTTAGGAGTAGTTAAGTAGTTAAGTTAGTTAGTAGGTCGTGCATTGTTAGGAGTATTGCTGCCACCTTTGGGATGGCTCTGCTACATACCAACTGGCCACTTTGGATTCAATTGACAACCGTGTCAAGAGGCTTATAGGCGACTCGGAATCAGTGGATGCGAAGCTGCAGAGCCTTGAACACCGCCGTAAAGTTGCCTGTTTATCGGTATTTTACAGGATATATCACGGAGAGTGTGTGATGGAATTACTCTATTTATTCCGCCTTCCCCTTTCCATCACCGGGGGACCAGACGTAGGTTTCAGTTCCACCCCTATGTTGTGGATATTCCAAAGATTCGTACGAAGCGTTATGCTTCCACATTTATATGGCGAACGGCTATAGGGTGGAATTCCCTGCCTTCAGACTTGTTCCCTGAACGTTATAACTTGGGCCTTCACAAGGTGAGAGTGAATAGGCACAATTTAGGTGTGTATGCTCCATCGTCGACCTCATCGTCACTGTCCACCAGGTGAGATGGAAGTCAAATGCGCACTTATAATTTATTTTTTTTAAAGTATTAACTTTTAGTATAAAGTTTTTGTCATACAATAGTCTCAAACTTCACGGATGGCAAATTTTGACCAGCAAACGGAACCCCAAAACAAAATTCAAATGATAGCCAAAGAATAGCCGACATTCAAATGATAAATTTATACTGGTTCTTTTTCCTACCATCCATAAGCATATGTTCTTTCCCCGCTTTTCATAGGCACATTGCACATCGCGATCCTCTTCTGGCATCTCATTTTAGTACTTGCCGTACTTATGTATCTAGATACTTACTTATCTGAATTCTGCCACATAGGTAAAAAAATAAGGAATCGTACTCACGTTTCCGTTATATTTGAAGTAGTAGTGGATGCATAGAACGCCAAAAGCAGCCAGTAAACATTTACACCCAATGAATCTAGCGAGGCTTTGAGGACCCTGAAACGTGATGTACTAAATATTTAGCGGATTTTAAAACATTTCTTAACAAGCTCGAGTAGAATTTAATTTATGACTTTTCTAAGGAAGTAGCTGACAGTGAAAGTAAAACCTTGAAATTCATCCTTGAACTTTCTGTATCTATGAAAATGATGACACTGACAATAAAAATTACGTAATTTATTACGTCTCTAAAATCGCGTGGAAATGGGAGGAATACTCTACTGAAACAAATATTTACAGCAGCATAATTGCTGTAAACATTTAAGTAAAGTATGCTTTGATACATTGAGCAATTGAAACCATATTCACGATAGTCCTAAATATTATAGTTTTTGAGTGATAGCTCTTTTTATATTTCATTGAAAAGACACCGCTTTACAACGAAATATTATAAAAAATATTTCAGTATTAATTAATTATAATTTATATTTTTCCATCGTGTATATACATATGTCAAAGTATTGCTTCAAATGATTATTACAGTTCATTCAATAAAATACTTATATTTAGACATAACTGCAAACAAAATGGGAAGAATTAATATTCTTATTTAACCAAACAATTTTACCGCTGTGTATATGCGACGGATAGGGTTTGTGCGTTCCTTCCAGTATTCTGGGATGTCACAAGGTTCATTTGGATCCAAAATTTGATCTTGCAACCATTGCTTTCGCCAACACCTTTCAGTGGGTGTCATGCCCAAAGTTCGCTCTCTCTCTGATGCCACGCGACCAGCGATAGGAAAAGGTTTTACGCCCGCTGTTTGAGCCATTTCTTTAAATTATGTTAGCAATAATAGAAATGGACATGAAATAGAAAACACAGTAAATAGTAAATTAGTAGTAATTCTTCAATTAGTCACGTTTTTAATACATGGCCAGCATTCGAAGAGTGTATGATTAAAATCAAAATACAATGGGATTATAATACTACAATTCATAACATTAATCGATGACATGTGAATATATTTTAAATTGTAGCTGGTAGATGACTATACTACCATAGAGATCTCAGTTAGTTTGACTCTTGACTCCTTAGAGATTGGAAAAAAATAAAAGAAAGGAGCTGCCCTAACTACGGAATGAACGTACTAACCAAAAAAAAACTTGAAAGAACAAATGGCGGATTTCTTTAGTGTCGTATCTTAATCTATCGATAAGTCATTATCGACATGCAAACATTTAATTAAAGTAGATCAATATTCAAATTCAAATGCAAATTCAAATTATTTATTTCTCAGATAACAGGATCCATTGGTATTAGTAGAAAAATAAAGAAACAAACTTATAGACTATTGTTAGTATGAAATTATAATTATAAATTACTTAGAAACTAAAATGTCATGTACTTACGAGGCATCTCGTGCGGAATCATTGTCCGTACGAGATGCCTCAGTACAGGCGCTCTGTGGTCGTTTGCAACAACTCTCAGAATGCTGTTGCCACTACCCCGGAGCCTACTAACCAAAGATGCTACCTTTCTCCGCAAGACCGCATTAAAGCAGCTTGTATGGGATAGAGCAAACATTGCAGAGGCACTGCAGTACCGGGGTAGTCTCAACATCATCCTGAACACGTTGTTGTACTGGACGCGAAGGGAATTCAGCGACCTTTGCGAACAGCTAAACCACAAGCCGCCCGTGTACAGACCCTGACAATACGCTTTAAAAAGTGTAATTTTTACTTGGTCCGTACAGCGGGCAAACCTGCGGGCCAGCATATTCCCGCGGACCGCCAAAGCCCTGCGTTCCCTCTCGACGTCGTCATCATCTTTAAGGTCGTCGGCAAGTATATGTCCAAGGTATTTAAAATGAGACACCTGTTTTACACTCATGCCATTTAGCGAAATAGCTGGAAATGACTCTGGACACCTACCGGCGGCCTTGAAGATCATGAACTCGCTTTTTTTAACATTATAAATTAGTCCGTGTGATGCGGCATATACCTCACAGACTGCCAACATCTCCCTAATAGACTTCGCAGTCGGGCCCAGCAGCACCATGTCGTCTGCATAGCTGATGTTGTTCACACAAACATCCCCCACACAACAGCCGACACGCATGCTACTGAGCTCGACTATCAGATCATTAACATACAGGTTAAAAAGCTTTGGAGACGATAGTCCCCCCTGTCTCACGCCGCATTCCAACCTGTATGCCTGAGAGAAGCTGTTGGACCACCTAACTTGATTGGTCTGATTGCTGTACCAATATTGGAAGATTTTTAATAGTTCAGCTAGCATTCCCCTGTCCTGCATCTTCCTCCAAAGCACATCATAGGAAACGAGATCGAAGGCTTTGGAGAGGTCCAGAAAACACGCGAACACCGGTGTTTTACGTTCAGTGTAATATTGGACAGTATGCTTGAGAGCCAGAATCGCGCTTTCGGTTGAGAGTCCAGGCCGAAACCCGAACTGAGCATCATGGAGATTGAGATATTTTTCTAGGCATGATTCAAGCATACTATCCAATACTTCACCTATCGTGGTCGCAAGAGAAATTGGGCGATAGTTATTCAAGTCTGAAATGTCACCTGTCCTGTTTTTCACTATGGGCACCACCGTTGTTTTCATTAAATCATCTGGTAGATAGGAATGACTAATGCACATAGTGAAAAACATAGACAGGACCCTTGGCAAATGCAGTCCTGCATACTTTAAGTGCTCGATGCTGAGCCCATCATGTCCGGGAGATTTACCTCTGCTCATATTTTTAATAACAGCTGTTACCTCACTCGCTGTGAATCTTAGCAAAGACTCCTCGCCCTGCACGACAGACCCAGCGTCGGTCGACCCAGCGGAGGCACCCAGTGGAGACAGCACCTTAAAATGCTGCATAAACAAATTTGCTATCTCCCCTGGGTCACCCCTACTATTCCATTTGGGAATATTTTAGGTTATATGGGAATACCCGGGAATGTCACATGAAATTTTGAATTTATTGTTTTGCGTTTACAAATACTCAAATATTACGAAAAGTGAAATTGCACAGACAAAATGTAATTTGAGAGTATATAAAAAAAGAGAAAACTTTGAAATATAAATCTGGAGTCTCCTATACATTTCCAACCTCAAGATTCATATTTTAATAGAGACATTTTTAAACAGTTTCCAAATAGTGTAAGCTTTTTTATATTTATGCATTGGTATAGAATTAATATCAGTGACTGAATTAAGTGAATCTTTAATACTTCCCTTTAATTTTGGAAATAAATGAAAGTAGTAATATTATCAATAATAAAATTATTATCATACGTTTATTTGCTTTAAGCGTGGTATAACAGGAGATGTACCAAGAGACAGTGTTAGTATAAACGTGTTTCGCATATATTAAATAGCATGCAAATGTCTGATTATACAATGTTAATTTACTACTATTGGCCGAGCCCTTTCATTTGTGCAGCATCAGTATTGCTGGCTTTATAAAATAAGAATTTTGAGTAGTTAGAGTTGTCAGTGGGAAAAAATCGGAAACGAGTGGATAATTTTGTTTTCATTAACTGAGAATGCTTGGTAAATGAGTCTTGTTTAAATCTTTATAAATTAAATATAAAATTATTTACCAATAAATCTAATGATGGAATTGCATTATCATGTAATCTAGTTACATTCAAAGTTATGTTAAAATTTGACTCTTCAAAATGAAGCGAATAAATGAAGATGGTCTTTAATTCAATGTTTATATTCGGCACTCCTATGATTTCCAACCATTCTGTAATTCTTTTTTCTTTTTTGATTTGTTGGTAAACTTGAAATATTAAAAATAGTAATAATAAAAACTAATTTGGCAAGATTTATGAATAAACTACTTAAATATGTCTAATTACATGAGACATTTGGGCTTTAGTGTAATTTACAGACAGAGAAATAACACGTGGCTCATTGACCTACCAATACGTGTCTGTACAATGTTACATTCGGTCGATTTTCGCTTTTTCTAATGCCACATCTCGTAATGCTGCAGCGACGAATTTTTATTAATACTGAATTGTTCTCACTATCAATATATTTGTCTATTTTATTACAATACATGCGAATAATTCAATAAAACACTTGGAAAAACTTTTGTTTTGACATTGGATATACTTCCCTTTGACAACCGTATCACCTACCTCATGCACTGCGAAATGGACAGACTTGGCATTTAAGTGACGTTACGTATTTTCGATTCCCGTGTTTGACACAGATCAATGTAATGCTATCTCTTTTAGCTTAAGACGACACGCAATAGTTAACAAAGTCAATAACATGTTTATGTTTTCGATTTTCAACGTCGAAATGCATCATATACTTTCTTAGAGGATGGAAAAATATTTAAACTATATTTTTTTCCATCCTCTAAGTCATATACATATAACGTCAACATAACATGTCCTTAGCTCTAATCTTCTATCGATAAGAAGCAACATGTTGATCCGCCGGTTTGCAAAATGCACAACAAGTGTTAAAACGACCTTGTTTAGAGCTTATTGTCAAACTTTTTACACCTGCGCCCTGTGGATCAATTACTAAGAAACGTTATTGCGTGTCCTTTATAACAATGCATTCAGGATGCTGATGGGGCTGCCGCGGTACTGTAGTGCGTCGGGGATGTTCGCGGAGGCGCGCACGGATGGCTTTCATGCAGTCATGCACAAGCGCATCACATCTCTGATGATGCGTGTGCGTAGCAGCGCCAGTGGCCTTCTGACCGCGGTGGGTGACACAAATGACAGCTGGATATTCAGCCATTGGATACAGTTACAGTTACAGGCTAGGTACAAATACGAGAAGTGAGAAATTGTAATATTTTTATTTTTTATAATTATGTGATGTTACTAACGTAGTTGATAAGATTTATTGTTACTAACAAATATGGATGCACTTCTGAAATAACTGTATTATTATTATTATACGGCGGACTACAATACAGGATGATGAATGCCCCCTATAAAGGTTTAGTAATCAGACCATAAACATTATTAAAAAAAATGACAGAGTGCTCTATTATTTCATGTCAATGTCAATTTGCAACCTCAATTTGTGTGAAGGATTCAGAAATTTTCCAATTTATCTTCTATTTTTATGTTTACATAACTGTTGATTTTGAAATAATTTTGTGTGTTACTCTAGGAACATTATACAGCCGTCAATATGCCACGGTTTCACAAAGTGGAAATAAACAAAACAGAATGGATTGTACCAGAGCGTTATCAAGGGCTTACACCTGTGGGTTCTGGCGCATACGGTCAAGTTTGGTATGTGTTTGTTTATCTGAAAAAAGTACTAGGCGGTTTGCCAGGTGCAGTTTTCACTACACTGGCTATAATTAGTTAATTAGGATAACCATGTAATGTGTTTTATGGTATTTTAACATAGTTATTATGTTTATTGGAATGTAATAAGTATGTATGGCCGTACATTGCCTTGCGTAGGTAGAACAGGTTTTGTTTCTAGACTATTGTATATAATTTTTGCGTTCGTTGCAGTTCTTCTATAGACACACTGCACAACATGAAAGTGGCCATAAAGAAGTTGGCTAGGCCTTTTCAATCAGCAGTGCATGCAAAGAGGACTTACCGCGAGCTCAGAATGTTAAAGCACATGAATCACGAGAATGTTATTGGTTAGTATTCCAAGTATTAAATATTTCGGTTTTATGTTTCCTGATTCTCACCTTGAAACCCAAATACACACAGTTTGGTTTAGTCAGTGATATAAAATAGATGGTATTTTGAGACCACTTCTCCAATTCCAATTTAAGAGCCGTGGTATTCTTCTACCTGTCCAGTTGTAAGGTTCAAAACTTCATCCCAATATCACTATTCAGCTGTTCAATTTCTTGGGAAAGTTTGATTACATATGCTTGATGGGAAGTTGTAATTCTAAACATAAGTGAAAACCGTCTGCAATCCATTTGAAAATTATTGAAAACAGTTTTTTTTAATAATATTAAGTGACATGATGAACAAGTTGTGCACCTGATGGTAAGCTACACCTACTCCTACGCCTGTCCATAATCAGTTCCAGTGTCACTCAGAGCTTTACATCACATAGATCTGAAGGCCACTGCCACTGCACCCTTCACCCTGGACGTAAGTTGACAAGTCCCATGTGCCTGTAATTTCACCAGCACGCTTACCCTTCTAAATCGGTTCGCAGTATTGCTAACATTACTGCTTGGCGGCAAAACGAGGTAGGGTGGCAGTACTTCCCTGGATGAACTCTTTCACAATAGAATCTACTGCTGCTGAAATTATGTGTCACCTCACCATTAGCAGTCCATCTGAAACAGACTGCCCCATGGTATCTGCATGTCAATCTCCATGTACATTTAATGTTCGCCATTAGAGCACAATTAATGTAACAAGCAGCAAAATGTGCTTCCACTCTACTCCATATAATTTCGGAAATGTCAAGTGGCATTCTTAGCTGAGTTCTCTGTCCACTTGGATGCCCTCAGATGTGCTATTTAAATACTACTACTGCTTCGCACCCTTCAGTTTGCCCTCTTCACTCAACAGTCAGCACCACCTTGATGACCTTGAATGCACCACTGTACATTCAAGGTCATCAGAGGTCAACTGCAAAATACACTTCATAAGAAATAAAAACCTCTATTTCTCAACATCCATGACTCCACACAAACCAACAATGATTGTCAATAGTATTTTTTCACTATTTTACTATTTTTGCTCCTTATATCATCTGGACTCAGACTAGTCAGTACAGATTCATTTCTTTTGTAGGTCTTCTAGATGTATTCAGTCCTGAAAAGACCCTGGAGGAATTTCAGCAAGTGTATTTAGTAACTCATCTCATGGGAGCTGACCTGAACAACATAGTGCGTACACAGAAACTCTCTGATGACCATGTCCAGTTCTTAGTATACCAAATCCTTCGTGGCTTAAAGTATATACATTCAGCTGGGATCATTCACCGGGTAAGATTTTGTTTTATTAATTTTTTAATCCATTGGTAATAATTATCTTGCATCTTGTATATGTATTTCAAAGGGCGAAAATGGAACCGAATGAACTGAGAATAATTTTTGTAACACTAATTAATTAATTCATTATCATATTATGTATGTTGATATCAAAGAAATAGATTAATTTATTGAAACATGAAAGAGGAATTGCATACGAATGAGGTAGCAATGGCTGAACAAATTTAAAAAATTGTTAAGCAGAAGTAGAATGTGTCCACCATGTTTCATACCTTATCAGACTTTTTTATACAGATGATGTTAAATATCTGGATACTGGAATAAAAAATCTGGATTTACATTAATATTTACATTATCAATTCAAAAATAATAGGCATTTGAAGCTTTTGGCAAGATTTTTCGTAATCATTATCTCCTAAAAATAATCAAAAATAAAATGCAATAAACTGATTTTATTTCACTAACTTGCACAATCCTTATTTCCTTCGGTAGATCTTTATTTTGTACATGTTTTCCGAAATTTGCACTAACACTCTCTCACTCTTCGGCCGGCATGTAGAGCTTGAGGTGAAGAAGCAGCTAATTCAGAGGCAACCTTCTTTCAGCTTGGAGTTCATTTTCTTCCAACTCGGGAACAACAATCGTGAGCTCGTTTCAATGACGTCTTTCTTTTGAAAGTGATAAGGACACTATTTATTGGCACTAATCTTCAAATAGAAATGTGTAATAATAAATAAAAAGTTGTTGATTGAGTCTGTAATTCCTACAAACTTTTAAGCCGGGAATTTAACTTATACGTAGTTGGTTGACTGGCGGCGACGACGGTTCTTCGTACGCTTTGAACGTTTTACACGTAGAGCCTCAATCAACAAAAGCATTGTTGCAGTTATTTCAGTAAAAATTTTTAACAAAATTCACATTTAAGAAAATCAAAAGGTAACACCGTTAGCTTCGACAATTTGACATTATAATTCTGAAGAATTATATGTCAAAATAAAATTTTCGTTCGGACGTTCATGAATCAGAGTAAGTTAACGAATAAGCTAACGAAAAACTAGATGTCAAATAAGTTTCATTGGAACCATTGACCTACCAACAAATGGACATTGGGTTCGCGCTAAAAAATGTCCGCACCTATAGGGCGTTAAAATCACATACAGAGCGTCAATCGCGCAACAGTCTTCGTTTGTTCGATTGACAGCGCGGTTGTCAATCATGCAGTACCATATAATAATAACTTGTAAATATTACTGCAGTAAAGTGTAAAAACAGGATTTTGTATCATATTTTCACTAAACAAATATATTGTGTTATCATAGTTCTCATTTAAAAGTGTTCTTTTGTACAGTTTTATATTATTTAGTTTATATATAAATGAATCGTAAATATAAATTACAAAAGCACACAAAATAATCAAATAGCTAACTGCCCTTTTTCTACACATTGCATGCGCAAAAGATGGAAAGAGACCCATTATGTCAATTTCAAGACGCTTATAAAAACTTCTTGGTTATTTTCAATTGCACGAACCACAAGCGATTCAAATATTTAGAACAAAGAAACTATAGAGTCGCTTTGATTTAATCTTATTTTTAAAATGATTTTTCATTAAACGTTAGCATTATCGAACAAAATATTGTTGTACTCGTTTTACGGCTTGGGATTACCTATCAGAAGTCAGAAAACGTTAGCTCGAATTTTCATAATGTCAAATGTATTTAGGAAATAAAACTATTTTTCCGGATTTAAATCGCGTATATTTGTTTTTTCAAACAAACCGACGTTTCGGGCCCTTTACAGGTCCCATGGTAAAGGGCCCGAAACGTCGGTTTGTTTGAAAAAACA